ATTGGTAACCAAGCACATATGGGCGGTTGCCAGGTGAATCTCGCGCTCACTCACTGGTGCGACATCTATCTATGGATAGAAGCAGAACGTCGAGCAGTTAAAGCCAGATATGTAGGGGCTTCTGTTATCATTATAGTATGGGACAAGGATGGAAATCAGTTTGGTAGGTGGCGATCGTCAGATCATCACATACTTGCGCACAACATTTTGAGTTTTTCCGTTTGTATGTCTTCAAGGCCAGACCTACACCGAACTGATCAATTGTTCAAGAACACGATACAGCGGTGTATGCGGTTGGTCAAGGTTATAGAGACGGAAAGCAAGCACATTTTAGAGCAGTCTGTGAATATTTATTTCGATTTAGACTACTTGACGGGTCTACCGTTTTGATAGTGCGACATCTATCTCTGCATAGTGTCGACGTCAAACAGTTGTAAGCCAGAACACGTACGGAATGAGGATGATGATCAAGTTGGCAAAACATCGTTATGAGACTATCGTCAGTTTTTTTACTTACTTACGCATAGAAAATGCCTAGGAGCGTGGCGTATAGTTTGACACAAGTCTCAGCCTCAAGGAGCATATACAGCAAGAAGTGGATGAAGCTGTAAAAAAGCAGTATAGAAGCTTTGAAAGCACTACATTAGAATAAGTCATTCGTTTGGAAGCATTGATACATATACCAAAGGCAGATGTTAGAGATCGCGCAACGTTCTGACATATTTTTTTTTAGTAAGTTTAACGTGCACTGCCCGGATTTGAGAAGAATAAAAAAACTTAGCACCATTGCTCTGCCAGCTTCTTCATGGTTTCATAGATTGATGAGATCTACTATTCCAAATTGATTTTAATGTTGCCCCAGTTACGTGCTAATATGTTTTTCCAGATCAAGGGGATGGAATACCAACTAAGGGATCAATACGCCATTAGCTGTCAAAAATTTCAATACCACCTCTAAGAACTGCGATATACATGTTATTTAGTGAGTGGTATTTGTTCGTCTCTCAATGATGTCCGTTGTTATATGTCTTAACTTCCTTATAGCGTAAAATTGTATTTAAGGTGTTTACGTTGTCTTTCATTCTCAAGGTTTACTTACTTGAAACTATAGTAATTTTCTTTTTTCCTTTATGTTTGGTATATCTTTTCTTTATTGCCCAAGTTGCCCAGTATTTAGAATTATGTTCTGTTGGGCAATCAATACTTTGTTTGCTTAGGGGCCTTTATTTTGTGTTCAATATACATCCGATAGCTAACCATCTTATTCTTCGATACCCTGTACATATATGACTTGAAAATACTTAAAATTACACGATACTATTTTTGTTGCTCTTCCCGGAAGGCTGGTTATCCGTAACTAAATACCTCTTTAATGTATAACGAGTTAAACAATCACTTTGTCTAAGATAAACAAAAGAAAATATCACTAATTTAGTATCTCAATTACATCAATTAATTAGATTTCAGAGTGCATCCGTAGTTGAATGTTTTCCTTGGTAATCTTTGCACCTTGATCATGAAAGCATCTGCAACCCGAACAAGGATATCTTCGTATCCAGTCTAGAAAAATCAACGCTAATATACGTCGTGGTGTCCTTTATAAATAGACTATTACCATATTACAATCCCTTATTAGTATTTACTGCGATTGATTAGTTGAATACTAATTACTTCAGTCTGATATTCAGGGGCCCACATTATATTTACAATCTTAACGATTGATATGTCTTGCTCAAGCTTATTGGTATGGTCCTTAAAAGAGTGCAATGAATTCGGTATTCTGTATTGGTCCTAAGGGGTTTGCTTACGGCAGGTCCTTTAGCCGTCACAAGCTAATGAAGGCGGTGTTATCTGGTGATACGACCCTGTAAAGTTTCCCTTTTATTATGCACATCCTGCGATCCACGACTTCGTACGCATACTATTATTTAACTAGAATTTTCAAGTTAACACATTGGATCAAACAAAATTTTACATTATAAAAGCTGCCTTTCTGATAATTTTCGGACCTTTAGTTATAAAAGATAAATATGTATAAAATTGTGATAGCCCTTAAACTCTTTAGTGCGTCCTTATTACAAAATTCTTTCTCATTGTAAGTCTTCCCTAAAGAATCTCATTGCTGACAATTTTTAGGCATATAGCAGTGAACTCGAAGAAATTTCAAACTTGCGGGTGCCCTTTAACCCTCTATATCCGACCCTGTTAGATATCCATTTTTAACTGATATACTATACGAGCCCCTTCCCACTTCAGTTGGCCCACTTCAAGATTTGTACCAAAATATGCCTTTACGAACTAAACATGACGAAACTATTTACTTCTAAAACAATTTATTTTCTCAAAAACATTTTAGATACACTCTAGTCGTAAAAGTACATATTTGAAATCTTTTAGACCTATAACTAATAGAACATCTGAACAAATAAACAACGTACGAATAAATCCGCGAAGCTAACAAAGCAACAATTGAAAGATTACCATTTTTTATTATTACGGCTGAAATTCTTTGGGGCATAATGTTAACCAAGCTTTGGCAAAAATTTGGTGTAAAACAATCCCATGTTTCTTGAAGCTTTTGTCTCAGTTCGGTGATTGTGCGAGCAGGATGTTGTCGTAGAACCTTTTTCATCTCGTGCCACAAAGTTTCAATAGGTGACAGATCTGGACTGCTAGAAACCCATTTCAAAAGTGGTACATAATTTTCTTCCATCCATTTTATAGCTTTTTTTGAGGTATGGCACGCTTCACCACCTTGCTGAAACACAAAATCTTGGCCGGATGTCAGACATTCTTTCATCACTGGTAAAAGCGATTCTTCTAAAATTGCCAAATATTTATTTGTATCCACATTTCCATCAATAAAATGAAGTTTTTCTACTCCTTTTGATGACATACTGCCCCAGATCATAATGGATGCTGGAAATTTCACTTTTCTCTTCAGACAGTCAACATGGAATGCTTCATTTTTTTTGCGAATAACTTTACTGCGACTGTCACCAACACAAACTTCGAATCGGGCCTCATCACTCCATTGTATTGCACACCATTGTTGAGGAGTCCATTGTCTATGTTCTTTAGCCCATCTAAGCCGATTTTTCTTTTGCAGTGGAGTGAATAGTGGCTTTTCTGTGACCTATAAACAAGTTGTGCAACTTTAGGGTTTTTACTTCACTTTTTTTATAAGAAAACTTACCTTGCAAGTGCTAAATCCCAGTTTGTGGACCTCTCTTTGAGCTGTGGACCTCGAAATTCTCCTTCCAACAGCGTCACTTCACAGAGCACTTAATTGTAAATAATTGGCACGCCTGTTATTCACGACTATTCTTCTTAATGCTCTTCGGTCGGCATTTGTGATATTACTTTTTTTCACATATCGTGGCTTAATATTAACTGAACCAGTTACGTTATATCTTCTAACAATATTTCTCACAGTGTACCGCGATAAGTCTAACAAAGTTGCAATTTCTGAGTTTGATTTCCCAGAATTAAAAAATTTAATTATCAGTAACCGAATTTTCTCACTAATAACCTTTCCCTAACCCATTTTGAAAACCTTAACTACCCAAAACTATTTTAAACGTATTCTGACAGCTGTGATTAATAAAAACAATTGTCATGGCTTTTATTTTTCACAGCCACCTATGCGTTATAGACTTATTTTGCATTGAAATGAAAATAGGTTGATATGCTGTAATTGCAACATGTGTTATTTTTATGCAGCAAATTTGATTAGGGAGTGATAAAGTTGGTGTTTTCTACTATATATTATCAAAATATTCATTGTTAATATTTGCGTTTGATAAGAAAAAAACTAAGATTTCAATAGTTGGGCCATCTGAAGTGGGAATAAGGGTCTCGTATACTATATACTACATAATCTACATATGAATCATCTACCTGTTTTATTCTAGGCCTCTAGTGTAGAGGAACAAATGACTTTTATACAAACTTGTGAATGCCTTTGTCGTCGCTCCATCCGACCCTGTCTCAAAATCTGCTCTTTGCTAACATGTACTGCCCATACGCTTCCTCCCTGCCAAATTTCATGTTCACAGATCAAATAGTTTTCAAAATAAATGTCTATAAACTTAAGTTGAAAAGTGATAAGGCTACGTGTACCCTCTATCTCAAGGATATTATTTCTGAAATTTTCTGTTGATGTTCATTATTTTTAAAATACAAGTGTGGATAAAATACACTTTTACTTCTAGACTGTTCAGCTTCAAAAGTGTTAACCCCCATTTCATCTGCTTAGAAGTGGAACTTCTAAATTTCTTTTGTAAGTGCTTATTAATGTTATACTACGCAACGAAATATAAAAGCCCAGATTTGTATTCCTATATTGAAAAATAATAGTCTCCCTATAGCAACTCTCAACCCCTGTTCAATCCCTTCAAGTTTTCATCAAAATTGGTTCAACCGTTAAGGCATACTTACATGGAAGCATACATACAAACAACGGAACTTCGCAGTGACACAAATAAATCGGTGGTTTTGGAAGAAACTGTTATTTCAAAATAAGTGGGTTTGGGCGAAGCGGATACTATATTAATCTGCATCTTAGTATTTGTTGTTGGTGAATTTAAAATTGATATTTTACTGTAGATATACTATTACACAATTAATCTGTGCGAAACCGCGATAGTGGTATCATGAGTAATGTTCAGAATTTGAGATCACGATATTCAAATCGAAGCTACCTTGATCTTTTATCGTCAAACATTAAAAATGGCTATTTTTATGTTTGAAAAATTTGAGGTAGTTTTTTGATAAAATTAGAAAACATTTTTATAAGGAGCATCTCGCCATAACCAAAAAGAAGGACGCCTGCAAGAAGCTTTTTTGAACTTTTCACAATACTTCAACTAATCAAACCTTGACAATAACTGATATCCTTCGTTTAAATTTTGAAGAAAGTACCTAGTTCTGATTTCTGTTAGGCTCGTTGGAAAAAGAAAGAATGTAGTAACGTATTGAAATATCTCATTTTTTTTCAGACAACACCCATCATAAGATAAGCAAGAAACTGTCCAACATGCTGCTGACGTCATACCCGCCATTCCAGCTTGGCGACGTAGAAGGTGTGAGTAAGGAATGCAGACTGCAAAGCAAACACTTTATCGAAGATCTGAAGGAATTCAAATTCTGGGCACTGAAAAGTACGTGAGTGAGTTTCTGAGTGCTTCGGGATGTTCCGAATAATCATACGAATGTACTGACGTCATATTATGAATACGGTATTTAGCTATAGTTTGTTTGAATATGTCGAGGAAGGATTGGAATAATACATTCGATAGCATTTGAATCAAATATTACCGATTATTGATAAATGCAAGAATATTGAGATTCACATGGGTAGCAGTCAGGCAATATCAACTATCAACTGTTGCAAACTCCCCACACCAAGAACATAACTAGATTACCATGTGGCATATATGAATACCTCCACCAGAGAAAACTACTGCCTGGATGAAGCATCACTCATATTCCAAGGGCTAATATCACACCAGATCAGATCGCAAAGAGATCTGATAAAACGATAATTATGAGTCTAGTGCCCATTTATATTTTATTCATCTGAGTCAAGGCACTATGCTGAAAGCGCACATCTACAAAGTCTTTAAAAACGTGATACGTCTTTCTGCTCTTCCGCTACAGATTTTCTCAGCTATGATTGATAGTGATGAAGTAATGAAATGCTACAAATTTATGTCCAAACAATGGCTTTAATTTGCTACTAACCTTGCTTCTGGGCACTGTCATCTAAGGAAACATCTCTATAATGAGATCCTGAGTGACATCACCGCATGTAGGTAATATGAAAAAGAAGTTGAGATGGTTAAGCAGTTGGGATGTGACTGTCTAGATGTATTATCAGTACGAAAATTTATCGTGAGGCAGCGTTGGTCTTTTATGGCTGATTCAAAAGAAACTCTGTTGGTTGGTAACGTATGGGGCATAGCTTAAGAAATGTAACAGGCTTGACTTCAATATCGTCGTTCTGATGATGGGTGTTGATAGACTTAAGCAGTTATGATAAGCAGCTTTGGGTATATAGCTCGGCGTCCACAGCTTCTCTTTATGCTCGACCAACATAGGGTAGGTCACCTTCAGAAATTGCGCACCTGTCTAGAACCCTGTCAGCAAATTTCAGCTTTCCTTTACATTTCACTTCACTTAGACAATTTTAAATATGGGAAGCGTGAAATCCATCGTCCAGAATCATGCAGTTTCTCACAAAGTGCCTACGTCTCAAATCCTAGTATTAAGTAACCTTACCCACTAACAAAACATTAGACCATAAAAGGCTTGTTTCTGATATTAGCTTCAAATGTTAGAATTCTAGTTTTTATCACGTATTGATTATGAGTATTTTTTGAATTTTGTTAAGCAGTCTGGTAATTTTCTAGTACCATGGAATTCTTAACAATTTCATGGCTCAGTAAAGTTTCGTATTTCAATTTTCTTAACTATCGTATGGTAACATTCATATATAAAAAAGGGGGATGATCCTACAAATTCTACTAATCCCAACAAAGACATCTTGTCTGTAAGTTGGGCATCACAAATTAAACGATTGTTTCAAAAAAAGACTAACGGCAATCGTGGGCATATACAAAGGACAGAAGCAACGTACGCTTTTGCTTATTGGCTTCATTGCATCTGGATATGAATATAACCTAAAGGAACACAAGGATAATAAAGGAAATACAACTAAAAGCCACTAACAAGAGTCACCAGACGCATTTGTGTCTTCGATCAGGTATCAACTAACGGTACAACGGAGGCCGGCTATAGCTACCTGTCATGGTATTAAAAACCCATGAGTAAATACAAAGAAGGACAAGTAGACTTGCGGAAACTTAAATGAAAAATAAAGGACAATCGTCGTACGTCGCTCTAGTTACCAATCCTCATGTTTCTACTCCTGTTCCTTTATTGTAGACATGCTCACGATTGTGTTTTTCATTAAAGTTTCCGCGTTTCTTCATATTTGAGCACAGACTCAAACAAGTACATTTTTAACAAATGAAAAAGCCCGACTGCAACAGCTCAAAAAATGCACTTTCAATTATGTCATCAAGACGAAACTAACGACATATTAAAATTAAAATCCATCAAGCCGTTTGGGCTGTAGCCTGTGAAATAGAAATTTCAAGTTTGATGGTTAAGATCTGCCTTTTTCATTTGACGAAATTCCAGTGTACCCAGTGTTACTCGAGCTGTCAAAACAAATCTATCGACACATCGTGTGCCAAAATCCATCAAGTCGTTCAAGTTGTAGCCTGTGAAATTTCAAACCAGAAATTTTAGATTAAAAGCAGACATATTGTTTTTAGAAAATCTTAATATAGTCAGTATACTCGCACTGCTAACACCAATCGAACAACCCCTCATACGTCAAAATGTTTGGATTACGCTGAAATTCGAGTTGAGGTTACTGGTTACAAGTTGATGTATATATACACATATATTTCTAAATCAAAATGGTGAACGCGTTTGCCACAAATAGTTCGAGTGCTCTCGAATTTGCCTTTTGTGAGTTGTAAGGGTCGCTGATAACGGATTTAGTATCAATTTTTTAAAAATCAGACTAGTCGATCCAACATGGCGGACGTATATGCACAAAAACATTTTAATTGCGCTCAATTTTGAGTGTTTAATGTATTTTGCCAATTATTGTATAATACCACATAATTGTTAAAGTTGCAGTTAGCTGCAGCCAATTTTGACATATTTCTTAACTGAATATCTGATAAAAATGCTACTATTCAAAATAAAACGGAGTCTAATGATCGTTTTTTCCAAGCCCTTTTTGAATTCACTATGAATTAGAGAAAAAATATCAATTGGATAATGTTGTTGTTGCATTGTGTCATATATAAAATTGGCAAGTAATATTTGTATAATGCGATAAATTATAACTATACTCGTAGTACATACATTCTACTCTGAGATCCATTTTTTCACATATCAATACAACTGGTCTTTTTTTTAAAATGGCACTATTCGAGCATACACTTATTTGCTTCTAGCTATATGTTAACGTTTGGTGCGACAGACATTCACTTCATGATAATTGAACAGGAAGAGCCATCTTAGTCGAACTAATGTTATTAAAATATGAATTAAGTATCCCTATATATGTACCTAACATGCCTATAACTATGAATAAAATCTGGAGTCAAACGAGATAACAATTTTTTGTACTTTTACTCCGGTTTTTTGGTTTTCGAACAAAGCGAGGATTCACGGGTGATCGCAAGCGGCTAATTTTACCAAGCAAATTTCTATAATATGTTGAGATTTTGTACAAGATAGTATGCATGCGTACCTGCGTACTTGTCATTGCGCCTAAAACTTGTTTCTTAGGTTAAATAAGTACCTAGAGGGCACCTCAGTAGCTCGTTGCGCTAGGAATCGGTCTACCTGAGGCTCGCGGGTTCGAATCTCCGCCTCCGAACCTGATTCCGAGCCACTGATAGTGCGTTGTGTGTCTATACAGGGTTATCCAAATTAAGTGTCCACCATTAGTAACTGTGTTATTAGTGAAAATACAAAGTTGTTTGAATTAGCAAACTAGTAGCATTTTTAACGCTGGTAAAAATGAGAAATAAAAAAAAACAATTGAGAGTCGTTATTTTGATTTTTTTCAGTAAAATAACATTTTTTTAAATGGAAACCCCTGTATATTATATTTTTTTCTGTTAAAGCATCAAATTTTAAACAAAAAAGTTCATAATGACTTTTCCGCTAAAGTCAAAAATAAAGTCAAAATAACGATAAATATTTTTAATTATTTGCAGTATTATAATATTAAGACGGCTATGAAAACAACATGGCGTTCGCGATTTGACAGCATTAAGATAAGCGACAAATTGTTAAACTGGACATACTCGCAACTAGAAGGCTTTGGAAAACAATGATAAAATCAAATAATGTCAAACATTAGTGTAAATACTTGTTTATAAGCTTTATTGTGTCATTAATTTAAAGAAAAATGTTCTCCCATGAAGAAAAGTGTGATATGTTAGAATGCTATTTAGTGTGCAGAAAATTCTCCTTGAGAGCAAGAGAATACTACAGTGAATTATATCCCGCTCGCATTCAACCGTATGAACGATATTTTCTGAGACTTTATCGAAAATTTAGGGGCAACGAAAATGTTTTTGCTAAAACAAGGGCAAAAAAAGAATTCATAATAAGCGAGGCCACGGAAATTGCAGTTATTGGATATTTTGAAGCTTATCGTGAGAATTCAATAGCAGATATTCTCAAGGACTCTAATTTCAGTTATGGTACTGTTCAAAGGATTTTAAAAAAATACAAATTTATTCCGTATAAGTACCGACCAGTTCAAACGCTTTTGGCAGGGGATCCAGAGAGAAGACTTGTTTTTTGCCATTGGTATCTTAGCTTCTGTCGCCAAAATGTAAATAACTTTCGTTACCTTTTATGGACAGATGAATCAAATTTTTCAAATTCTGGAATGTTTAATAGAAAAAACCACCATTATTGGTCAAGAGAAAATCTTTTGTTAGTACATCCAAGAGGCCCACAGGTCCGTTTCAGTTTCAACGTTTGGTGCGGTATAATTGGTTCAAAAATTGTTGGCCCGTTCTTTTATGAGGGAACCCTAACTAGTGAAAGATATGTGGAATTTATGTCAGAAATTCTGACTAATTTCTTAGACGAATTGGATCTTATAAGTAGACATCATCTGCATTTTCAGCAAGATGGCGCACCTGCCCACAACTCCAGAGGTACTTATCATTTTCTAAGTACTACTTTTAATGATCAGTGGATAGGAACAAATGGCCCAATACAGTGGCCTCCCAGATCACCAGATCTAAACCCACTTGATTACTTCTTGTGGGGTTACTTAAAGAACCAAATTTACAAGCGAAGGTACGATAACCTTGACGCGTTAAAGACTGCAGTTAGGGAAAAGATAACCCAGATAGATGGTAGGACCATACTTAAGACAGTTCGAGCAGTTGAAAAACGTGCCCAAAAATGTATTGAAGAACAAGGTGGTGTTTTCGAGCATCTTCTTTAAAAAAAATTGTTATTGTATTTTGTAAGATTATAAGTTGATGTTGAAAATAAAGTTTGTCGATACAATTTAATTGTTTCAGATTGGAGGCCATAACTTCAACAATTTGTAACCTAGGAGAAAAGTTATTGTAAGCTTTTTTGTTTAAAATTTGATGCTTTAACAGAAAAAAATATAATATACAGGGGTTTCCATTTAAAAAAATGTTATTTTACTCAAAAAAATCAAAATAACGACTCTCAATTGTTTTTTTTTATTTCTCATTTTTCCAGCGTTAAAAATGCTACTAGTTTGCTAATTCAAACAACTTTGTATTTTCACTAATAACAAAGTTACTAATGGTGGACACTTAATTTGGATAACCCTGTATAAAGAACCAGATGGGTGCAGGATTAACTATAGGTACATATCACCGCTGGAGCTGTTTATTCAATAATAACCACTAAGATGGCTTGTATACAGTGTTGTTACTACGAGGTATCTCCACCGCTAGTACCACATAGATTCAGCCTTAGAAGCCAAGGAGATCTCAAGCGATCCATTCTCAAATTTGGCCGTGCGAATTCAAGTTTTTCTTTTACTGGGACCAATATAGAAGTATTTCTCCTTTACTTTCTCTCCCACTTTGCAAGCTCATTCGTATTTATGTTCGTTATTGTAGTTCTAGATGCATTTGTATTTAAAATTTTCAGGTAAATTTATTTTTTAGTGTATGATGGTGGTGCAAAGTTTCCTTCAGGAATCCTACACGGGAACATCAACCAGTTAGGAGACTTTGACATGTGCGTTAATTCTCACTCTAAAGAACGGAACATCCATGGGCAATACTGCTTGACCAATTTGGAAATCGAAATACCTAAGAGTACATATCTCTCTGGATTGTATCAACTGATCATGGCATACGATCACATCAAAACAAAAATTGAAGATGTGAGTGATTTTTAGTTACTTATGTAAACGATAACGCTTGAAAATGTCTACACTGGACTGAAGCTATCAGACAAATGTGGTCTTACCTGTATGTTACAACTTTATGGTTGAACACCGAGAAGTGGTCAAACTTAAGTTTAATTGGTTAAAGCGTGGAATTGCATATCAATTTATTATTATTATATAATTATTAATTTCACAATTCCGAAAAAGTACTATAAGTATACTAAGTGACATATAAATCCGAACACACAGTTTAAATGGTTTTATTTTAATAAAATTTTGTATACGTACTTAATGAAGCATAATAAGTAAATGATAAAAATTTCAAAATGATTGCACTGCTTTAAAGCCCTTTGACCTTTAATAATGTGTGGATGCACCCTGATGTGCTACGCATTCTCCAACGCGCCTAGGCATGCTTCTGATCAGGTGGTCAATGTCCTCCTATTATATCTCATTCCAGGCAACCACGAAGTGCTTCTAGAGTCTGAGGAGGACGTTGCAAATTGAGCAATCTCCTACCCATCATATCCCACACGTGCTCAATTGGGGATAAGTCGGGAGATCTTGGTGGCCATGGTAACAATGTGACATCATTATGTTGAAAGAAGTCTATTGTGACTCTTGCAACATGTGGTCGGGCATTATCTTGTTGGAAAGTTGGATCTGCCAGGGTGTCCAGATAGGGTAAAAGATGGGGTTCTAGAACTTCGTGGATATAACGCTGCGCGTTCATGTTACCTCTGATGAAGATTAAAGGTGACTTGGAACCATAAGCTATAGCACCCCAAACCATAACTCCAACAGTGTGATGAACATGTCTTTCAACAAAAACTGTGGATTCCTTCTTGCACCACGTCGCCTTCTAACCCTGGCACGACCATCGTGCATACCTAGACTCGTCACTAAAGACAATACTGTTCCATTCCTGATCCCAGAGTGACCGTTGTCTGCACCACTCAAGGCGATTACGTCGGTGTTCTCGAGTTAAAGGGAGGACCCAGTGTGGCCGGTATGAAAACAAGCCAAAACTTCTCATTCGTCGGTAAACACTTCGCATGCCAATAGGTCTTCCGTGTTCTGCAAACCATTCATTTGCAATGGACCTAATAGTGGAGAAACGGTCCCTTAAGGCCAATAATCTTAGGCGGCGATCTTCACGGTCTGTTGTTCTACGGCGGCGTCCAGTGCCCCTTGCTCTTTGCGTACGGCCTTCTCGAAGCCATGCCTGACAACACCTAACCACAGTGTCTACACTTCTTTGAACTCTAACTGCAATTGCCCGAAAAGAAAGTCCAGCTTCCCGAAGTCCCACTATACGGCCCCTATCAAACTCACTAAGTTGACGAAATCGTACAGGTCTCCGTACTCTAGGCATCGTAACCGATCGTAAAGGATGTCAAGAACCAAAATCCGCCAACGTTGATTCTTTACTGCGGCTGAAATATTCATTTTTAGAGCGTTAGTGAATTAAAAAAAAGCAGTATAAAAACCGGAATGTCCAACTGATAAGGCTGAAAATTTTTTCACTTGTTATTTACAGTAAGATAAATGTTTGGCTTTTGTTTGAGGTTTTGGGGTTTAATACACGATTTTGTTCACAAGCTTTGTATTTTTCCCAGAGCACGTACATAAACGTCGGCGGTTAGATATGCGAATGCTGAATACTGAACTTACATTGTTGCCACGTCTAAAAACTACAAAGTAAAACAAGTCGGCCACAACAATAAATACATTCACCAACTTTTATTAAAATAAAACCATTTAAACTGGGTGTTCGGATTTATATGTCACTTAGTATAATATATTGCTAATAGTAATATAGCTTTCGTTCGTCAGACCAGAGACGGCCAGCCATGGGCAGCTGTTTACTGTTATTTGGCAACTCCTCAGCATGTTGTAGGTTTGGTCCCGGTTGACAACGAACGAAAGCTGAACAAATCTATTTATAGTATAAGGTTAACCGAAATAAGACAGCACAAAGTGCTATCTATCACCAGAATCGGCCACCATAGAGACTCGGCTGACAATGAAACTGGGATACAATTCCAACAAACAGCTTGTTGTTTTCACTTTCGCAGTGGTCGGTTCTGGTGATAGTTGGCACTTTATACTGCCGTATTTTGATAAATACTATAATGAACAACCCAAAAAAGGCATTTTTGTATTGAGTCAAGATTTTTTTAGTCAGGACACAGAGTACCAAGATTTTCAAGTATAATGTGGGCTGTCTGCATCCCAAGCGTATGTACACATGAAGAAGTTGAAAAGGGGCTGAGCAAGGCTATCCAGAAAATAACCGAGGGCACAGATTTAAAAATCAGGCAAAAGGTGTACCCAGAAAATTGTCACGCCAAAGATAAATGGGAGGTCCCTATCTCTACCTATATTGCATTGTAAGTTGAAGTTGTCTGTGAATAATAATAAAAGCAAAAATGTTACATGAAGTGCCTTATAAAATCATTTTAATTTTCACAGGATACTGTTCGTAGGATTTATCAGCTGGCTGATGTTTGCAACCCTCTATCATCATTGGAGCTTCAATCCTCAAAGTAAGTTTGTTGATGAAAAACCATTCGGAAGCATCCTCAACATTTTCACAGTATTTCCTCTGCTCAGGTCTCAGAATCAAAGAACCAGGCAGTTTACTTATGGGGAATGGCTTTCGGCTAAATTTGTTGAAACTTCGCACGGAGATTAAAGCCCCAATGGGGAAAGCCTCCTTCAACCCCTAAGGAAGGGGTTATTAATAGATATGGGAGGACAGCATAAGTCTTAAAATAATATTATTAGAGAAGAAGTAAGACATACTGTTGCCAAGATTTCTGCCAGACTGGCAAACTGTGATAATGGATTTGACCTTTACAGTGACCCTGAAGGTCAAGGTCAGGTCAATTTTTGAAAGCCGTATATCCTACTTTTCACCAGGAAAACCGGACGAAGCGGAACATCTACTATCATGTAGTACTTGAGCATTTTGAAAAAGCAACATTTAAAGGTCATGGTCTGAAAACCCCTGCCAGATTATCTATAAAACGCACAAGCATATTTATAGGTGCGGCAGATACTGACGGACCAGCGCCAGAACGCTCGAATACCGATTGTCTGAATTCTTAATGGTTCCATGGGTGAATTTTCTTGAAACTAGATGGAGAGGTGTAGTTTATTATGCACTTTGATTTTATCGTTATCACTTACCATTCTTACTTAAGTCTTCAAATATTGTCTTTACGATAGTCAAGTTAGGATGTGCCAATATTTTGATGTCCTGTTTGTACACAATCAGAACATTTTCTGCATTGATCATTGCAAACTTGAAGGGTCTTAGTTATAAAGGTTTGTCAAGTAATAAAATGGTTTGAAAAGCGAGTATTTTTGATATATGTGCTACGAGGTAGGGTGGTGGGGGTTTTCAAGTTACTGGGAGTAATAAGTATGGGAAAGTGTTATCAATATGAGAGAACTTCCGGCCTTCAGTCGATGCATAGTACATAGACATATGTGGAGAAGGGAAATAAGCTACGTCACTACCAATAGGATGTCTCGCTTAAAAAAATTGACTTGACCTTTACCATAACATTCAAGGTCACGGACACAGACAAATCCATATTTACCATTGGCCAGTCCCGAATAAATCTTAACAACAGTTGGTTTCAGTTCCTCTCTGTCAATGTTACATGTTAAAATAATCATCCCGCTTTTGAGTTATATGGGAGGTCGGCGAGAGGTTTCCTGATAATGACTTTCAAATGTTGCGCTTCCAAATGCTCAAGAACTCCATGACAGTAGATGTTTCGCTTTTAAAAATTTGTGTGACTGACCATAGTCTAGGTCAAGTCCATGATCACCTTTGGCCAGTCTTTCAGAAATCCTTGCAACAGTATGTTTTACTTCTTCCCTAATAATATTATTTTAAGACATAGCTTGTCCTCCCATGTCTATCAATAACCCCTACTTGGGGTTTCTGAGTCGTGAAGGGGATAGATGAAGCCGAAGGCCATTTTCCATAAGAAATCTGCCTGGTTCTTCACATGACTGAATCCAAAAGTATTTTGGAGAAATTGTGAAAATATTGTCTTTTTCAGATGAATGGATCTTGGCCTTTTCTTTGAAAAAGAACTTCGACTCCCTATTCACGATAAAGAATAACTCGAACGATATCGAAGTTTTGCATGGAATCAGGTGGTTGAATGCTGTAGCACTCATCGCTGCTCATAAAAACATGGCGATGCTTTTTGAGCCGTTTTCCAACCGAACAGGAATGGTTGATGTAGGTATTGAAGATCTTCTAAGGGAAATTTTATATGTCCAAATGAAGGGTGTTCCACAGCTTACGCAAGATTTGAAATTATTATTTCTGTTATGAATCACAAATTATACAGGATAGGTCATGTATCGAATAGCACCTCAAGGCAGCGCGGTGGCGTAGTGGTAGATGCTACGTATCTACTCTAATCCGTCGCAGTGAGCTGCGCGGGTTCGAATCCCATCCCAAGAGAATTATTCTCTTGGCTGTGGATGTTGTGTTTATGCATCGAACGTGAAGGTAGCACCCGGCCGATTTCGAAGGGGGAGGAGTGTTGAAAGTGTGCATGTCGCATGCATAGTTGCTCCCTCGATAGAGTGCCTTCGTTCCCTGTATACCCCTATTGTCCCACGAGTCTAGGAATTAGGCATTCGTGATGGTTCAAGTATAAATAAAGGCAAATGACCTCCTGGGTCTTGACACACACGCACTTTTCTGTTGGAATTCTTCTTGACCATTTTGCGTAAATATTGATGAAATTTGTTGATGCTGCATCGGATTTCCTTACTCATTGCATGAGCGCTTGTGAGCTTCTTGCCGTCTATATTGGATGATCATGTGATCTAACACAATTTTATTACTCATACGCCACTGGCGGGGAACTATTGTAATCACGAACCATTTCGAAAATGAGATATTCAAGGTGTCCCGAAATTGAACGATAATCCTGCAACTTTAGAAAGGCTACGTCATGATGTACATGGTCTACTAGATGATAAAACTGTCGAAGTTTTATAATTTTCGAGATTTTCGGCAAAAAAATTTTTTTCTGGAAAACTGGCGTATATTCAGTTAATCCCGCACCATTTATACAAATATAAATTTTTTGGACCATTGTCGATTTGAGACACTCAGAATTAAGCATTTCGTCTCGTTCAGTATCATTTTTCCTTAATGTGGAGAAAAACCCACATAAAAGTCATGCCAAAGTTTGTATATTTCAATTTTTTGATGTTAGTATATATAGACTCTCCCAACCCCAATAGTTCTACGTACCTATTAGCCATATTTCACACATCATAGGTTACCCTATTTGTCTTTAAAACTTCGAATGATAGAGAAATGTTTTCGATGCGCTTCTCTTGCTATCTGGACTCAGCGCCCGGACGATATGGAAAAGGGCAACGTTGCCAGATGGATGGAAACTACCGGTAGGGCAGAAAAAAATGTCTATGGACTAATTATATGTGCCAGTTTGTCTGACTTGATCCGTTTAATGTCCCTTTTATTCACGTTATCAGAATGCTTAACTTGTGCTGCATAGGAAGTGCAGAATCATCCTACTTGATGTCATTCTTTTGGATTCCTTATGACATGTCATTCATTTCCATTGGTTTGTTTGTCTGTGTGTCTGTCCGATAATCCTTGGCTCCACTATAACTTGGAAAGTACCTGTCGGATTGTGATGAAAATTTGATGCAAGGTTACGACTATGCGAGAAACAAAATATATTTGTTGTTTTTAGAAATCGGACCAGCGGCGGCTGAGCTACAGGCAAAAATAAAAGAAACGCTAAGCTCGATTTTTCAGAGGCTGTCAATCATTTGCAGAAATTTTTGTAGGGGAGCAAATTGACCACCGAGGGTTGTAGGGGGTGGGTGAGGGCTTATTTCGTTTTCTTTCCGTTGGAATATTAACCAACGTTTGGTAAATCTACGCACGTATTGGATATCTCTCATAGATTATCTAGACTGACCGATGTCTGACTATGGGTGGCTGGTGATAGGCGGAGTTAGTCATAGCAACGTTGCCATAATATGGTCGGTACTGTTATTAGGGCAGGCTGGAGACTATGGACCAGTTGTATATGCCTGTTTGTCTGACTCCATCTATTTATTTATTTTTTTTTGTTTACGTATACGTAAGTAGCTATTGTTATGTCAGAGGATCTAGCTTTTGCCGAACATAATCCGTTATGACATGATGACGGCCCTGGGCAAAGTGGCCATACTTGACCCCATTTTAATTTAGATAATTTGAAATTAAACGCCTATGCAACAGACCTCATGCATTGATGGAGGAGATTTAACACTGCCTCAGCGAAATCATGCACATTTTTGCAAAGTGGGTATGGAAAACTTCGTTACCAAAGATTACGTATGTGTCAACCGAAGATGATGTTCCATGCATATCCTTTTTCCGTGTAGGTACTTCATGATTTAATAAGAAAATAACAATCTAAATGAGAAAACTTGTGTTTGCTATTTCAACATCCTGAGTGGTTTTAGGAACACCCTTTAATTTCCAACTTGTGTACGTTGTGGACAAAAAAAAACATTTTAAAAATGTCAAAATAATATCTGTTAACAGGAAGTGGCATCTGCAATCTCCCTCGTAGGAAGAACGGCAAGTCTGTACACAGAACCATTCATTCTGATTTCGGGAATACTGACAGCGAAGTCTTTATTGGGTAAATTGGACAAAACGAAGAAGATCAACCTTTGGGAGGAGTACGTTTCTAGATTGTTCAGAATCGTCCCATCTTTAGCCTTCTTGATCTTCTTTTGCACATTTCTGATGCCTTGGATGAGCAGTGGCCCAATGTGGAACCAAGTGGTCACGCATCACTCGCATATTTGCAAGAAGAATTGGTGGAGGAATTTGTTGTTCATCCATAATTATTTTGGATTTTCGAATATGGTGAGTATGCCTCTTATGTTCGAGTACAGCTGAACATCTTGGATGTGACCATAAATTTGACCAAGGCCATTCTAAGGTCGAGTCATGTGTTAAGGAATCAATATTTGTAACAACGGGAATGAAATAGGGACATGTCCCTATGCAGGGATACCAATAAATTAGAGCTTGACCATTAGTTTCAATACAAGGTCAAGAATTCTTTGAAAACTATGAACTACGTAGAAAAATATCTACTTTATTATGAAAATTTTTTGAAGATTTTTGAACCTACGAACTAGTGAGATTTACCTCCATGAATTTGAAATTGACCTTAGGGTCATATTATAGGGCCAAGCACAGGGTATAGCACTTACAAGATGAATTTTCGTGGACAGCCTTTGCCGTTTCTAAAATCGTCTTTTCATTCACGAGAGAAAGAATATGGGGCTAGAGTTGTCAGTACCAGTCGGATTTTGACGAAATTTTGATACAAAGTTACTCCTAAGCCAAGGAAGAAAAAGCTTTGCAGTTAAAAAATCGCTGTAGTAACTGCGGAGCTATGGACAAATCAAAGAAAGAAATGAAAATCACTCAAACGTTTTTTGGCATCTCAGACAATCCTGCTGATTTTTGGAAATTCTTTTAGGCTGAGAATGGAAGGTTGGGGTCTGTAGGGATGAGATATATCAGATAAAATGGTATACATACATATATTTATGTATGTGAATCAGCTAAAAAATCTGGCTCAATAAACCATAGTGCGGATCAGCTAAAAAAAATATTAGAATGTATGTTAGTCAATATCGGTGGTTGGTGCTGGTTACTCATAAAGAGCACGCGGCGAGGTGACATGCATGAAAATATACGAGGTGGGCGCTATATTATGCATATACCGGGTGTTTCAAATTCGACCGTCATCATTGGGATCTCGGAAACGGTAAGAGATACGAAGTGGTTTAAATGGGGTAAAGTTAAGTACTTACTTAATCAACAAAATGCCATATAGAAAGTTTCTAAATTCAAAGTACTGGAGAGAGAAGGAGAAAATCGATTTTGCTAAGATAATTAGAATATCAATATGACGTTTTGGCTCTTGTACTACAGCATCAACTTTATTTTTTCTTATAGAATGAAATTTTACACAGATAAAGTTTTTTAATCTGCCAACCCTTAGTTATTTCAAAAAAGCAGAATTGCCTATGTAGCCCTTGAAATTATCAGATCGTCGTTTGTGTAACATCTAGATTTATCCCGAAATCATTTTAATTCTTTCCTACTTTATTTAAGATGGGATTTCAAAATAAATTGCATGATGTCATTGTACTTATTCTCCTTCCTCCACAAGTTGGCGTAGTAAAATTTTCAAATCGACATTTCTTCTTTCGACTTCCATGATCAACTTTGTTTTTTCGTATGGACGCTCTTTTGGAATTTTGTAAATTTGATTGGACTTTTTCGTCCTAAATTCAGTGTTGTGGACATGCATGTTTTGTTCGATGAAAATTATAAGGAAATAAAGAGGTATGGTGAAACCAGAACACAAAATGAAAATTTTATTGATGGTAATAACTATAATAATCATAACTAAGCAGAGATAAATCATAGCAGATATTCAAAATAGTGTCTGTTATTTTGTACGCAATACATGGCTCTTTTATGAACATTTGTTCACTGCTTGATTTCTTTTCTTCTCAATCCTCTAAACTCTGTCGCTATGTTCAAAGTGAGGTCTGGTCTGGTATACAAAACAAAGCCTTCCTAAAAACCTCTGTTTTTCTGGAATGACTAAGGTTTGAGCATATCAATGTGTGACATATTATACATTCTTGAAATCAAAATTAAAAACTCTATTTAACTTCGGACAAATCCAATATGACGTCCATAAGAAAAAATGAAGTTAAGTAATGTTGGAAATATATTATTATTATCTCTAATTACGCCATCTTGCCGAAGGGAAAGTGTGGAATGTTCACATGAAATGAATTTTGGAATCCCATCTCAAATAAAGTCAGAAAAAAGTAAAAGTGATTTTGGGATAATTCTGATAGATGAAATGAATATCAGATAATTTCAAGGCTTACCCAGGAAATTCTGCGATATTTCAAATGTCTAAGGTTTGGCAACATCAATGTATGACGTATCATACATTGTTGGAATCAGAACTGAAAACTCTATTCATCTGTGCAAAAATCCAATAACGCCATATAAAAAAAAAACAAAGTTGGTGGTGGAGGACAAGAGATGAAACGACATATTGATATTCTAATTATGCTATCTTGTAGAGGAACAACAGCGATGTTAATGTGCAATTTATTTTGAATTTCGAAACTTTCTAAGCAATATTTTGTTGATTACCTAGATTTGCCACTTTGCCCCCATTTGAGCGACTTCGTATACCTTACAGTTTAAGAGAGCCCAATTGTGACGGTGACTTCAAATAGTAATAACAAACAGATCTACACTCCAGCTCCAAAGAAGCAGGGCTATCACGTATGGACATACTCATTGCATCAATCTGAGAAGTTTTTTCCATGAAATTCTCACTAGTACATTATTGGGTCTCACAAAACCTACCTTTTTTATGTCACTGTGTATAGATGAAATTGCACTACATGGGAATTGTACTGGAAGCAATTTAGAAGTCGTGAAGAGTGTAGTTAAATTACTTGATGCATTTTCATTTGTTTTTAGTGCCTGACACATACTCATCATATAGGGATCGACACACAACTATTCTTCTTGTCACCAATCTTGGTATATGTACTCTGGAGGTGGCCTAAACGAGGAATGATTACTTTAACAACAATTGCTTTGGCTTCTACCATCTACAGATTCTACCTGACTTATGTTATGCAGCTGAGCAACTACATCCATATGTCAGCTTCGTAAGTATATATTACTAGTAATACTGCAATAATCTAGTAGTAGATTGTTTAAATGAAGTTATCGCAACCTTTTATTGCAATAATTGCAATTTTTTGGTACAATTGAATGAATAAAAAATGTTTGTGATGCTTTTGTTTCTAGAACACCACAGCTATTTGCCACAGCTGACTATTCGTACACCCAACCGTCTCACAGACTACAAGTTTACGTCATGGGAATCTTCGTAGGATACCTTCTAAAATACTCAGAAAATGTTAGATTATCACAGGTAAATGCATACGGTTTACTTTTGTTTTTACTTTTTCGCAGAGTCGTCTACATCTATGTACATTCAGCAAACATGTTAAATTTGATATACTGACCGACTGCCTTATAGGTCCAAGGTTCCTCGGACTATTTGACATGCAATTCTATTTCCGAGATACTTTTATTTGGTTGGATGCCTTCAAAGTTGGGACCTTACATAGCATATAGGTCAGGCATGTCTTTTTAATAACATATTTGCCAAAGCTTCAAGATAACTGAGATATTATGTTTTAAAAAAGCAATAAATGAGACAGTACACACTCCTCCTCCGTCAAAATGTAGATGTACTAAGAATTGGTGAGTCACGATACAAATCAGGCGTCGCGTGCTGTCTAGGTTAACCTAGCTTAAGCAAACCGCACTTAAAAAACTGAAATCGGCACATTCCTAGAGCAATGAAGAAGCTACAGATTTGATATGATCATCTTCAAGATCCTATTGATACTCGGTGAGTGTACGTCGCCGTCTACCTGTATGTTTATTTCCATCAGAGCAGCATATGTTTGTTTATATCGTGCAAAAGCCGTCTGGTTGAACACAGTTGAATAGTGAGCATTTCGCTTTAATTTCTGTATTGATTTGCCGCAAATTAGCTTTGATGTTGCAAACGTAGTTGACCCAGGAAAGTCCCAACTTTCAGGACACCCTGTATAATCAGTGATAGAGAAAGTAGAATAACTAGTAAGATGATTTGATTCGAATCAAACTTTATATACGGTTAGATATTAGTGAGAGGAAGTTGTGATTAAATTATCAACTTAAAACTTTTGCTGTATCGCTAGACTTCCCTAATAATTTGTAGGATCATCCTCTATACTGTATACATTCCTCCAGTCATCGAATCACTTTTGTGAAGATGTGATTTATGTCTTCTTGAGCTGCTCGTATTTGTGGGAGATGAGGTAAAGAGGTCAATATTCCTTCCATTATACCCCACACATGCTCACTGGGCAAAAGGTCTAGATCTAGACAACCAAGTAAGGAAGCTGAATTGAGCACTATGAGGCAGTTCATTGTAGTTCTAGCAATATGAGGATGGGAATTATCTTGTTGGAAAATATGTACCTCTGCAGGAGACAGGCACAAAGACTCACGTACATGCGCTTCCTGCATTCCTAAACAGAACCAAAACCTAGGAAATTGGGACTATGACTCAGTTTTCAGTGACGAATCTCGGTCCTGTCTGGAAATGGATGATAGGCGGGCACGAGTTAGAATGCGTTGCGGAGAAAGGATTAATATGAAGTTTTCAGTACGAGTTACTGTTTCTGGCGCTATTATACATGGTACTAAGTCACCTCTAGTTTTCATTAGAGAAGATACGATGGCGCAATAGTATATATATCATGGAAATAGGGAAACCTCAACCTCTGCCTTTCTTCAAACGCTTGAGAATCCGATTTTTCAAAAAGATAATCCTCATATTACAGAAATTGAATTGACTACCTCAATTATGCTCCAATTAGCTTCCTTTGGCATCTCAGATCTCCAGACTTCTCACTCATTAAGCATACGTGGGATATGATCGCTGCTTCTTTCTAACTGTATACAGAGTGTTCCGTACTTAAATGGACACAGTGAAATGGTAAGTAGTATGGACCGCGACATTCTCAACCACTCCAAATACTTAATACCATAAATGAAATTCTGCACAATAACAAAGTTACCTAGGAGTAACGTGAAACCATACATACGGTTCAACAATCCGGCGCCGGAGTCGTTTTTTTCTCTTACTTGTTTTTTTATCAAATTCCTCACCTTTTAAGCTGCATATTGAGATGTTCAACTATGTACAAAAAAGCCAGTGAATTGTGCTGATTTAGTAGCAGGGTAAATTGCCTCTTTCGGTTTTTAACAAAAAAAAAAAATTATTTAATATCTTATTTTTAGCATTTTATGTGACTGAACTCAAAATTTCAAGGGTTATCAACTTGGTTTCATCCACATTTTACGAAATAATGCTAGAAATTGGACTATCTATGGAATAGGAACTCAAAATTACAGCTCGGATTCAAATTTTTTATTCCCTGGGATTTTATCAAGTGAACGTCCTGTAAGTTATGAATTTATTAATATGCAGGAAAACAGAGAAATACATCATACAAGTAAAAGAGAAAATTATTGTTCAGTCTTTTTATACTTGAACCACCACGAAGGCCTAAGGCCTAAGCATCCATGGGTACCGTGGGGCTATATGGGGATACAGGGCAAAGGGGGAACGCCACATGGACTCTAGTGAGGGAACATGTATCCATGCAACATGCGCACATCCTGGCCCCGCCTTAGATACCCGCCAGGTGATACCTCTACCTTTGACGGTTAGAGACCGTTTATCAAAAAATGAATCAATCTATTTGGATAATCAATTAGCACTTTTTATTCTTTTTTTCCACATTTCAATATTCAGCTTGAATGGTGTTGATTTTAAGTAACACAAACTTGGAAAGACATTAGTCCGGTTCTGGCTTTTTCAACCGTCCTTCAAGTTTTACGATACTCCTAGCTAACATTGTTATCGTGCAAAATTTCAACAAAGTCAGTTCAATGCAACCTAAGATATGTGGTATTTATTAAAGATCTGGCGTGTTGATGAGTATATCCGTAAACACTGAACTTAGAACTTTATTTTCAGATATAAAAAGGTCTCGGTCCATACTATCTACCATTTCACCATATCCATTTAAGTACAGGAGATCTGATTAAAATAAAATGTTATGTTTTCTTTGTCACTGGGTATGTTTTCAAAACCGAAGCTAAAGCGTATTTTCAAACTTCTTTTCAGACTACTCTAAAGATTGGAAACGCTTTAGCTGTAGCATGTTTCTGTCTGTCCTATTTTGGATTCTACAATATGGGCATGAAAGATTATGTCTATAACCCCATGGATGCGGCCTTGTTTGGATCAATTGCTCCACTCCTTTTCTGCTTTGCTTACTCTTGGCTCATCATCACATCAGAACTTATTGGGAAAGGTAAGAGATGTTATATTGCGCATGTCTCATGCAAGGAATCGAAATCCCCATACCCAGAACTGCCTGATACTTTTTATATAAAAGAGTGTCAGTATTATTCTTAATAAAACTATTTCTGTAAATCGAATCTTGAAAAACAAATCCGGATCTTATCCAGAAAGAATGAATGTGGTGGAATCGGCAATCGTATCTGATTGTTCAAAATTAATATCTGCATGAATTTCTTGTAATTAATTGGATTTTGGGATCTAAAGAAACAGTCTTCTGATATACAGTTGCTGACGTTTCGGAAAAAATATGTTCTTCTTCAGGACTCTACGAAGTAAGTGATACTTATTTTGGTTAAGACATTATATAAAATGAGAAATTTATACTAATCTTCGAACTTCATTAATAAGATACCAATTCCCAACACATGCACACAAAAAAAATAAAACAGAGATAAAATTAGGCAGATGTTTCTTTCAGTTTTCGATTATCAGATAAAAGAGAAACCATAATGAACTTACCCTTTTGCAACTTTTAACAAACAAAAGACTATTACGAGGTTTTTGAGTTCTGGTTCCCATTACGTGCCAACCATCAAATTTATAGTACCTCTTTAAAATGCCATGATGCCATTATACCGTGTTTGGAATTTGAGCTTCCCAGAACTTTTTTCTGGATAGGAGTGCCTTTTATTTATTATACCGGCTGACAGAATTTTACATAGGAACTAGAGAACACGTTACCGAAGGTTTTTGATGTGCTGAATCTGAATCCGTCATCCAAATCTCTAAATTTGCTCTGGATTCCAAGATTTACTAACAAAAATGTCCAAGAATATTTTTTTTAAAGAAACCATATACATCACCTCAAAGTATAAGCCTTGCTCTTTCAAATAACGTTGAGTTTGCCTAAATACCTGTTTCTTTCGCTTTCTGATCTAGATCGGTTCAACTTTTATCAAATGGATGCAATTTTTTATTCTAAAACCAATGTGCAATCGAACATAAGAACGTTAAATTCGGCCTTGATAAGGTAGGGGGGTTGGGGGCTTGCGGTTTAGGTAAGTTTTGGATATTTCATGGATTTAGTGATTTATGAGCTTTTTAAATAGTACATTATTACATTTATGGGCTATTACAATCCAAACAGCAAATTTAATTCGCAAGTTATCCTAACGTGTAGAATGTCTAATATAGCGGAATTCAGAAAAATAAAAATTTCAAAGTGCCATATCTCAGCAAAAGACTGTCTATGTTTTTTGAAAAAAAGTGGTTTGTTATGCTACATAACCTCATATACATGGGAGAGCCTTTAATATATCTCGGAAGTTAGAGCTAATTGAGAGAGAGATTTAGACTACGGATTTGAATCCAGCGCACCAAAAACTTTAGAGTGTATGTACTCTGGTTTCTGGATAGGAAGGTCAGTTCAGTTTTGTCGGTCTCTGTTGTGGGTCCTATTACGATGGAAACGTACTATGAAAATTAATTCTAATTTTTTCATGAAAAGGTGGAGCGGTAAACGTTAATGACCAGAGTTACCACAAATATAAGCTTTTATGACTCCTATATGGAACCATTTGAAAAAATGAAGAAACCATCAATCTTCTTAAACCAAATGCTCCATATATTAATCTAACATTTGAAACTTATTCCATAGTTTAGTTGGATAATTATGCATATTAGCAATTTAATTTATTAGAAAAAAAATCCGAATTGGCTGGGTATGCGATGATAGCGCCAACTTGGGCTAAAGTATTTGTGATTGTGGATAAAAATAACAGACACTTAGTCAATTTGATTTTAGGAACAACTTTTTTTTTTGATCTTACTAATGAAATATTTACTACCTATACCTTTCACAGGCCTCACTTGACACCACATGTCAGATTTCACCAAACAAGCTACGCCTAAATTTTGCTCTTAGTCCGACGATGCTTCCCTTTTTATCCAACTTACGCGCGGCGATCGATTCATTTTTCTCCACTATGCACTTCGCTCTCAGCGACTTCACTCTATATGTATGTACTGCAGGACATATTTTTCTTTTTAGGACCATTAGGAAGATTTTTCTCATGGAAAATCTGGAAATGGTGGACGAAAATCTCCTATGGAGTTTACTTGACGCAGTTCCCAATCTATTTCTATAACGTCGGAAGGGTGAGATCATCAACAACATTCAGTTTCTTCGGCACGCAGTATAACATCAAAGAAATCATGTGGATAATATTTTTGTCAATGCTTTTGACCGTTATGGTAGAAATGCCATTCCAAAATGTTAGGGATATCTTCATGAAGAAAAAACCAACAAAGAAAGAGAGTGGTGAAGTTCGTCACGAGAAAGAAAGCTGAAATATCAACGATTGAATGGAAATGTTTCAAAAACTTGTGTAGACCGAAAAACTAGTCGTAATAGTAAGGTTTTTGTTGGTTGACAATAAGTCGAGTTGCTGATTTTAGGATTTCTGTAGGGAAATGATGATTCATTTCTATTTTTACAGTGGTGGGAAGACTGAAAGGATGTAGTTATGAGTTAATATATTATTTAAGTGTATCAATTTGGCTTGTGACCTTATGTTATTGGTAGATACAATTTGTTTCTATATTATCACCTATAACACATTTTAATAAGGGGATAGTAAAGGGAAGTATAAGACGAGGTCAGTTAGTAGGTAGTTCCATTACTGACGTCAGACGTATACTTTTGATATTTGCCTCAGCTTAGCCAAACATAATTTGATGTACGGTTTTAAATGATGTTTTTCATCATTCTAAAATGACATTATTAACGTTTTTGCCATTATGTAGGTGCAATAAGTTCTTAATCAACCCACGAGTATACTGTAGCTATATTTTATTGATGTTTTTGGTGGAGTATTGATATGTACTGCACCGATGGACTACCAGTGAAATGTGATTTGTAATGTATTAAATAGTAACAGGATGCATATTTTTTCAATATATTTATTATCTAGTCTGTCTTGGAAATTCCATACGATACCGCTAAGAATAAACTAAATTGTAGAAAAAATACTTGGTCTAAATGTGCAATCTAGCAGTGATATAAATAAACATCTGATAAACTTCTTTAGTGAGTTTATTTTTTTACTGATCTCCAGCCATATTGCCAATAAGTACATTTATGAAAAATAAAAAAGCTCTCCTGCAGTAACTTGAAAGAATAAATGTTCAATTGTCTATCAGGCCATTTGAGCTACAGCCCGTGAAATACTAATTTCGAGGTTCAATGCCGTTTTGATTCTACGAAGTTGTGGTATACCCAGTATCACTCACACCGTCAAGACAAATCTAGAGACATTTCATATGTCGAAATCCTTCAAGCCGTTTAAGCTGTAGCCCGTAAATTATAGGAATTTCAAGGTGCATATTTTTATTAAGACCTGCCATTTTGGTTATGTAAATTTTTAATTTAGCGAATGTCACTCTCACAAATAAAGGGTAGCAAGAAATTTTCTAACACTTGGGTTATTTTTCCTATCCTCGACCCATTGTTCATTTGTTCTCTCCCATCTGTAAGTGTACTTTGTTGTTTATTTATTTTATTACCTTGCCTGTTTTATGTCCTATACCTACGTTTTTTTATTTGAGTAAGCAAATAAAAAACAATGCAAACTTTTCACTTGTCACCTTCAATCGGAGACGTAGCCTTATCAGCTTCATCAACCGTTTCCATCTCTTCAAGCTTGTCTTGTTCTTCTGTTGGCTTTTCTTCTTCAGCATCACTGAAGTTCTCTTCAATGTCTTCATGGTCTATCTCGCTCTGCTCTTTGGTGGCATCGCTTGTTGCTATTGATGCTGAATCCTGATCTTTAGCCGCTGCAGCAGCTTGCTTCGCTCCTTTGCCTACAAGCGGAATTGAAATCCAGAATTTGTAAAATGTTGATGGTACTAATCAGGGAAAAAATCAGGAGGGATAGAAAAAGTTAGTCATCGTTCCGAGAATCAAGGGTTCTTAATTGCTTGGACACTCCGGCGTCAATTGTGTCAATAGTGACCTCTTTAATGAAACCTAGGTTAGGCCTTAGACACTGTTCAACTTATATATAACACATATGTCCTTAACATCAGATCCGGCAGGGTTATAACGTATCATGAAAAGTGACATTATATCGTTTTTTGTCATTATATAGGTGTTTTGTGACATTATGTAGGTTTTTCTACAATATTTCAACTTAGCACTGGCTGTTGTACATTAGTTGTGTACTCGTTCCGTAGCTGTACGTATTACCTAAACATCATGATGCTTCAGCTATGAATGTTTGGCTCTGATGTGATATAACATCTGCTTCAGAGATGTCATTATTGGAGGTCTATGTTGAAAGTTGTATACTATAGCTGGAAGGAAACGGCAGTGTATAGGTGCATATTGAGGATATGTGTGCTAATAATCTGTGTTGATGGTAATTCCATTAGTTTCTTGTCTCAAATACACTTACTTGAGATGTATGCAAAGCTAAAAATTGGTTACGCATACGCTGTTTCTTATTCAACCTGGAAATTAGATAAGCAAATTTGCTAAATTTCAAAAAAGAGAGCGATAATAAAAGTCCTGGTTGGTGAAGTATATCAAAACTAAAAGCTATTTCATTTCACATTAATTTTTATTTTCAGTCATTTAAATTTTATAGAAATTTATTATAGATGTGATGCAGTGCGAACATGTTTTGTATGTGATGCGACATTCCTAGCTTTTCTGTGATGTGGCTCAATTACACATAATGCGGGTGCAGTGCTGATTTCCTGTAAGGCTTCTCAAAGCTTTTGAAAACGTAACGAAATCGTAATGTATAACTTCAGAAAAGGTAACACAGACTGGCACAGGTAATAGATACCCTTGCGGTCCACTGTAGACTTTTGACTATAACTTTTTTGTTATTCATCAGATCAATAAAAGAAATATGCTGTTTGAAAGACAATTTGAGATGCTTTAATGTGAGTATAAATTTATGAAAACATATTTCGACATAAGCAAATTAAGCTTTTTTATTATTAACATAAATAGGGTTATTGACAATTTAAAACTTAACACTTAATTTCTTAATAATGACCTCCTCTTGCCGTAATAACATCTGTTATACGATTAGGCACAGATCTAATCAAGTTTGCTATTGTTTCTTGTGTGATGTTAAGAAGAAGAGTTTCTACTGCAACAATAAGCTCTGGGATCGAGTTTGGGGTATGGAGACTAGCTCTAATTTTTCGTTTTAGCTCATCTCATAAATGTTCGATCAGATTTAGGTCAGGTCTATATGCTGGCCACTCCGTAACCAGAAAACCGACTTCTGCAATGTAATCTTGCACGATTCTTGCGGTGTGTGGCCTTGCATTGTTATGCATAAAGGTAAATCTGTCTCCAATGTAGTCGACGTAAGGTACCACATGAATTGCTAAAATCTCCTCGATATATGTAGCAGCCGTTAAACCTCTTCTTGCGTGAACACGGTCGACCCTACGAATGAACTCAAGGTCGGTTCGTGCACCTAGAGAAATTGCACCGCAGATCATGCAGGAACCACCTCCCTAAGTACTCCGCTCTTCAAAGCAACAATCTGCAAATCGCTCTCTTGGTCTTCGGTACACTTTTCTTCTTCGGTCGCTACCATGGAGGCATATTCTGGTCTCATCTGAGAACAGAACAGATCCCCATTGTTTCAACGTGCAATTCAGATGATCCCGTGCAAAACGCAGGCGTGCATGCCGATGAGCTGGTGTAAGTTTTGGACTAATCGCAGGTGTTTTAGGGCTCAGGTTATTTTCCTGGAGTCTTCGTCTTAGTGTCCACTGACTAATAGCCACTCCTACCACCTCATGGAGCTGTCATTGCACTTGAACGGCATTAAGGTGACGATTTGTTGACACAGTAAAATCGCCTTCTGCCTGTTCCAGGCCGCCTATGAAAGGATCCAGTCTCCTCATAATGTTGGCACAGTCTTCGAACCGCTGCGCGTGTCATAACCAATAATGCAATAAATTGGACGGCTTTTTGTGGTGCAGTTTGCATTAAACTAACACACTTCAGTTGCAAGCGCAATAATTTTAATATTTTACAAATTTGTTATTTTCGTTACAATCACCACATAAACACATTTGTTTACCAGTTGCTACGCATATTTAGCGATAAGCCTTCTTGATAAATTTATTCTCACATTAAAGCATATTAATTTTTTTTAAATGCATATTTCTTTTTTGATCTGTGGAATAATTTTAAAAAAATATAGTTTGATTCAAAAGTTTACAGTGGGCCGATTTCTATGCACGGAAGTGTATATTTCATGGGCAGCATATTCAGTAATAGTTTTCTCACATAGCAAATATCAATGATTATATGATGATATATGAATATATACACAATCATCCAGATATGATCTTGTTATACAACCACAGATCTTCTCAGAGTATACTCTACAGATGATCTCGGCATTCTGCAACCAACAAAGCCTGATGGGGATCCACTGGGGAACCGACTTACAGCTTATAACATGGTTATTAGCGGTCATGGCGAGCAAACGCGTAATGTACTATTTGCACACTAGGCACTATCTAGGCAGCAAGTTGCCATTTTGTCGGTTCTTTTTTTAGGTTTTTTACGTAACAGCCCTGCCGGCACAGTCTGTCTTAAACTTCACCTGCTGTAATCGGTCAATAGTTAGTCCAACAACCGCAGATAGATATTCCCTCTATAATGCCTGCTCTTCACTATCGGCGATGATCGTTGATCGTGTGATCGTTCGTAATAGGCACATTCATCGTGCAAGAATCCATACGAGCATCTGCAGTAGTTTGTCAACCAGCAAGCATTAATATGGACGTGGAGTTATTTTTTTTTTTTTGGTGAGGGGGGAATGCGTTTACGCACCATACCTTAGCCCGAGCTACGGCGTGTGTGGGACTCCAGGTTGTCTTGAGGAGACCACCTAATACCCACTAAACCCTAAACCTCCGCGTGGCCCGACTCATCAGCTTCTCGGTAGGCCATGTGTTGTGCGTGACCTGCGGTCTGCTACAACGTCTCCTCATGTGTTTCAGTCTCTGGGTACGCCGGGTTGGTTCCCTTTACCTCGCACATTCTATCAATGTCGTTAAGCGATCATCGATAGAGGGTCTGCTAGGTTCTCTTGAAACTCTTGTTTTCGAAAAATCAAGAGTTTCAAGTCCTCTTACCAATATGTTGTTCCTGGTCCTGGTCCCGAAGGGTCCTGGTCCTGGTGGGTCCTGGTCGTGGCGGGTCCTGGTCCTGGTTGGTCCTGGTCCCGGTGGTTCCTGGTCCTCTGCATCCACGCCGTGGGGGGGGGGGGGGGAGGAACCGCGGGTTCTCCTAGTCTCCTAGTCAAGGTTCCAGTTAGCGGGTGCCAACTGGGACCTTGGTCTAGGGTACCTGTTTCTGCGGTTGCGAGGCCTCTCGTCCGGATCGTAGTCCATGAGGAATCGTAGCTGCTCGTTCGGGTGGTCCTGAGCTTTCTCGAAGGTCTTCTCCGCTTTTTTCCTCATGTACTCGTGGATGGTGTCCCAATGCAGGTCTCTACGCAAGGTTGAGTTTCTTACGTAGGATGGTGCACTGGTGGCGATCCGGAGTAGCTTCATCTCTAGAGCAGCAAGTCGCTTGCGGTAGCTGGGGGCAGCGAACCCCCAGACCGCGGAGGCGTAAGCGAGCTGAGGTCTGGCGTTGGCCTTGATCAGCCGTAGCTTGGTCGCTAGCGGCATCCGGCTGTGTCTACCCAGTAATGGGTAGAGTTGAGCCATGGCTGCTCTGGTCTTTGCGATGACAGCTTCTATGTGGGCTTTCCAGGTGAGGGACTTGTCAAATACGATCCCCAGATATTTGACTTTGTCGCTCCACTGGATATCTTCGTCGAAGATGGATGCTTCGAGAGGTCTTGCAATCCTTCTTCGTTGAATGAAGATTGCCTGAGTCTTCTGGACGTTGATGCGGATTTTCCATTTCACGCACCAGTCCTGGATGTGGTCCAGTTCATCCTGTAGTCTCCTACGGATGATCTCGGGTCGTCTATGCTTGGCGGCTATAGCAGTGTCGTCTGCATATAGGGCCAGCATTGTGTCAGCTATCTTCGGCACATCGTGAGTATAGATGTTGTAGAGCAGGGGGGCTAAGGCTGACCCCTGGGGCACGCCTGCTTCCAGCTGTCGTCTTGTTGAATGGCATGTACCAATCTTCACCGTGAACCATCTTTGTGTTAGATAGCTCTGGATCAGTTGGCACATGTTCGCATCGATTCCGGCGGCTTCTATTTTGGCGATGAGTCCATTGTGCCAAACTCGATCGAAGGCTCGTTCCACGTCCAGCACCGGTCCAGACCGGTTGCCTCCTAGAGATTGAAGCCGCTGGTGATGTTTTCTGTCAGTCGTAGCGCTTGGAGTTCCGTGTTGTGGGAGGATCTGAAGCCGAATTGCTCTGGGGGGAGAAGTTGCAGTTCTTCTGCCTGCTTCTCTAGTCGAACGGCGATAGCCTTTTCGACTACTTTGCCCATCGGGGAAACCAGGCTGGTGGGCCGGTAGTTCTGGGGCAACTTCCGGTCCTTGCCTGGCTTGGTGAGCATTATAACCTGGGCTTCCCGCCACCGCCGCGGGAAGTGGTTAAGTCTCAGAGTGGCATTGGCGATGTTGGTGAGCGCAGCAATGCCTTTGGTGGGAAGGTTTTTGAGCATCCTGTTGTTGATGCCGTCCCTTCCCGGCGCCTTTCTGACCTTCAACCTGCGGATGATCAGACGGATTTCCTCTGGACTGGAGGGATGATCCGTCTCCTGGCCAGGTGGTCGACTCCTCATGATTTCGGCTGCGACTTCCACGGCCTCCTCGTGGTTGTCGTCCTCGTCTTCATGGTAATTGAGTCTGCATTCGGATTCTAGCGAATCGGCGAATGCTTCGGCTTTTTCTTCACTGGAGTAGGCCAAGCCGCGTTGGCCGTGAAGAGTGGGGATCGTGGTGCGCTGACGACGAAATTTTCGCTGCATAGTCCAGGCCGTACCATCCTGGGTCTCTAGTTCTGCACAGGCTGCATTCCATCTGCTGTTTTGGAGTTCCGCGAGTGCGTTCTTCAGAGCTAGCGATGCTCTGTTTCGCGCAACTCTTGACTCCTCTGTCAACAGTTGGAGATGTTCTCGCTTGAGTCTTCTGTTCTCCCTGATCAGGTGCCTAATATGGTGCGGTGCTGGACCATTAAGGTGTCTAGGAACTGCCGTAGTCTCGGAGCGGGTGCTGTCCTCGTGCGCTCGCAGGACAGCATTCTCCAGCTCCTCTACTGCGTTGTCCAGTTCCTCCGCTGATCGGATGGTTGGAATTTGAGTGGTGTTCCTTTGGACGTTGGATTTGTACAGGTTCCAGTTCGTCCGTTTGGTGCTCAAGCTATCTCGAGTTCTAGACCCTGTGCCAAGTGTTAGTAGAATCGGATTGTGGTCCGACGATCCTTCCACCAGGGTCTCTATCTCGAACTCCTCTCTGATGTTGCGGAGGATGGCTATGTCCAGTACCGCAGGTCGCCCAAGGCCGAATGGAATGTAGGTTGGTTGCTCCGGACCGACGATGACCCCCGCCAGGGCATCGACGTGTTCCAGGAGCTGCCTTGCATTGTTATCTTCGACGTTGTTGTTCCATGCCGGAGACTTGCAGTTTAGATCTCCGATGACTATGCGTGCTCCTGGGCCTCTCAGGAGGTCAGCGATGTCATCTTCGTCTAGGGCCTCCCCTGGTGGCACATATAGGGAGGTGATTCTGTAGGGACGGTGGTTGTGATGGACCTGGACCGTGATTCCGTCCCCTTTGATGTCTGCGGCATCGTCGAGGACATGACTCGTCAAGGTACGTTTGACGAGTAATGCGACTCCTCCACCTCTGCCTCTTCTGTCGTAGCGGTACGTCTCGTACCGCGGGAACGTCAGACTATGGGCAGCATCCAATTTCGTTTCTTGGATGGCCATCACCTCTGGTTGGTACTGGTCTAGTATCTCCTGGATTTCTGGTTGCCGTGCCCTGAATCCGTTGATGTTCCAGGAGATAATGCGTAGAGATTCTACGTTTTGCCCTGTAGTCATTTCGGGTCTAATGCTTGTCTTGCATCTTGGCCTCGAGTGCATCCAGGCGGGTTATGATGGCTTGCATCATTGCTAGCAGTCTTTCATCGCCGTGTTGCTTCTGCGCAGTAGTTCCAGTAGCAGTGGCGGCTGCTGGGGCAGAAGTGGACATAGGTTTCTTCGCTTTTTGAGCGTAAGAGGTCCTATTTGTGGTGGGGACTGCTTTGGGGGCAGAAGCAGCTTTCCTCGGGGCCTTACTACATCCCTTGTAGTTGGCGGGGTGGCCTTCTCCACAAAGGCAACACTTGGCGTTTCGTTGCCCTGTTGGCGGCGCTGGCAGACTGCAGCTGGTGCTGCTGTGGTCCTCTCCACACTTAACGCACCGTTCAGCGAGACGGCAGTTCCGCTGTGTGTGCCCGTACCGCTGGCAGCGGTAACATTGGCTGGGCTAGGTGAACTTTTTCTTCCTTTCGAAGCTGACCGTGAGCATGGCCAGCCTCTGGATCTCTGCAAGTTTTTCCGGCATTTTCGTCTTGACGAGGAAGAGCGGAAGTGGCTTCTTGGTGGTCCTTGAGGTCATCTGCTGAACCTCGGCGTCTGCGATGCCTTGGCTCACTAGATCCTCTTTGATATCATTGACTGACATCTCCCTGGGTAGCCCACGAATGACCCTCTGGTCCATCCTATCCTCCTTCAGTTGATAGGTGAAGAAGGGCCGCTTGATGGAGTCCAGCAGTGCGACTAGCTGACGATAGTCAGCTGGTGTATTTGTGAACACCTTCACACTGTTACCCGCCATCCTCGCGTTGGAGAATTGGATCCCCTTGTTGTTTATCATCCTACTTAAGGATGACCAGTCAGCGGTGCCCTCGATGCTGATGGGGGGAACTCCTGTTCCCGACATGGGGGGCACGATGGTCCTGGCTGCTCTAGGACTCTTCTTGGTGGCGGCAGCTGGCATCTTTGGCTGCCTTGGCGACTCGTCTTCGGAGGAGGAAACTCGCACCCGCTTCCTCCGTCTGGTGGCGACACTGAAATCGGTGTCGTCGGTCCTCTTCTCGGCTTCTTCTTCTATTTCTTCGGTCCGTTGAGTGCCCTCTTCTTGAGCGTCCATCTCGTCCGACGTAGCCTGGTGGTCCTCTTCCTCCTCTTCTTCGGTCTTCTTTGCGGCCTTCTTCTTGGCCCTGCGGAGCTTCCCGCTCAGGTCCTCGATCTCCTGTTGAGCCTGCAAGAAGGCTTCTTGCAGGTTTCGCATCTGCTCTGCCAGCATGGCGAAAGCATCTTTCTTTTCTTTCAGCTGGTCAGCCAGCTTCTCAATTTTCGCCATCGTAGATGGCAAACAACCAATCTATCGCAAATGAAAATCGCAATAAGATTGCTCAATATGTCCGAGTGCGTCGCAGTCGCACAAGTGTAAACTCGCGACGGCTGCTAGCTCGGAACTGACGTGGAGTGTGTTGCTGCTGCAGCCATTTATTTACGACGGCGAATGAGTGATCGGCGATCGTGTGGGCACCTCTACGCAACCACCCGGCGATTACCTTTGATGCGTGTCCCAAAAACCGACAATCTACGGGTCGAAGGCGATCATAGACGATGATCAGAGAGTACAGCCGAGTATGCCGTCTACACGATCGGGCTCGCGCGTAATCGTTTGTAATCGCCGATTGTGAAGAGGAGCCATAAGGTCACAATTAGTTCTCCCGATGGTGAATATGTCCAGAGATACTTTTCCACTTTAGAAAGTATTGGATATGAACTGATGTAGTGTGTAGTTCTACCACCTTTAAAAAACATTATACATAATTGCGCAGTTACCTCTTTTCTTTTTATTCTTCTTCACTTCTTTCACTTCTTCTTTAACTATTTTATAATCAGGAGGAAATAAAAAACCGCAATCAACCTCGCTAGCATCTACATCTGGGCTGATATAGGAGGGTCCCAAGTCACCAAAAGCCATCACACAGTCTGGGTTGTTGGTGGCCAGCTGTATCACTATTTTTTCATCACTGAAGAAAAAATAAATCATGAGGAGACAAAGATGATGGTATTAACTATGTCCTTACTTTAGCTCTTTGACTGCATATATTAGAATAGTCTCGCTATTTTTTTGTACTTAGTGAAAAGGTCTGTAAATCTAGGGAATACGTACTAAGTAACTGGTGTAGTTCTCTCTTCAAACTCAGTGAAAGTCTTCGCAATTAGCTTAGCCTCAGGTGGAACGTCGCTGGTGAAAAATCCATAGGAGAGTACTTCGCCAGGGTACTTTTCCATCAATTCAACAATATCACGAGTTTTGAACGCGTCATAGGCTACTATGATATAAAGGGGAACGGTGGGTATGTTAGTTAGCAGATAAGGTTCTGTTAAGTTAGAAAATAGTACCTTTAGGGCGTATGCTTTACAATGAGAGTTTGGTGGTGCCCATACTCCTGAAAAGCAACAAAATATAAAAAAATAAAATTTTCGTGATTCTTTAGCGGTTCAAGGTTTTTTGGTATTAAGGTTACAGGTAGGTTTACACGCGGATCCAACTTTTTTGAGCATCGCTCAAAACCTTGATAATGGAGCGTTCGTACCTATCAGTACATTTTCTTCATCACCATCTTCTCCCTTAGTCATCATTTTCTGATTTGGCGATCTGTCATCTCCAGGTGGTTTTCTACCATTCCCATACACGACTTGAAGGACAAGATCATCGATTTTTCCAGGTAGGTTTTCTGAACAGCGCTTAATAAGCAAAGCCAATGAAATTCTACCATTCAGGCAATCTTGACGAGTTTTTTGCGTGAACTTTTCTTCTGAAAAATAGAGGAATTCTTCTAGCATGTCTTCGGTTAGCTTTACCTGAGATGAGAGAAGAATTCATATCAGTATCCATCCCATATGTTGGTCTTTATAATCGAAATATTGGCAAGTAGGCAAACCAAACCCTTTCAATAATAACAATGTCGATTTAAAAAAAAATATCAATTTTTATCCGGTACTACACATGGGCGCCCGCAAGAATTCAGGAGGGGGTAATATCGCCAAGAGACAACTTGAGTAAGTTAGTGCACTTGTCCCCTAAACTTTTCGGAGAGTAGAAGTGTATCTGCCACCAAAGAAAGCTTTTTGAAAAGCAAGGGTGGCAAACTTTCTCAGAGGGGGCAAATCATAAAGCTTCCCAATACTATAATCATACTCATGCTAAATATGCAAACTTCTGTACCAAAACTATTGGAGCTTCTTGTTCATGAGGAAATTGAAATACAACTTTCCGACGAAATCTGTGATAAGAGTCCTACTGATCATAAAGGACAGATACAGAAAGCACGCTCTCGCGGTTCATCTCAATAAAACAGAAGTGGGTCTCTTAATCAGAAAAAGGAAATTGGCAAGCATGTTTATAACCGCCATGCTTGTGTGGCCAATAAAAACAACATGTATTGACAGATCCTATTTACTGTGGTGAACGTCAATTTAAATGACAAATAAAGTGTACATTCCGCGTTTCCTCGCTACGAGCGCTGTGAGCGTCCATCTATGGAGTAATGACTCAACGGCACGACACGTTCAATGACCACGCTTAAAGCTACAAGTCGGTTCTCTATCGTGCTTTGTTATAGTAATAGTATGTAGAGTATGTAGAGATGATTATTGTGTGTATTGGTCTGCAATCAGCACCGCACCCGCGTTGTGTGTAATTAAGCTCCATCACAGAAAAATGAGGAATGACGCGTCACATACAAAACATTATCGCACTGCCTCACATCTAGGCGCTGATTTGTATTTTCTACTTAACATCGTAAAATAAATTTCAATGAAATTCAAATGGCTGGCCATAAAAATTAATATGAAATGTAATAACTTGTTTGCGTTTCATAAATATTCCTGTATGTACCATATTTTCTCATCTGCTTTTAATATACTTCGCCAATCAGGGATTTTATTTTCTTATCGCTCTCTTTTTTGAAATCCAGCAAATTTGCATATGTAATTTGTAGGTGGAATAGGACAACGCAGTTGCGCAACTAACTTTTAGCTTTGCATTCTTCTCGAGTAAGTGTATTTGAGACAAGAAACTAATGGAATTATCGTCAACACAGCACACAAATCCTCACTATGCACCTATGCACTGCCGTTTACTTCCAATAACGTCATATCTTAAGCAGATGTTGCGAAACATCAGAGCCAAACGTTGATAGCTGAAGTATTATGACGTTTAGGCAACACGTACAGCTACCGAACGAGTACACAACATCTTGTAGAAAAACCTACATATTGCCACAAAAAGCCTATATTCAGAAAAACCGACATAATCACACTGTTCAAGATTCGTAATACCCCTGCGGGTTTGAGAAGTGTTTCGAGGATTGGAAGAAGCGCTGGGACAAGTGAATAATATCTAATGGAGACTGTTTTAAAGGTGACACAACGATAATGTCCATTATTTTCTGAATACATCTCGTATATTTATCTGGAGGAAGTGATTGTAGCAACGTTGGTATGTTTTAAATCTGTCGGTATAGTTGTACCCTATGCTATGTAGAACATCAAAATTAAGTTTGATGAAGAAAGTTCGGCTATACAAGATGGTTATTAGACCAGCGATCACTTACGCAAGTGCGGCTTGGTGTTTTCTCGCCAAAACGCATTTGCGTAGCCTGCAGGTTTTGCAGAACAGAACCTTGCGTACAATCACTAACGCCCCATGGTATGTTTCCAACGAGACCCTTCACAGAGACATTGACATCCCTTACCTAAGGGACTACATCAAACAACAAGCGCAGCTACGTTACAGTCAAGCAGAATCGCATAACAACCCTTTGTTGCTCGAGTCAGTAGACTACACAGTCGAGCAACTTCGCAAGCACACAAGGCCGCGACTAGCACTGTGAACAAAATTAAATCGTGCGACTTTTGGTCCAACCAAAATTATAATTTTTCTTCAACAACCAATCCCAAAATTAATTTTAGGATCAATTTAAAATTGCCGAATACTAACTAGCAATACCAAGGCACCCCTCAAATTGATGCACTTTTTCTTTGCTGTCCCTCCTTCCTTCCTTCCTTTCTTCTTCCCTTCTTTCTCCCTGACTTAGTTTGGTATCTGGGCAACCAGACCTGACATACCTACTGACTTACAAGACTTCAACCAAGAGCAAAGGTCCTACGAACCGCTCTGACAGACAATGACGAATAGTAGGTATAGTTGTAGTCACTGTATGGAATAAGTAACCAGATCGAGTCTCAGTACGGTGGGCGGAACACTGCGCAGACTAATCTTCAGCGCATCTGATATTCTCTCCAGTACGCATGAAGTGGGTCCTTCTCCATAGATCGTATTTCCGGCCATTTTACAATTTTATATTGAAGATTGATAACAGCACAACTCGAATTGCACGCCGATGTCAAGTAAGTTGTCACTCTGACAAGTATGACTGAAGTGCACTCATACGTAACGACAAAGTTTTAGAGACGGAGACACACAACTAAAAAACGTGTGTCTTTGAGCTTACCGAACAAACGTTCACACATAGGGGTAGGTTGCATGTGTATGAATGAGGGAGACCGAGATATATAAAGGGGTACTGGTAGTCTTACATTGACCCACCAACAACTGTGACGACAACTATATTCATACATCTGGCATAGGGTGTGGGACAGCTTGAATATTATTTAGGCTGAGACAGACAGCATTCCTCCAAAGAATTTCCATGATCGACTATAGACTATTACCACAGATGCTGAAAACCCGATCGAAAAGGGTATTATTAACTGTGCTCTCTCATGGAGCTGAAACAATGTAGCTGGCTTCGGAGTATACTCTAGAAGCCTGCGTCTGAATTACAAGGGATCAATGCTTGGCGCAGGTTGAATTATCTGGCATAAATCTAGCTGCAACGGAAATTTCCTACAGAACTGTTACAGGAGAAGTAAAGCAATAATGACTCTCAAGTCTAAGCTTACAACAAGAACAGTACTAGACTTCCATTTGGCACTTGAGGGTGCTTCCATGAGGAGTGGTATATGTGTTAACTATCAACATTTTATCTTGAAACTACCTTATCTGATTGTTGCACTGTTAGCCCAGCTTCGTGAATAACTTCAGATACAACCTCGCTATATTTTTCTCTACCGTTAGGCAAAATCAAGATGACTCCATATGTTTTCAGGTTCTCCAAAATATTATTAGCCTCAGCTGTTCGTCTTTCCAGTAAACGTTTAGCCTTTTTTTCTTCTTCTTTCATATGGACAATTGCCTTTTGTTCTTCAGTCTCCGTATGTCGAATCTAAAATATCATACAAATATTCAAACAGGATCATAGGTATAAGACAATTTCGTAATCACACTATGCTCATGAAACCTTTATATTTCAATGTACGTATTACCAGTTCCTCATCTGACAACTCAGTAATAGCTCTCCCTTCTCTAATTGATGGATCGCCGCTGTTTCTGAGTTGTTCCAGCCTTAGCTCTTCTTTGATCAAGCGCGTTAATTTTGGAGCGTCTGTACCAAACATCAGGTTCACCATTTTTCCACGCTTTAACATGAAAGGCGGTGAATGCATAGTTGTTATTATAAGCAACAAGATATATTTACTTTGCTACTAATAACAAAATGGAACGGAAAAATTGATAAGCTAAACAGTGATTTTGATTTGTGACTTAACTGAGACATTTCCTCAGATGTTTTTTCTACGTCCTACTTCCCACGCCAATCGGCGAGGAGGTTCTGTAATCGCAAAAAATTGAAAATGAGGTATTCTATTTTTTGAATGTCACATGACATGTAGACCACGAAAAAACATGTCACGCATTTCTGGCGATCCGTCTGTCTGTCTTTTCATGTGAAGTTGTAGGAGGCGGGGTAATTTTTTAGCGTTAACATAGTTATACGTTATATGTCGAACTCAAGTAATTAGATGCAGTTATGAGACAAATTTCATAGATTTGCCCCTATATTTGCCTTCAAGACTTTGACTAATGAAATATCTTCAATACTCGCGTGGATCATAACAAAAATAAGAGATAAACCTGTAGCGAGAAAGTCACTTTGCTCATAGCAATTCTGATCGCAATCTTGTCCCTACTTATCAAACGAGTGAGTACTGGAACTAACTGCATGAGTCCATTTGACTGACTTGATTTAATTAATTTCTTTGTTATGCATATTTGTAGTTAACTTTTATCGAAAGAGGTTTAACATATCCTGGTGTAATACGAGGATCAATAGTACACACAACTTTTGTATTTGCACATCTTAATTTGAAGAACGTCTGTCTAGATTATAATACAATCTTATTTTGAAAAAAACGTCAAACATTCTATAGATTTGCCTTGATTTTTCTATTTAAGCCATGCTCTAGGTAGCAGCGGTGGCCGCAGTGGTAGACGCTTCCTCTCCTGATCAGTCGCCGTGCGCTGCGAGGGTTCGAATCCCGCCCCAAGAGAAATTTGTATATTAGCTATGGATGTTGTGATTGTCCGTAGGTGGTAGACGTTCTATGACTGACGTACGCGGAAGTACTACCCGGCTGTTTTCGTAGGCGGTGCCAGAATGTGTGCATGCTGCATGCACACGTGTTCCCTCGCTAGTTTCCGTGTGGGTCCCCCACTTTTCCCCTGTATGTATACCCCTATAGTCCCACGGTACCCCATGGGTGTTTAGGTCTTAGGCCTTCGTGGTAGCTGGAGTATAGAAAAAATAACGCTGAATTGCACAAAAGTGCATGAACTAAAAAAAAATATATATATATATATATATATAGGTATAAAAAGAATATCTTATACACTCTCCATGCAAAAGAACATCAACTGAATAAATGTAATACAACCCTTACAGATATGAACATCCACGTAGGTTCACTTCTGTTGCGGAATCTTTTCAATTGAGTAATATGGTCACATTTCGCCTAAAAATAAATGCTGTTTCCAGAAGCAATTTGTTTTGATTTTCTCAACTTACAATAGCCAAATGCAGCAAATCTCCTCCAACTTCCAACTTCAGTTTCTTCAGATTGGCTGCCATTCCTTGGCAATTTCCACACCAATCTGAATAGACATCGACAACTGAAAAGAACACGATTATTTAGTTTCGTATGAAAATTATCTTTAAACGTATAGCATTTAGCTGAGGGAAAACTCTCATGACCATTCCTGGGCGAAAAGGCTTGATGGACTTGCAAATAGTAACCACCAGCTTTTCCGCCCGTTGTGTGAGACTCTCCAAAAATTCGGAATCATCAAAACTATTTTTACAGTTTTATTTTCGAAACGTTACTACATAAGGAAATAGGACTGCTATTTTAGTGAGAATCTATTTGTTTGCAGGTTGGTTAGATGACAGTTTGAACTTACTGATAAGTCCATCTTTTTGTAATAATCTCTCCCACTCTTCGTCATTATTCACTTCAGTTTGTAACTGCACAGGTTGGCTCTTCTTAGCCATATCCACAACTAATACAGTATCGACCAAACGAGCACTTTACAAGGGCTAATCGATATATATTACAGGGCAGTTGTCGTGATGTATACAGGGTGTCCGCAAAGTTGGGGTTTTCCTTTACACGACGTGTAGATCTTGAAAACATAAGCAATTTTTCTTAGTACCATATACACCAATGTCTTAAGGGAACCGAGATAAAGGGCTCTGCAACTTCAAAAATATCTGAATACCGTCCTGTAGCCGCGACCCGCGATATCTCAGACTGGTACCGGCTACTAGCTGAACCCGACGACAGAACTGGGTCGGGGGTCGGGGTCAGTGTGTCAGGTCAGTATGCAACCTTCAACCGACGGTAAAGGGTCACGCGTATAGAGGTAACGAGCCCGTATGATCGATTGCGTTTCAAAAAAAAAAATAATAATAATGGCACACTCATACACCAATAATGAACTCGTTGATATGTTGTTAATTTATGGCGAATATCTTCAAAATGATACAGAATCGTCGCGAGTGTATGCAGATCGTTTCCCTAGACGACATCATCCAAGGCCCCGCAGATTTGTGTACCTGGTCCAGAGAGTCAGGGATACGGGCCATTTGGAGGAATTTCGAGGTGGGCACAGTGGGAGGCCTAGACAACCACGAATGGTGCAAGTTGAGGAAGAACTACTGAATCGCGTAGACGAGAATCCCTCAACAAGCACTAGAGACGTGGCTAGAGACGTGTAAGTATCAAAAATTAAAGTGTGGCAATCGTCCAACGTGTACAAGCCCTTCAACCTGACGATTCTCCAGCAAGAGTGCGGTTTTGTGAGTGGTTGTTGCATCAACATGACAATAATCCGGACTTTTTGAAGTGCATATTGGTGACCGACGAATCTACGTTCACGCGTAATGGGGTGAATAACTTTTGATTTCAGGCAGAGACGTACTTAGCCCTTCTCGTCAAGTGGAGAGTGAGTACTTTATCCTTTACTTTTTTTTTACTTGGTCGCCCTCGTTTCACTACACATTACCTTTGTTATTTCAAGGGTAGTTGTTTCTGAAAAGGAAAACCCCAACTTTGCGGACACCCTGTATACAGTAGAGGATCAATGCGTGGATGGGCGATATTAGCACTATATATTAGGAGATTAATGCATGGACGAGCGCTATTATGGCAGGTGATCCGAATCGATTACAAATCTGTTCCGGATTTATACTTGGAGAGTCCTTAAAATGACCTTCAAATAGATACAAGCATATCCCGGCTTAGAAAACGATTATTTGAGTATAGAGAATAAACTGACGCATATTTCCAAGATGATCGTAATTCAAGGAACTGGTGAAACATATTGGCAACGCTGCAGATTGCCTCTACCTTCTGGGTCAGCGTTGCTAGGCAACGTGGTGATGAGCTTCGCTGGACAGTCGGGTTCTATCTCTTTCTAACATACGTGTTAATAGTTACTTCTCGCGCTTCTATCTCGTGCACATTGAACTCAAGCCATCAGACCAATTTGGTTCAGTCTGTATATCACGGACGTGGGTGCAATAGTAACGATAAATACGCCCACCGTTTCTTATCGGTGGAGCTGGTTTATTGTATCAGTAGATGGCTCTTGGAATGTAGTATAGTGTTGATTCTACGGGGTTGGCAAAATGGTCAAAGGTGGGCTAGTTCGCCAGCTTCGCCTCTTCACCGCTACTACTACTACTACTACTACTGCTACAACTATTATTGTCCTTGTGAACTTAGGCGCCCTTTCATTTGTATAACCAACTTCAACCCACTCAAAACAGGTGCTCGTCACATCCTTACGATCGTGGTTATGATGACACAGCAAAACCTGGTTAACGGCGGTTATGGCTTAACCTAAGGCCTATGGGATAGGTTTAACACCCGGTTAAGGAAAACAGTTGATTATTTGGCGGATCTTCTGCAACGACGTGTCAGTCGCAGACTGTGTCGTGTCATAAAATACAATTATTTCATTTATTCCTACATATGTATTTCTGCTTTTTACTCATCCAACCAAACATGAGGCTGCAAGTAGTGGTTGAAAAAGGGGTCCCATTTGTATGGAGAGAGGGGAGGCAGGAGCCCCACGTTGGTAGACAACGTACTGAGCACCGAATGCTATTGGACGTGGAATGGATAACATCAGCGTAATATAGGCGTTCTTATCTTTTTTCCAGGAGTATTATTGTTAGTTATCTTAAAAACTACAACACAGTCTTTTTCAAGACTACCAGTAGATCTGGCAGGATAAATGTAAGTTACCATAAATTAGCACATGAAAAATTGCAATTAAAATTATTTTTCAAAAATAGGGAACCAAATAACAAGAAAGTTGTTCATAGTCAAGGACGAGAAATCAAAATCCAATGTGTTTGAATATATGAAGCGAGAAAAGGAAACAGGAGAATTAACCATACCTCCTAGCCATTTATTTGAGAGAGCAGCTGAAGCTACAGGTGTATACATAAATACTGTGAAGCGTGTTGTTAAAGAAAATCACTCCAAACCACCGAATACAAAATTTACTTCTCGAAAAGCCATAAAAAAATCTAGCCCAAAGTTGTCTAGGTGTGTAGATATATTTCAAACGACTTAAGAATACAAAACTTATGATGCCCATGACTTGCATTCTATACACTGAATCCATTCTTCCTTTAGGACACTTTGGGAAAACGGCTCCATACAAACTAGCCCAAAGTTGTCAGTGGCTCAATTTGATGAATAAATTATTAGAAATGCTATATACAATTCGTGCATATCCATAAAAGGAGACCTACAATGAAGGCGGTGTACGATGCTCTTATCAACGGTGGTGTAACTCTTAATAGATAACTCACGTCATTCAGGAAAATAGTACTTACGCAAATTGAGCTTCCGTTGGAAAAGAACAGAAGATAACAGGAAGGAGATCAGAGCAAACGGGCAGAATACTTGAGAAGAGTGAAAGAGTACAAAGATCTAGGTGTGTAGATATATTTCAAACGACTTATAGAATAGAATACAAAATTTATGATGTTCTTCAGTATTTGAGAATCTTTTTTTATCTTTTAACCATAGAAAAACTTTTGTAGGCAGAAATATCGTTTACAATGACGGAACATACATACTTAGCTCACACACAGTACCGGAAGCATGTGATGATGGAACATATAATTGCTTAAAATCACCACTTGTAAAAGACAAACGTTTAATCATTGTGCATTGTGGGGGTAGAAATGGTGTTATTCCCAATGCGATGGGACTTCTATCTCAGTCTAACTAAAACGAATGTTCAGGAGTCTGATTCCAAATGAGTTTCGACCGTTGAAATTGATTTCGATGGCGCCTCGGGACGATATAATGGTACGCTATGATAATTTTGACACTGCTACGATAATTTCAATATAGAAGATCGATATCATCAAATGTCAAAATTATTATAGCGAATAAAACATATCCTCACAAGTCGCCGACGAAATTAGTTTCAACGGTCGAAACTCATTTAGAATCAAGCCCCAAGTATCTTATTTTGTTTATTATGTACACATATATTTTAGTGTTTGCTTTTTAAATCTCTTTTCTACATGATATTTATACAATGCATACAGAATTAGGAAATTTCCGTAATCATGGAATTACACGCAAACATGGTATATGTTAGGATGCACGCGTTCAACTCTATATGATTAAATAAACCCTATAACTACGCCACTGTGCAGACATACACGTTTTAGGCCCGCTGCTGGGCTCTCGAATGATTTAGGACTGCATCTCATCGAAAGAGATAAGGGAATATCCCTACTCTGTGTCCACCCACCTCCCATCTTGCGCATTGTGCGGCTCACGAGAAAGCGTACTAGCTATACCTGTTTTATTAAACTTTTTAATTAGTTTAGGTAATTTAGTTTATGCACTAAAAGTACACTCAAAACAATTAGACATTTTAATAGAAACAGTCAAGCTGTTTATTTGAATCGCGGACGGCAGGATTTGGCACTTCGGTGACTATCGGTGACACGCTTTTAACTCCTCAGTCCGATTTGTGATTTTTGCGAGGGGCTTCGTATTCGTTGGAGTTGATAGTGTATTAGCTGTGAAGCGGATCAATTGTGGTGATCAAGTGAAATTCTGAAAGCAAGTCCGGAACCCCTTTTTGTTTATACATAGCAAATTTGAAAAAAATCATTATTCGCCAAAATGGCAGAGGACCGAAAAGTTCTTTGCATTTCTAGCATCAATATGACATATTCCATCATATCCTGCGAGCCGTGTTTTCAAAGCAAGTCCGGAACACCCCGTTTTTGACCCCCCTTTGTTTATACATAGCAAATTTGAAAAATCTATTATTCGTCAAAATGGCCGAAGACCAAACAGTTTTTAAATTTCTGTCATCAATATAACCTACTTTATCACGTCCTACCAGCCGTTTTCCCAAAGCAAGTCCGGAACCCCTCGTTTTTGACCACTCCCTGCTTTTATAGCGCAAATTTGAAAAATCTATTATTATTTGGGGGGGGGGGTGGTGGTGTAGAAACGGGGGGTTCTGGGCTTGGTTTGGGGAAACGGCTAATATGGTGTGATTGGCTAGGTCAGATTCATGCGAGAAGTTCCCAAAACAATTTGGTCTTGGGCGGTTTTGAAAAGCTATAGATGATTACATAGTTTCTAAAATATTATGTTTTGAAGGGGGGTCAATTCGGGGTATCTGTGAACGAGATCGCACGGATTTGAACTTAGCGTGAGTAAAATATGCTTTTTCTAATCAACTAACGTGAAAACCGCATTAATCCACGTTTATTTTAATGTAATATCAAGTTTTTCGCGGTACTCCTCACTCTGGGAAGGTTTTTGGAGGAGCGAGGTAAGACCTTCACAGTATATAGAAAGACATTAATACAATCGACCTACGTGAAAATTACATCAATTTATGTTTATTTGGACCCAAATTACGTCGGTAGAAGTGGTAATGGCAAATTTGCGGCACTGCTGCCTTTTTACCTTTTAGATCAGGACGTGATCGATCGGAACTTCAGCCGAAAATTTTGTTAGGGTAATAAAATTCTGAAGTTTTTATTCTAGTTTTAAAACATTAACTATTAGGTTCTCCAAATTTTTTGTTGTCTAAATTTTGTTGGAGCACAGTTATAATATATGCATCATATAAATTTAATGAAACGATTGCGTTTTGGTTTAAATTAGTTCAAGAGATTCAAGCAAACAAACTGTTTTAGAAATCGGAGTTGAATTAAACTAATTAAAATTGTTAGCTGTCACATAGTTAATAAATTTTTTGAATTGGCCTACTTAAAATTTTATTTGGGTTAACTAAAATTTTTTCTCAGGATGCTTTAGTAAAATGTATAAATACCCTAAGAATGATATTTTCGGTGTTCTGCATCACTGTTCGTCGGTCCTTTACCTTTTGGAAACGATTGAGAATCTAACTTGGAATAATTATTATATCATGCTTGGTTACAGTCTAAAATTTATTGCCGATGGCTGTTAAACACTCAGTAATCTTGTTAATGTCAGTTTAACTTGTTCGGCAACGGTCAAACCAAATTCATGCAGCATGTCACTCCTAAAAGCTATCGAGACTATATCAAAATTACCCAGTGTAAAATTTTGCATTCCTGTTACGAATCAGCACCAGCACATCCGCATTACCCAGAATAATGCCGCAAAGCCTGTTTTTAGAAGGAACAAATGTCAAGACGAAGGGCCTTCTCCGATCTTGCAATTGGCGAAAAGAGCTCAACTGGAGACGCAGGTCAGACCTTACCATGTGATGACTGGAGGTCAGATTTTAGATATGCCTAGTAACAGCCAGGGGTATATTCTTCCAGGTATCTTTTCTAATCTCTACTTGACAGTCAGGACCATTTTTACCCTTGACATAATGAACTCCGTATACTTTTTCGTATTTTACTGGTTCAAAGTTGGGGTTTTCTTTTTCAGAAACAACTACCCTTGAAATAACCAAGGTAATGTGTAGTGAAACGAGGGAGACCATGTAAAAAAAAATAAAGGAAAAAGTACCCACTCTCCAGTTGACGAGAAGGGCTAAGTACGTATCTGCCCGAAATCATACCGCTCCAACAGAAATGAAATCAGCTGATGCGCTATCGAGCAGACGTAAACAGTCTAGGTATTGCATCCCGTCCAATCGATTTGGGAGAATAAATGGTCCAATGAGCCTACCGTTCACCATGCCAGCCCAAACATTCACCGAAAATGTTTGTTGAAAATGTGCCCGACGGACAGCGTGCGGATTTTCTACTGACCAAACATTAGTGTTGCGAAAGTTATTCACCCCATTTCGCGTCAACGTAGATTCGTCTGTCACCAATATGCACTTCAAAAAGTCCGGATTATTGTCATGTTGATGCAACAACCACTCACAAAACCGCACTCTTGCTGGAAAATCGTCAGGTTGAAGGGCTTGTACACGTTGGACGTGAAACGGATACAGCCCCTCTTCACGCAGCGTTTGTCACACTTTAGTTTTTGATACTTGCACTTCTCTAGCCACGTCTCTAGTGCTTGTTGTTTTTTGAAACGCAATCGATTATACGAGTTCGTTTACCTCTACACTGGTGACCGTAACCGTCGGTTGAAGGTTGCATACTGACCTAACACACTGACCCCGACCCCCGACCCAGTTCTGTCGTCGGGTTGAGCTAGTAGCCGGTACCAGTTGGGGATATCGCGAGTCGCGGCTACAGGACGGTATTCAGATATTTTTGATGTTGCAGAGCCCTTTATCTCGGTTCCCTTAAGACATTGGTGTATATGGTACTAAGAAAAGTTGCTTATGTTTTCAAGATCTACACGTCGTGTAAAGGAAAACCCCAACTTTGCGGACACCCTGTATATGATCCTAGGGGTACAAAGCAAGACTATCAGTGCTATTGAGTGATCTGTATAGTAGCATTCATGGTAAAAATGGATAATCCAAAATTTCGTGATCAGTCACTATGAGGGAAAACGGAAATTAGGGATTTTTGTAATGGTTTTCTAAACTTTAGCGTCAAATCTAGTTTCAGTTCAGTTATATTATTTGTTATAAGGAACAATATATCGGCCATGAATCAGTTTTCAATAAACTAGTATGCAGTAACCAACTCAAAATGAGCGATATATCGCGATTGATAATTTGGTGAATTATATAAATTCAGTATGTACTGTGATCCGTCAATAAAATTATATCAAAAAGTGATATTACCTGCAACAGGTCGTATTTAGTTGCAACTGAGTGGCCAGCACAAAACGAGGTCTGTAAGTTAAGTGATTAGACTCTGAAATTCTTATTTTTTTTATTCAAACATTATTACAATTTTATTTTTTCACCCTCAAAATAACTTCCAAATGGAATAGTTTTCAGCTGGTCGGTTGCTTTGATTGTTTTCGAATGAGTACCCTTGAGGTGACTTTTATATTCGAGAATACAAAAAAGTCACATGGCGAATAACGACGCTGAGGAGCCACAGGAATGTTTTTACTGACCAAAAACTCGTTTATTGACATGGCTGTGTGACAAGGAGCATTGTTGTTCTTGATCTGATGACTGGTGATGCGACTCAAATTCTCAATGTCAACCCATGATCTGATCGAACAAGATTCCGGAGTCTGTCGATATTTTCATCGGTTCTTAAAGATGGCCTGCTTCGTGGTTAATCTTCAATCGACTCTCTCCCTCCTGAAAATGCCGTAAGCCACCGAAAAACCTGAGCTCTTGACAAAACACTATCTCCGCAGGCCTGCTGAAGTTTAGCAAGAGTTTTCGTTGCACTGTCTGAAGCAAAACTGTATAGCACACCGTTGCTCAAAATTAATGTCACTCATTTTTAGAATACAAAAGAAAAAACTGTTTCACAAAAAAATCTCTACGGACAACCGAATGACTCGAGCGAGTACAAACTTGTTCACATGTTCCCCTGTTATCCTTCTAAGCACGGGGCCTCCAGTGTTGCCAGATTGAGCGCTACTTTGCCAGTCTCGATACTTAATTCACAGATCTCGTAATTTTTTCGATTCATACTTTGTTTTTAATATTTACCTTCAAGAATTATGAAAATAAGTACATACACCTTAGGAAAAACCATTGTTATACATGGGAAATCATTTCTTGGCAACATCGCATCGGCTCGTCTACTTTCATCGCTATTCGTACATATTTCCTACCGTTAACCGCAGACCCGTATGACGAATGAGAATAATAGGCAGATACGCTGTGTTGCCAATTTGAGTAGAGCTTCCCGAATTGTGGGGAATTTAGAGTTAAGTGTTGATTCATTCAAGCTTTTAATCAGCATGGCCTAGACGTTAGAACTTCATAAAGATAACATTGAAGCTGAATGCTGCTGGAGTATAGTGTTTCGAATATTCAAAGCGGAGCGGGACACTATACTCGTTCAATGGGTCATCAAGCCACAGTCTTCTCAACAAAGAAATTATTTTACGAAAATGCGTTATATTTTTACGACTTTGTCGTCACCAAATCTCTGTTTCTCAAAATGTACGTCTATTGTAGAATTTTCAGCAAACTAAGCAAGAAACGTGATCTAGTATTTACTCAACATTACGGATTTCTCGAAATACATTAAAAATTGTGACCTAGTTACCTAACTGCCCCAAGCTCTTTAAATATAACACCTTAAACCAGGGTTACCAGGTGCTCAGTCACGTTGATTGTCATGTTGTACTGCGCAAGTCAGCAAACAATCTGGCGTAATAAACGTTAGGAATCATCAGGTATTGCCAGATTCCCGAATACCGGGCACCATAGTAACCGTTATAGATGTCCTTCAAAGTTGCCGAATCGCCCCTATGGCGCAAATTCGCCACACCAGGCAACTGTGCTATAAACAAACCCTGTTTATCACTACTATTTGATAGTCATATGGTAGTTGTAGCCCTATCTAGCGGTCCATGATTTCTCTCAATATTGTTGTGGAATCCGCAGCTATTTTTTCCGAAATTTGGGTAGACTTAGATTTCTTAGAAATATGACATATTGGTATCGGCAACTCTGCGAATGGGAGAAACAAATCGCATTTGTTGAGCGCATCCGTCTAAGCGGTAGGCGCCAGCGCCCGTTCTGCCATCTCTCTCTTTTATCACTCTTCTACTTTACCCCGTTGTCCGTCACACTCCGACGCTGCCACATAGGATCCTACAATCGAGTGCCTTTCACGCACCTACATACTTTTGTATATTTCCATCTCTCTTCCTCATCATAATGTATAATAATGTTTCTTCCCAAGGTGTATAGGGACAGAACAACGACAATAATATTAAACAAAACCGGAGAAAACTACTAAAAAAACAAAATATATAAATTGTCGAGTTATGGGGGGTAAGTTTTCTTCTTTTTTGTAGTTCGCTCAACACCGGTGTCCCAATTCAAGGGCAAACATAAAGGAGGCAAAGGACAATATGGAGGTACTGGAGGCAGCGATGGTTGCCCACCCTGCAAAACCGACCCCAATCCCTGCAAAATGCAGAACTGCAAGCTGAAAAAGCCAAAAAGGAAGAACGAACATGAATGCGACCCTGACGAACCAGAAGATATTTGCAAACGAGATAGCCCTTGCAATTGGTACCCTGGCAAAAAACCCTGTAAATAATGAAGAAAAAGTTACAAAACGTATTGTATGTAGTATACGTATATATGTGTATGGTAACTCGAAAATTGTGATGAGTAAATTTGTGCTTGGAATACGTTTATTCTCACATTTTTTGAGAAGTTTACGGTAACCACCATTTTTTTCATTTGTACTATGTCACGTATACTAAGTGACATATAAATCCGAACACCCAGTTTAAATGGTTTTATTTTAATAAAATTTTGTATAAGTACTTAATGAAGCATAATAAGTAAATGATAAAAATTTCAAAATGATTGCACTGCTTTAAAGCCCTTTGACCTTTAATAATGTGTGGATGCACCCTGATGTGCTGCGCATTCTCCAACGCGCCTAGGCATGCTTCTGATCAGGTGGTCAATGTCCTCCTGTGGTATCTCATTCCAGGCAACCACCAACTCCTCTCGAAGTGCTTCTAGAGTCTGAGAAGGACGTTGCAAAGTGAGCAATCTCCTACCCATCATATCCCACACGTGCTCAATTGGGGATAAGTCGGGAGATCTTGGTGGCCATGGTAACAATGTGACATCATTATGTTGAAAGAAGTCTATTGTGACTCTTGCAACATGTGGTCGGGCATTATCTTGTTCTAAAGTTGGATCTGCCAGGGTGTCAAGATAGGGTAAAAGATGGGGTTCTAGAACTTCGTGGATATAACGCTGCGCGTTCATGTTACCTCTGATGAAGATTAAAGGTGACCTGGAACTATAAGCTATAGCACCCCAAACCATAACTCCAACAGTGTGATGAATATGTCTTTCAACAAAAAACTGTGGATTCCTCCTTTCACCACGTCGCCTTCTAACCCTGGCACGACCATCGTGCATGCCTAAACAAAATCGAGACTCGTCACTAAAGACAATACTGTTCCATTCCTGATCCCAGAGTGACCGTTGACTGCACCACTCAAGGCGATTACGTCGGTGTTCTCGAGTTAAAGGGAGGACCCAGTGTGGCCGGTATGAAAACAAGCCAAAACTTCTCATTCGTCGGTAAACACTTCGCATGCCAATAGGTCTTCCGTGTTCTGCAAACCATTCACTTGGAATGGACCTGGTAGTGGAGAAACGGTCCCTTAAGGCCAATAATCTTAGGCGACGATCTTCACGGTCTGTTGTTCTACGGCGGCGTCCAGTGCCCCTTGCTCTTTGCGTACGGCTTTCTTGAAGCCATGCCTGACAGACCTAACCACAGTGTCTACACTTCTTTGCACTCTAACTGCAATTGCCCGAAAAGAAAGTCCAGCTTCCCGAAGTCCCACTATACGGCCCCTATCAAACTCACTAAGTTGACGAAATTGTACAGGTCTCCGTACTCTAGGCATCGTAACCGATCGTAAAGGATGTCAAGAAAAAAAATCCGCCAACGTTGCTTCTTTACTGCGGCTGAAATATTCATTTTTAGAGCGTTAGTGAATTAAAAAAAAGCAGTATAAAAACCGGAATGTCCAACTGATAAGGCTGAACATTTTTTCACTTGTTATTTACAGTAAGATAAATACATTCATCAACTTTTATTAAAATAAAACCATTTAAACTGGGTGTTCGGATTTATATGTCACTTAGTGTATTTTTAAAATTAGAATTCTGCAGAGATGGACGCCACGAAAAACTTTGTCGTCATTTTCATTTGTTGGCCTGAAAGTCTGTCCGCTAATCCTTGGCCCGGCAATAACTTAGAAAGGACTGCTCGGATGTTAATGGAATTTTCACACAAGGTTACTACTATATCAATGACGAAAAATCTTTCTAACCGCAGAAAATCGATCCAGTGGCTACGCAGCTACAGACAAAAAACGAAAAAAAACCTCGCAAACATCGACTTCTGACGTTTCAGACACTCCTGCCAATTTTTGTAAATGGGTGACGATACATTTGAATCATGGTACTATAACTCGAGGTATAAATTGTTTTGAATTATAACGGGCTGTTTCGCACGGGTATTACGTAAAAAACCTCTAAAACGTCAAAAACCTAAAAAATTCAAAAACTGAATTTTCCCAAAATAGTTTTAATTTTATCCTGACTTCATTGTAGTGGGATTTCAAAATAAATTACACATTAACATTGCCACTTTTTCTCCTCTATAAGAAGGCATAATTAGAATTTCAATATGATATTTCGCCTATTGCGCTCCAGCATCAAATTTATTTTCTCTTATGGACTCCATATTGGATTCTTGCACAGATGGATACAGTTTTTAATTCTGATTCCAATTGACATTGTCGAACCTTAGTTATTTAAAAAACCAGAATTTTCTAGGTAGGCGTTGAAATTATCAGGTAATTTCGCATACCAGATTTATCCCAAAATCGCTTTTGTTTTCCTGACTTTATTTTAGTTGAGATTTCAAAATAAATTGCATGCTGTCATTGATACTTATTCTCGTCTACAAGATGCCGTAGTCAAATTTGAAATTCGAAATTTCTTCTTTCGACTCCCACTACCAACTTTTTTTTGATATGGATGCTATATTGGAATTTTGTACATTCAAATAGACTTCTCAGTACTAAATTCAGTGATGTATTTGTAGTTGACCATCATGAGCTTCTTGTTCGATGAAAATAATAAATAAAAAAGAATGGTGAAACCTGAACACAAAATGAAAATTTTATTGAAGGTAATAAAATAATCATAGCAGATGTTCGAAATGTTGTCCGTTATGTTGTAGATAATGCCTGACTTTTCTCTGTACATTGTTCCCTGCTCAATTTATTGCTCTTCTCAGTCTTACAAACTCTATTGTTATGTTCAATTTGAGGTCTGGCCTGTAATACGGAACAAATGAAATCTGATAATTTCAAGCCCTACCTAGGAGCTTCTGTTTTTCTGGAATAACTAATCTTTGACAATGCCATTTATTAATTCAATCCTTAGCAGTTCTACGAGATGAAAAGAAAAAATATTACAATGCCAAAATTGATCAGAGTAAAAATAATAGCAAACATATGTGGAAAACGTTGAAAAACATTGTTTCTCCTATTAGAGAAAGTACATTATCTGAAATGAAATTCGACGATGGGGTAATAACAAATGAAGAAATAATAGCAGATCGAATGAATACCTATTTCATAGAAAGTGTCAACGACATTGTAAAATCAATTATTGATGGGGATCCCAACCAATGTCCCATTAGCTCAGATTATAATGCATCATTCAGTGAGTTTAGAACAATAAACATTAATCGTCTCAAGAAGATTATATCAAATCAAAATAAGAGTGAGATTTTGTCTAAAAGTTTGCTTAATGAATTTTTTGATATTATTGGAGCAAGAATATTAATCCTGATAAATTACTGTTTAAAATATGGTGAATTTCCAACAAAACTGAAGTGTTCTACCATAACTCCTGTTTCTAAAGTTAAGAATTCTATATATGCGGCCAATATAATGTTCTGCCAGATGTTGAAAAATTTTTTGAAGAAATTATTTATGAACAGATCATCGAATTTATTGAGGGAAATAACATTGTAACCAAATTTCAAGCTGGATTCAGGAAGAAACCCTCAACTGAAACGGCAACACAAATGGTTTTAGAGGACTGGAGGAGATGTTGGACAATCGGAAACATTCAGTAACAGTGTTTTTGGACTTCAAAAGGGCATTTGAGCCTATTAACAAGGATAAATTACTTACAAAATTGCATCACTACGGATTTAAAGGATCTGTATTCAAAATTTTACAAAAATATTTAATTGACAGAAGTCAAAAAGACAAATATTGGATCTACATTATCAAGATCAAAAAATATTTCTGTTGGTATACCACAAGGTAGTAAACTAGGTCCACTACTATTTATTTTATACATTAATGACATTTGTCATATTTTAGATTGTAAACTTCAGATATTTGCAGATGATACATTAATATACATGTCAGATGAAAATATAGACACTGCTTTAAAAATGCTAAATTCCGACTTGGCAAAAATCGTAAATTGGTTAAATGTGAATGAACTAAAATTGAATACTTCTAAAACAAAATGTATGCTAATAGGGAAATACCTAAATGAAAATACCATCACAGTTAGGATAAATGGAGAAGTAATTGAAAATGTTGAATCAATTAAATATTTAGGTATATGTATTGATATATATGTATTGATAGTTTGAGGATCACTATGAATATATTATTTCAATAATTGCCAAAAAAACAAATTACTTTTATAGGGCTTTTCATAGCCTTGGTACCTGTTCCAAGAAAATAGTTTATAATACAATTATTCTACCGCATTTACTATATTCAAAATGTTCACTGCAAATGAAGCTGTATTCTCAAAATTACAAGTCTTGCAAAATAAAGCTATGAGAATAATATTGAATAAAAATAAGTACACCAAAATAAAATCTGTTACAAGAATTGCAGTGGTTGAATATAAAAAATTTCATATATTTGGTTCTTATTTTTATATTTAAAATAAAAAATCATCTTTTGCCGGAACATTTAGAACACTACATAGATTTGAATAATCATTACCACAATTATTATACAAGAGGAAATATAGATTTTCATTTACAAAATTGCAATAGTAATATAACTAGCAAATCAATATTTCAGAAAGGATTACTTGAATTTAATAAACTAAATAATGATATAAAGTCTACTTGTAAGTTAAAGATATTTAAAAGAAAATTAAAGGAATATTTCATGGACAATGAAAATTCTTAGCGATGCAAATTTTGTTTTTTTTTTCCGAATGTCTGTATTTTATGTAATTGTTTAGGTTTTTAGAAGAATGTAATTGTAGTAATCATGCCAAATAAATCTTAAAACAAACATCATACATTTTTGGAATCAGAATTAAAAACTCTAGTCATCCTCGCAAAAAAAAAGTTGATGCTGGAGGAGAAGAGACGAAAGGTCAAATTTGAATTCTAATTATGCCATCTCGTAGTGGAGAAAAAGTGGACATGTCGTGCAATTTATTTTGAAATCCCACCACAAACCGTCAGGAAAAAATTAACACGATTTTGGAAAATGTCCGTTTTTTCTGGAAGTACTTCAAATTGCGAAACCTTCTAAGCGGCATTTTGTTGATTACCTAAATACGCAAGTTTGCCCCCATTTAAGCAACCTCGTATCTCTTACAGTTTCCGATATCCCAATGCTGAGGGCCGAATTTAAGACACACTGTATAGTATAATGGACGCCTAACGAAGATAAAATATGACAAAATAGAACACCGACTTGCGCGACTACCACAGACGAGGTGTAATCGACACAACTGTGACTAGATCGCAACGTTGCCACATAAGTGGGGACCAATTATACAGGGTGACTTTGAAGTTGAGTCATTAATTTTCAGATAATGATTGTAGAAGGAAGATAAACCAAAATATGTGTGTAAAAATAAAAAAAAAAATTAAAAAAAATTGTTTACCTTGTTTTATAAAGTATCCTCCCGACAAGTATTTCAGTGCGGACCTGTATTTGATCGTGAGGTCCCCTGTGAGGTCTTAAGTCACCTGATTCACGAGCCCGTTGTACTACATTAACAAAGGCACTAGGGGTTGGTTGCACTCGATTGGGAAACCGATCCGCATAAACATGTGCCATTTTTTACTTCGTTTGAGCCACGCAACAGATACCACTTTCACTGACATTGACTGTATACAAATGACTGAGATACTTGTAAAAACATCGTTCCAAATTCTTTCGCTTTTTTGTTTCCGATGCGATGAACCGATACGGCGGATTATATCCGTTGTCGCCAAACACGAGTACCTAATATTATTATTGAGACAGGGCGGTACTCAAAGTTCCAAAGGGCTATAACTTTGTTACTTTAATTTTACCAGAAAAATGGTAAAGGAAAAAAACATTTCTTTTGATCAGATCTACTCACTGTTAAAATAAATGACTCAACTTCGAAGTCACCCTGTATACAAGTTCGCTTTGGTATAGACCTTTTGGCTGCCTTGTTCTATTTAATTCCTCTGCTACAGATTTCCGCAGTTAACATACTTTACGCCATGTTTTAATCGACAACCTCGGAAGTCAGCAGACTCTACTGACCGCATCCACCATATTTTTGAAGAATCAGAACGTAAGCAGACCACATTTGCCATTTTTTTAGAACTAGCGGTAACTATTTTTAAGGGCATCAAGTAATAAAAAGCACTGTGATTTATAAAACTGTATTGTCTTCAATTTATTGAGAATTTAACAAGACTCAGAATAATTCACGATAAAAACTAAGTACCTGTTAAATACACTTATTTGTACAACTACAAAAATCGATATGGGTCAAATAAATATAGTTAAGGGCTAATAACTTGTGCTTAACTAAAAAGTAAATCACTGAGAGGTAAACAAAACATCTAGTTAAACACAAGTGGATGTTACTCTAAATAAATAAGGTTTTTGCACAAAATATACATCTTCCTACATCGGGAAAATAATAAAAATTAAAAAGTTGTAAAGGAAGAAATGGCCGCTGAGAACACTTACTTTAGAAATTACCCGGTCGTTCTAAAAAAATTTCTATAACAAGTGTCACAACAATACAAAAGGCTAAGCAGTTTTTTTATCAAAAACAAAAAGGACTACAAATGACATCAGGTCAACTGTCAATAAATGAAAATGACTGGTGTCACGTAACCTTATGCTTCTTAGTTTGTCAACTATTTCTATTGAAAACAACTAAGAGATCTTACCTTAGAGTGTTTGCGAATGGTCGCCAAGCAACAATATTTTGGCAGGTGACAGATCAGTACTATGCATACAAACTATAGTGCTACTTTATGTACACAAAACATATTTTGGGGTAATTTATCGGCGAAATTTAAGTAAGTGCTGTTGGTAGTGAAGTACGATACAAACGTACTGATATCTATTTTGCTTTGAGTGCCTTCATGAGCCCGTCAGTAGACATGGATTTTGGTCTTTCGATGGGCAGACCCAAAGCACGGTCCCAAACGAGAGAAGCCAAGACACCCAATGCTCTTGATACTCCGAAGAGAACTGTGTAGTAGTTCATTTCTTTAAGTCCGTAATACTGAAATAAATAGATGACATTGTAATACACTGTGATCGAATACTTAACTAAACGTCTATATCAACTTGTCAAACACGTTGAGTTTTGAGAATTATTAATGGTGCTTCCAATCATAGAAGTAACGTCAAAACCATAGGATAGATTTAAAAAAACACTTTTGAAAAGATCTACGATAAAATCTTGCACGAATTTATTTGCTTCTTTTATTGACACATTCTTGAAGCTTAAATGCCACATCACCTACATTATACCATTATACGGAAGCATGTGAAGGAAATCACAGCATATTACTCGATCATACAAGTCAAAACGTCAGTCCTGAAAATGACCCTGATTGGTCACATAATACAGGGTGCGGCAGAGAGGACGGACGGGATGGGTAGTACTCTCCGCCTCCGTCTACGAGAGGTATGGAGGGAGCCGTTTGACTCGTGAGATCCTAGCATTATTTTACCAGTTGTCGTTATGGAGGCTTGGACGGTGGATCAAAACGAGAACCTCATTTTGTTTATGAGTGACGAAGCCCACTTTCACCTAAACAGCATGGTTAACCAGCAGAATTGTCGTTATTGGGCTAATGAAAATCCGCAACAGTTACACGAAAGACCGCTGCACAGCCCAAAAGTAACGGTTTGGTGCGCTGTATCGCAAACTTGCATCATTGGCCCTTACTCCTTCGAAGACGGTAATGGTCGTGATGTTACTGTGAACTCAGAGCGCTACGTCGACATGATCACCAACTTCTTTCTCCCTGAATTACGACGGCGACGTGTTCCAATCCGACGTGTGTGGTTCCAGCAGGATGGGGCGACCGCCCACACAGCCCGAGCATCCATGGACGTTATTCGCCCTCTCTTCCCTGGTCGCCTTATTTCCAGGTTTGGCGATGTTCATTGGCCTCCTCGTTCCCCAGATTTATCCATATGCGATTTTTTCTTCTGGGGACACCTCAAGGCTAGAGTATACGCGAACAAGCCCCGAACTCTGGACGAATTGAAGGGCGAAATTGGCGTGGAAGTCGCCCAAGTTGAGAGAGCGATGTTGGAGAGAGTCTACGCGAACTTCCAAGAACGCCTCCAGCACTGCATCAACGATTTCGGCCACCACATGCCTGATGTGATTTTCCACACTTGACTGTATCAAATGCTATTTCCTTGTGAACCTGATTCCATCAATAAATTTGTTTTCGAGTAAAAATTAACTATTTTATGATTTTTTAAAAACCGTCCATCCTCTCTGCCGCACCCTGTATAAAAATAAATTCTAGAAAAGACCTACCTGAAGGAGGACGCCAGAGTGTGCATCTACATTTGGCCATGGGTTCTTCACCTTGCCCAATTCAGTCAGGATTGGAGGTACTACTTTGTAGATGGTGGACACCAACTGTAAAGGAATATAATCGTCATTTTGATGCAATCTACAATCTACGCTTTGCGACAATTACGCTACACTTTTATCAAAATCGAACTTACCTGGAACATTGGGTCCTCAGGTAGGTGTTTCATGGCGAATTCTCTCTGGCAGGTGTACCTTGGGTCAGTCTTCCTCAGTACGGCGTGTCCGTATCCAGGTACGACTTGTCCGGATTTCAGGGTCTTCCAGATGAACTCCTTGATTTCCTCTTCTGTGGCTTTGTCGCCGATCTGTTGACGCATTTTCTGCAGCCAAACCAATACCTGAAAACAAAAATGTGATCAACATTTAGGAAAGGAAAAAACTGCTAGGAATTGTATGAACATACCTTTCCAGCATATTATTACATAACTGCAAAATGACAGGGATAACGATAGGGATTTTGTTATCATAAGCAACAAACAATTTTGCCGCTTTTGTATCAAGTTAAATGTGTTTATTGGATATAATTCTTAGTTATGAGTGTATATGTATATTATATTACATCAACTATCTAGTTATTTTACTAATGTCTACAATAATGCAATACATAAATCAGTATACAGGTTGTTCATTTGAACAACTTTCCAAGGCGGTTATATCGGAAACCACTGATTAAAAGAAAAAAAAAGCTAAAATACGTCAAAAGATTTGTCAAGATGGACAACTTTTTAACAAAAAAACTACTTGACTACTCCCTTTCATCCTCGGGTCATTCCCTTAAAAATTTAAAATGACAAGGGGTATCAAGTAATAGCTTGTTTGAAAGGTCTTTCAAAGGACACACGAACATATCACTTTTTATTTCAATAAGTGCTCAAAATATTGCTTGTTAGGGTTTGCCAAATCTACAATTTGTTTCTAATTCAAAACTCGAAACTATAAACATAAACAGCAATTCGGCAGATTAGACGTGGCAACAACCAAATAACAACCCGAATGTTTTTCCGCATTCTTTTAATCAACGCAGATATCCTGGGCAAACTGTATTTATTGTTATACCTGTTTAGTTATTTGTTGCTAAGGGAAAGAAATAATTTAATTTGCTGTCAGTTACGTTTGTGACAATCTTGGGATAGTAAAAATCAATGTGCTCGGCAAACTGCCGTCACGTTTAACGCCAGTCATCCGGGTAAGATAACTTCGCATAGGTATGTTTTGGACCTTTTTACTAAATTTACTCAAGCTGGATCTGTTGCAAATAAAGAACGTGATCATTGTTGCTGCGGCTGGTACTTCATTAGGCTCTGTACACACAGTTACTAAACACACAAAACTACATTCAAAATGAAAATATTGCAAGAGTTAACCTAAGATGATTTCGATAGGCGAGTTGAGTTTTGTGATCAAATGATTGCAGCCATTAATGATAATACCATTCATGTAAAGAATATCTACTTCAGTGATGAATGCACAATTTATCTAAATGGACTTCTTAATAAGAATAACTGCAGGTATTGGAGCAATGAAAATTCTCATGCTTTTGTGCAGGCATTTCAGGAAACAAAGTGATTGGGCCATTGTTTATTAAAGGGGATTTAAATGGAGACGTATATTTGGATATGTTGGAAAATCCGTTCATCACTGAAACCATTGAAAACCAAATCGAAGAGGATGGAAGCTCTATATGAGGCTGAAATAAAGGGCGGGTCACCCATTGGTTTCTTTTTTAAATTGGTATTAAAACTACACTCTTTAATAATATGTAACACTCGATACTTTAAATCAAAGAAATACACCGCTGCCGCGGCTGGCCTGGCAGTAGTCCATCCTCTTGACCCAATTTTGAAGCACATTGTCGATAGTTTGTGGGTTTATTTCATCAATAGCTCGCCGGATATTTTCCTTAAGAACATCAATTGTTTGGGGATCGTTAGTGTAACAGCGGTCCTTAACAGTACCCCATAGGTAAACCTTGAGCGTCAAATCACAGCTGCCAATGAACGTCTCCTCTTGGCTGATAACGCGATGACCAAACTTAGTATTTAAAAAAGCGGAAAGCTAAAAACATGCGACCTTGAATGGCACGTTTGACAAACGTTCATCAAAAATATGTGCAATAAAAGTTTCAGTTTTAGTTATTAACTAGATTAATAGGAAAAGATATTGCTTTTCATGCAACGAGTTGATTTGTTTGTATTCAAGATTGTTAAATAAACTAGAAAAAACCCTCCAATATAGTATACTTTACGAAGCTCTATATCTTTAGTTCCTTAATATATGAATGCTAACCATTACCATTCATTAATGTTTTCGTTGAATCTAGATTTACTTTACTATAATCATGTATGAAATATGTTTAACAGCGGCCAGACAAGATTCATCGTTGCAAGATGGAATAAAAAACAAAAAAAGACGCTGCTCGCGAAATGTCACATTTGTCAACAAAATAAAATAAACACGTTTTGTTCACGAAATCTCCAGGTATCCTTTCAATCAACTGCGAGCGAAAACACCCAACCAAATGTATTCTACCTGAAGACAGTCAAAATAATACTGTATCCGAGATGAAATGAGATACGGATCTATAAGAATTTTTACAGCTATGTTTCTCCTCTCGTTAACAATTAAAATTCCACTTTGAAAAGGTAAGTGACTTATAGACGTAGTCAAATATATCCTATATCTGCTAATATACAATAGCTGGCTGCAGCGTCAAAGCAGATTTCTAATAAGTGCAGAGAGGAGAAACCTAATTCTCATAAATGACGCTTCGGCAGTGGCGTAGCAAGTGGGGAGCGGCGGGGGTGGGCCGCACCGGATGTCACCTTTTTTGGGGTGACACCCACCCGGTGACTTAACAAGAACAATGTAAAAACAAAAAAAAAAAAACGGAACAAATTGCATTGCAAAGTAATGGCTTAACTGTTGACGAAACTGCTAAAAGAATATAGGCACTTCGTCTTTATATTGAAGAAAAAAGGGGCCACATTGTCACATTTACAGAATCTCTTCCAAATCTTATGATTGCACTAAAATTATTCATGACGGCAACTAAAATTAATAAAAAACTATTTGCGGGCAACAATGACCTAATCGCTGCTTAGCAATCTTGGCATATTCGCCACCGAACACGATGCAATACAAAATATAAATTTTGATGGAGTTATTTCTGAGTTGCAGCTGACAAAGCTAGAAAGAAGAGATTTTAATTGTAAGATGAACATTTTTATGTCTTAGTTTTTATTGTATTGTTATTTGTTCAATATTTCAAACATAAATATTAAATGATCCATGAAGTTTATAACTCATTAAAATGTATTGATTTTGACTTTCGATGGGGTGATACCACCAACTTCCGCACCGGGTGTCACCCAAGGCAGCTAACCACTGCGCTACGGTATTTCATTTCATCTCAGATAATTTTTTGGACGCAGTAATATAGTATTAGGTTGGCTATCCTCTGGAGCAGAATATGTTAATCAATGATGTAACTAAATTGCAACCGATAACCGCCATCCAATATAGATTATAACCAATGACCTAAAGCACCGCTAGAACTACCAGCGACTTCGAGGTCGCTGTCACCAGTACACCGAATATTGCTGCTAAAATCGCCTCTATAATTTATCAACTTCAATTCTAGATGGTCTCAATATAGATATGCCTGAGACACTCCAATCACTGTACTCACCTCTTGATTGGCCAAACCGTGCAGGGGTCCCGCCAAACCGCACATGCCCCCTGCAAATGACAGATAGGGGTCGCTGAGCGCCGATCCAATCAAGTGCACCGTGTGGGCAGATACGTTTCCACCTTCGTGGTCAGAGTGGATGGTCAGGTAGAGACGCATCAGTTCGATGAACTGTGGGTTGTCAAAGCCCAGCATCATGGAGAAGTTGTGGGACCAGTCTTTGCTGGTGTCTATGGCGCCAATTCCGCTACCGTCCTTGTAGGTGTTGCGGTAGATGGTCGCTGCGATCACAGGCAGTTTGGCGATCAAGTCCATCGAGTCTTCATAGACGTACTGAAAAAAAAAAACGTATAAGTCACTTGTATAATTCAAATTCAAATCATTTTGTAAAATATCGAATACAAACGTTAGGAGGTGGAGTTTCAAACATAAATATGAATTGCAAAACTCGAAGAAATCGGTATCATACGGTATCACTACTTTTGCTCTGTTGAAGTAGAAACAGGAAATATTTCTGCCTCATTATTCAAGTAAAACGATTGCTAGGTTTTAAAAAGATCTACTACTGCCTTTGAAAATGATAATGCGATTCATAGAATAAGAATACAAAGGTAAGGAGGACCAAGAAGGCATGCTGTGACATTCAAACATGACATTAAATTGCAAAACTCAAAGACATACTTAGGTGGTGGTTTTGGATATGCATTGATAATACTTTTGTAGTGACTCATACGATATCGTTACCTTTGACCTGTTGAAGTAGAAACAAGAAACTTTTCAGTCCCATCATCTGGTAAAAACGATTGCTATAAATATCAACTGCTGCCCTTAACAATTAATGCAAGATTCATAGAATACGAATGTAAATGTTATAAGGATCAAGAAGGCACGCTGTGACCTTCAAATACAAGTTTTGCAATACAGCTTTATTTATTGACTTCTAACCGCAAAAAACAGTCCTTAATCCAGCTCTGCCAAATTTCACCCAGGAGTGCGGCACACTCGCCCCAAGCCCTCAGAAGGTCCTCATCGCTAGAAAACCGTTTTCCTTTTAATTCATTTTTACATGCGGAAACAGTGCAACGTCGCAGGGAGCAAGATCTGGACTGTAAGGAGGGTGCTCAATAAGTTTCAGTCAAGTAAAGGTCAAATACTCGGTGCAGGATATGGCGCGCGGTGAGCTGCAGCGTTGTCAAGGTGGAGGGACCTAGTGTCCATTCTTGACTTTGGCCGCAGGTTTTTCATAGACTCTATGACTTTAGGCAGGCACTGTTCCGTGTACCACCTAGCTGTGACTATCTTCTGTGTGTCCAAAACGACACGCTCCACAATTCCGCCCGATTAGAAAAATTCAGCCTATCATTTTTTCAGATTGGGAATTTCAGACAGCTACGGGTGTGACCCAAACTTTGTCTTGAGCCCCTTTGGAATTCTCTGTACCACCTGAATATAGTCCTACGGTGAGGACAATGATTGTTTAATGCAACCGTCATTTCTTCCAAGCACTGGTCTATGCTTGAACCACGCGTCAAACTGGACTTATCTCACCACGTCACCACGATACCATAGTCCGCACATTACACTGTCAATACGAATGAACAACTAAATTGACAGACGTGCTGCTGGCGGCTACGATGCACTCATGGACATGTCTCAACATTCACTAACATGCAGCTTCCTGCGTCCGTTTGTTAAGTCATATTGCAAAACTTTTATAGTACCCTTTGTATGACATTAAATTGCTAGACCCAAAGAAATTAGTAACTGATGTTTTTGGTTATCACCTTGATAAATGTTTTGTAATAATTCATATAACGCCACTTTTGAGCTGTTGAAGTAAAAAATATATAAATATATGATGACTCATTCCGTCACCTTTTTTGACAATTAAGCATCCCCCACACCGACGCGATACAACGATAGCGGTAGCGTCAGCGTTAAAAATAGCATTTAGCGTCAGAGCTGCACGTTCACATCACCGCGGTACGGCATTATTCTTATCTACGCGATATTCTCAAACTTCTTTTGATTTCTTATAAAATATGTCTTCGGATGAAGAACTACTATTATTATTATTGGCCCTAGCAGAAGATAAAAGGCGGAAAAGGTAAGTATTTCGATGATAATATCGTTAGTTAATAATAAAACAACACTATCAAGGCGATAAACCGCGTGCCAATCCACCGCGTTGGTGTGATCGGTGTTATTTACCGTTCTGAGCGCCGCTTGAACAGCGATGCGATTACCGCTATCACCTTACCGCGTCGGTGTGGGGGATCCTTTACGGCTTAGGTGAAACGTCCATTTTTATTTTTCTGGAATCAATTTAGGTTTTAAAAGACCTTCAAGATCAATGCCAAATCAGACATTGAGCGTTAGCTTTGCAATTTTAAAGGAGTGTCATATTTAACTAACGGTGGATGAATGATCTTGATATGTTAATCCCTAGAGTTGTTTATTGAGTTTCTGAAAAATGCGATTTTGCACACTTACCTCCCAGTATTTGGATTTATGTACTCCATTCGAGTAGGCCTTAGCGAATTTACTCTCGCTGTTGCAAACAGTGACAGCTGAGGCGAATTGTGACATTGGATGGACTGATGTCGGCAGGTTGTTCAACAGTTGAACAACATGGGATGGCAGCTCTGCACGTTCTGCCCATTCTTTCGACAGGGCTTTCACCTAAAAAATATTCAAAAATCTATATTTACTAAAACGATTGTACATGGGTCCAAGAACGCGTCATTTAAGTATCTATGGTAGAATTATGAGTTCCCATCTCAAAAAGTCCGCTTGACCTTGGAATAATTTCTGCTTACATTCAGGGACGAACCGAGTACTACTTTTTTCAGGTATTCCTCTAGATTCGAATACCGGTACTCGGTGGAGGTCTGAGTTATTGCAACTACTGATATTAAGATTAGAATTGCGTTTTTGAAAGGTTGCTTTATTCTCAAAGTTGATGTACGTTTCCCAAAAAAGAATGCAACACAAAACGCAGTTGCGCAGCTTAGATTTAGACTTTATTTTTGAGAGTGAGCTGGTGTACTTACATTTTCAGAAGTTTAGTTTTTCAAGCTTTTATTTAACTTAACCTCTAAGTATTTTAGTATGTTTGTATGAATCAATCGTTATGGTATGGGTATCAAACGAGAGAAACACAATAAGCAAATAACGTCATTCTAAATTCCTTATGGCGGTCGCTGCAAAATATCCATTTCTCGTTATATTATACTATCGAAATTTTATGATACAAAGGCAGTCAGAAGTTTTATGGAGCTCTATTAATTGAATCAGTAAATGAAAATCATATAGAAATTACCAAAATAGCTATTTGACATCACAAATACTAAAAAGTAAAAATAAATAAAGCACAAAATACGTTTTTAAAAACAAGCTTTTAATAGTTGCTAACAAAGATAACACTTTAAAATTTTAGCGAAAATGAAGCTCCTTCATCTCAATCTTTCGTGTTACCTTTTGGCAATAGGACGAATAAAGGGTGTGACATGCCTTTATTTGAAAACTTGAGATGGACTTGATGTATTTTTACGAAAAACCGTAATGTAGTATACATATATCATTTTTTTATATGTATGTACGATGTACGAAATAAGCTTCGCAAATACCGTAAATACCCTAGCACTGGCGAAGACAGCGTCATTCACTAAAAATCATCCAAAACATGCAACTGATTCCGTGAAAAATATGCTGCAACTTTGGCGATTTGTTTTATGGTGCGTTAATTTTTGATGACATATAAGAAAGATTTAGAAAAGCCATATGAGGCCAAATTTTTGCACATCTCAGTTTCGACTCATTGCTTTACAAAAGATATGTGACTTGCGTTCAGACCAGTAATTAGAAGGCTGAGTAATTTAATACTCGGCGAAACCATGTACTCGGTAAAATCGACCGAGTACGTACGGGTACCAGGCGGTACATCTCTAGTTAAATTCATTACCTTATTGGTATTTCAAAAGGTTTTTTACAGAGGTTCTAAATGAAGTAGCCTTCAATGTCATTATCAAGGCCATTAGTACGGTACATTGTCTGATGGCTAAACGACCTATGATGTTATATTAATCTAAGACGTGAGCAGGCGCAGATCCAGCTCACACCTTGAGAGGGCGGTAGTGTGGGTTGCCTACTTTAAGCCATTTGCCCTCAGATGATATGAAACAGCTTCATTCTCATTTACCGTCTTCCATCTCTCTCCTCCTTTTCCCTCCCTTCCCTCTCCCTTTTTTCTTTCTCTTCTCTTTTCTTTTCCCCTTCCTCTCCTTTTTTCAATTTTATTTGGAGAAGGGGCAATCGTTACCCCCCGGATTCGCGCCCGTACGTGAGACTTGAGTCCTTTGGAGGATTAGTTCTAATAAAATGACAACATATTGCTTACCTGTGCATCTGTGGGTACTTCGCCAGTCATCAACAGCCAAAAGAGACCTTCAGGCAGAGGTTCATCGCCGCCAGGTGCTTTTGGTAGTACTTTTTGACATTCTGGGATAGAGAGACCTCTGAACCTGATACCTTCATCAGGATCCAATACTGAAGTTTCACATACCAGACCCTTGATACCTCTCATACCACCATACATCTGAAACAAATCTCTGATTAATATGATTCTATATTTTGTATAAAATACATTCTAAGATCTATGTGTTAATTTTGAATACGGGCATGGGGGTACACTTATTCACAGTTTTCACAGATCTTGAGTGACGACTAACTCAATTTTATTTTTCTAATCAGCTTCGGAAAAATGGTAGAAAAAGGAAGCCTGTTACAAATTGAGCTCCCTCTTCAGATCTTTGCCACCACTGACTACTATTTGGCTATGAAGACTAGCTACATCAATCTTCAAATACACACACAATATTATAAAAAATTATATAAAATTGCCTGAACAATATGAGAAGTAATGGTATTTTTCCCATCGAGTTTCCTATGATGTCGGTTGGTATTAACGTGGACAAAAAATTTCAGAGGTGATCCTTGGATAGAAATTTTAGTTGATAACACGTGATGTGGAATAACAAAATTGCTATTTGTACAATATTCGAGGTTAAACTTTGGTCTTTAACACTGGCATCGAATTCAACAGTTGCCCTATTACACAACACAGCTTATAGATATAGTTGAGTAAAGATGACCATACAATTCAAAAACATGCAAATAAGTGAAACAAAGTATGGATATTGATAGCGAAACATTGTTTAAAAAAAAGAATATGCATTTAAATGACAGCAAGTCAAAATCCATTTATAAAATAAGGCACATATTTACAGTGTTGCTAAACTAGACAGTCCCTTTCGAAATTAAGCGAATTTTGACATTCTGGGGGATAATTTTTAGATCATACATGTTTATGGGATGAAGTAATTTTCCAGATATTTTTCGTACTGATTATAGATAAAAAACATCAGACCCTACTTCTAGAATTATAAAATGTTAGTGCTAGTAGGCATACTTGCAAGAGAATGTATATTTTTGATACATTATTTTGATATATTATTTTGTGTTTGCTAGTATATGGCACTTCCACGTTGTTATGCTCAAATGAAAAATATGTTTTATTTGTTTTCAGTATTTTAGTTTAGATAGGCGAGATGAACTATTTTTGATAGTCTACACACTTGTCTGCTTGTTTATTTACTTTGAATATTTTTCGTTTGCGATACTTTCTACTCGAACAACTCAACAACATCATTATCATTTCAATTTTGTTCATTGATTTAACGCTGAAAAAGCCTATAAATCATAGGCATGGTAATGGTCAAGTGTAATTGTAAAATGATGCCGTCAATAGTTGTTTCATGTCACTGTTATAGTGTTTAACTCTGATATCCACAGTTTGAATAGCTAACCTATTGGATACATAATTTAGGTATTTTCTATAAAAAGACTGCATTTGATAGCGCTAGTCACGTAAATGCAATGATGCATTCAGCCGTTGCGTGTAACCGGCGTTATTAAAAAGTATTAGCTTTGAAGGTTCTTCAAAGAATGGGACGCGTGTATGTGCCACTTGAGAACAAAAACAGGAATTTACGTAATCCCAGAAATGATTTTGCTAAAATGCCATCACATAGACATATATATATATAAGTTTATATGAAAGACAAACATGGTAGTCCACCTCTGAATACGTATGGAAGCCTTAAGAAGCAGTTGTCTCTAAGCATTTGTATTTACGTTCGGCTTATCTGACTCGACTACGATATGGTATTTTATAGCTTAAACTACAACAAATATGTTTGTTATTAACATACTGAGATGCCATGATGAATCTTGAGATATTCGAAAAAAAATACGCGATCATTCAATGCTGTGGGTAGAATCAATCAAAAATCTAACAGATCATGAATGATCAACAAAAATAAATCAGTTAACTAATACTAATAATTCAATCATTATACAAACAAGGTATAATTATCACATCACCCTAGCATCAAACATATGTGCAATCCTGTAAAAAAGATTCTATGTATTAATCAACTAAGATTGCCTTGTTGGTGACACGAGTAGCATACACTAGATTATATTTTAATGTGTTCATGAAACAAACAGTAATCGTAGATACGTTTCCAACAAAAATATTAAATCTGGACGAAATACAGCATAGTTTTTTATAGAAATCTCAGTAGAAATTAATTTGTAGAATATGTGTGTTAAGCAAGTAGTTCATGTTGAACTAATATTTTCATGCAATCTGGCGCATGACCTGAGAAAATGTCCAAGAGTCAAACCTAAAATTTTATTACCTGACTTTGCCGGTCGTATCTCAGACCGGGCTAATTTTTTTTCTTAGAGAGTGCCTATGGAGACACAGACTTTGGAAATTTTCAGAGTCCTAGGTTGAACGGTTCGGTCTGAAATCGGGCTCACAGAATCAAGGTTCAGTAAAAATGTGAATTTTAGCTTTTTGGCAACTTGTCCATTTTCTCGCAACTTCTATCCTAATAAACGACTAATACCGATTATATATAACTAAATTGTTCCAGGAAGTCAAAAGTGTGACGTGATAATTCATTTGGCAGATATTTCAGTCAGAAGTGTTTTTTCGAAATTATATATATATATAAATTATATATATATATTTCAAATCCTTTCCGAAACGATAAATGCACGAAATAATTTTTCTTGTAGAGGATTTGGAGCAGCCTGTCCCCCTATATAAATGGAATTTTGTACTCGGGCCATTAAACTGGTCGGATAGGCCTTTATATCCATTTTCGTTATTCTGAACCAGAAATGGCAATCTCCATGGTGATGGAGGGCAGATCATGACTCATATCATATTTTTTTTCTAAGGGAAAAGATCAGCCTATAGCATATCTCTAAATTGGTCGAGTAGGCCTTCAGAACCAATTTTCGATATTTTGGCCCAAAATGTATCATTCTATCTTGCTAGAGGAGGTATATTGATATTGCGTTGCGTAATATAAGTCTTTCTAAAGGCCTACTCGATCAATTTAAAGGCTCAAGAATAAAATGTAGTTCACACAGAGCGACAGTTTGATCTTTTTTCTTCCTTACAGCCCAAGTTAACAAAATAAAATCACTGTTGACTGAAATATATGCCGAGTGAATTATGAGATCACAATTTGGCGATTATTGAATTCCTCAGAAAAGATTACTTCGGGCCGAATGCTTTCCAATAAAAGGATTAACGAGAAAATGGAGATGTTGCCAAAAAGGCTAAAACTAATTTTGTTTCGAATCTCGAAACCTTAAACGTGCCTCAAGAGCGAAGCGTTCGTCCTAGGAATTTGAGATTTGACAAAGGATCATGCCTTCACCGGTTTTCTTGAGAAAACAAAATTGAGCCCCATATGAGTCATGACCCGCCCAGTATCATCAAAATGGTCAATTTTGTGTGAGAATATTGAAACTTCCGTCCAAAGGCTTACTCGAATTTTAAGGCCCCAGTACAAACCTACTCCATCTCCTTTAAGAAAAAAAATTAATGTTGTGCATTTTTCGCTTGAAACGCATTCGAATTTTTAGTCCAATAAACCAGTAAAAACAATCGAAAAAATCACTTCTGACTGAAAAATGTGCCGAACAAATTAACGTACCGCAATTTGGAGGTCATTTTTGTGAGAGAATTCAAAAGTTGCCAAAACACTAAGATTCACATTTATGCAGAAAGTTCAAACTTTTTGCTCGTTTCCAGACGGAACCGGTCGACCTAGTACGCTGAAATTTTACACAGCATCGTGGTTTCATAGGTACTCTCCAAGAAAAAAAATGAGCCCGATTGGAGATATGACCCGCCAAACCAGGTCGTGGAATTTTAGTTCTGACCGCTAAAATTTATGAAACAAGATTTGTTTTTGTTCTACTTACCATGTCTACGGTGACTTCTCCCACTTTGACGTTACCATAGTTCTTACGGAAGTTCTTGACGCGTTCCTGTTCTTTCGGTATTTTCGCCGCCATAACCGCTTTGAGATCAGTGCTGGCATCGCTCAGTTGTCTGAGAACGAGGGAGAGTTGTGGGAAAGTTTTCTAAAACAAGAAAAGATCATTAGCTCAACATAAAACATAGTGGATGTCAAAAACAGCACCACATTACTGTGAAACTATATTGTCCGAACCTTATTTTTCGAGACTTTCTCTGGAGGCGATTCTAAATGGTTCTTTAGGAGAACGGATATCGCATCCCTATAATGAGGTATCGCAAATTTTGCATCAGAAACTTTTAGTTTTGTTCTTGGTTCTATTAACGAGAACTGGAAAGACTTGCCTCCAATGTTCAAACGTGAAATTTCGCGTCAATGCTGTGAGGAAAAGAATTCTAGTGTTGTTTCTAAATACTAACTGGAGTTATCACCAGTTTTCCATTGTGAAGTAGCTTTTCTTAGGTTAGGTAAATAATGATAACAAAGAAGGTGAGTAAGGAATGCCTTTTAAAATAGTAAGCGGCTAACTTCACTATGTTAGATTAACAACTCGGCTTTTACATTGTGGAATATTTGAAAACTAGTAACAAACAACTAATATTAGATACAGCTGGTCATGTAGCTTTCCTTTTGGAGTACAGCAATTATCGGACAAGAATTGAAATATGTAATGTAAAAATAATGTAACGAGAATGCTACCAATAAACGTTAACCTTACTCCCTTTTGTAAGTGAATCGGTCAGTACAAATATGTCGTAAGTCCCATAATATGAATTGTTCAGGAGACAATAAAAATTGTGTCAGTTTTAAAGTACCTTTTTGGCCTTAATGTAGCATGTGAGTCTTAAAAAATGAAATTTCAAGTAACGTTCACAGTTTATCAATAATAATAATGAAGAAAAAAAACTAAAAACTTTTAGGGATTCACGTTGTTTCAACAGAAAATAGTGAGTAGTGGTATATAACTTAAGAAAAAGAATCATATTAGTTATCCTTATACCATCTATACCTACACATATTTAAACTGTTTAGCGTACATTTAAAGACCTTTTCAGTGATACAAGTGGGAACGGTTTTTGCAGGAAGCAAGAAAACTTTGGTAGATATAGCAGGTACATACATATGAAAATAAAACAATACAGATATATTGGTATAAGAGCATTGCGTGCAAAAACCCCATAAGTCCCGAACTTACGATTTTTTTTACACTGAACGTGTATTACGTGGTGTTATTTGATAGGGAAGGAATGTAGTGACTTTCGAGGTGTATAACCAGAATGCGCATCTACCTAATGAAGCGTTTTCAGTAAAAAAAGCATGTTGGTAAATTATGGACTTCAATTCAATTGAAATGGAATAGTCCGCAGGCCAAATTTGCTGTCTATTTGAGTTTGATACCAGGCTACTCTACGTTTCAAGGTATTTGTAAAACAAATAAGATTTACGTATAGGATTTCATAGATGTTACGAACTCGTCAATTTGGCCTGGAGTGTACGGTCACGTCTTGTCGGTATCCGGAACAAAAATCAAATTCTATTAGCTAATTTCATCTGCGGGAAATACAGATGATTTAAACAAGTTCTCGTTCGAGGTACGAATTTTGTTGTTGAATGTTTTTTCTAAAACATGAGGGAATAAAAGGAGGATAGACTCAATCATTTGTTTGTATATTTGTAGGGTCCCAACCCCGGTAATTCTAGCTAGTTAGTAGCAATAATACACACATCATAGGTTTCCCCGTACATTTGTCTTTGAAAATTAGAAAGACAGAGAAATGTTTTCGATACACTTCTCCTTCTGCTATCTGGGCTCAGCGCCCGACGCAGCGGTCTGTTTAATTGTTCTGCTCGAAGTGAGAACCGCATGGGTATCATGTAAAAAACCTATAAAACGTAAAAAAACCTATAAGATGTCATCTTGCAAACTAGGTAGTTTTTAGGGCGCAAACAGGAATTCCACGTTTGCTCACTAGGATCGTTGTGAACGTCCATCTAAGGAGGAATCACTCAACTAAACTACACGCATTATTGGTTGCATACGTTTTGTGAGGCCAAATGGTCCGTGTCTGTAGTTTTTTATCTCTGAGAAGAAAGTTGGTTGAATAGCATCTGGATGATTATGTGTATTAGTCTGCATGTGTATAAAATAAGTGATGTTTGCTGTGTGAGAAAATCATTACTGAATATTGACTGTGCCCGACGGGTTATTTTTATGTTATGCTTTCTGAAGAGAAATGATGTTCAAAGTTATCAATTACGAATAACTGAAGAGAATTACGGGAAATCATCACCGCGCCCGCGTTGTGTGTAATTACTGTTAGCATGTATATGATTTATAATTCGACAATGTACAGTGTATTTGAGACAAGAACTCAATGTAATTATCAACAACACATACAACTTACAGCTTAGACCTCCAGTAATGCCATCACAGAAGCAGATTTTACATCACATCAGAGCCAAAGATTGATAACAAGTCTCATGAAGTTTAGGCAACACGTACAACTAAGTGCTAAGTTAATATCTTGTAGAAACACCTACATAATGTCAAAAAAAAACAGCATAATGTCAAAAAAAATTGGCATAATGTCACTTTTCAAGATACGTGATAGCCGTGTCGGTGAGACAGAGAGAGAACGCCTATGGAGTTATTTTATGGGGCTCTTTGACTGACCTGATCAGTTCAATTTCTCTATTGTACATTTTCGAAACTATTTTTTTTTCTCGGAGGGTTTTCCTTGTGATAAACTGATGGAAGTGCAGAGTCAGCCTACCTGACGCCACTTTTTTTAGAATGCGGTTCATATGACGGCGATATCTGAACTACGAAATAAACGTACTCATTGACGCATTCGAGATAAAGGTAGAGGTGAAGTGTGTAGACGTATTTATACATTTTATTATTGCATAGCGAACAAGCGTGAATTCAAAAGCAAATAAATTAGATTTGCTTTGATATCATATAAAGAGAGTGATCTAATCAGCAGACTTGTATCATCAACGAGTCGTCCGGTTCGCGCTCGCATGACCTGATAATCAAAGTCCGAGTTGGGGAGATTCCCGCAGTCAGCGGATCTACAGGGCGTTCGCTTATATTGATGAGAGGCCTGGTTTACTAGCCCGACATGGGCGTTGTTCTAAAAAAAATGTATAGGGGAATTTTACAATGGAATTGTATTATTAAGGCTAAATTAAAAATGTATTTCGCCTAGAGATACAACAAATTTTGCTGGGTAACTTTTTTTTATTGAACGTCAAAGTTGGAAAAATCACTTTTCTGCGTATATAAAAAACTATCAGATATTGGCCTAAGTGATTTGCAGAAAACTTGTACATGATGAAAGGACCTAAGGCTACGTCACAAGATAGCTCGTAAAATATAAGCATTAACCTCAAAAAATAAAGCGGAATCTATATAATTTTAGAAAAGGCGAGCATTTCTGATTAATTTTCTGGATATCAATCATTAGAAAGGATTTACCTTTTGGCTATTATTTGATATATTCTGTTGTGTAATTTTATGGTAAAAAATAGATTTGTAGGTTAGCAATTTTTTGAATAAAACATTAACCAATTTGCAAACTATATGTTCAGTTCATGTTTCATTTTGAAGGAATTTTTATGCTCTACAACTACCTTCTGAAACATTTTTACCAATATGTCATAGTGTTTATAGGAAACATATTCGAACTTTAATGTTTAATAAAAAAAGTTATTCAGAAACATTTTTTGTATCTCTAGATGAACATTTTCATTTACCCCCAAAAATACATTTTTGTTGTAAAATCTATCTATACATTCTGTGATTTTAGATAGATCCTAAGCCTATTCGGTACGTTTGCAACATGATACTATATATCGAGCACAATGATATCTGCACTATTTTATTCCAAGAAAAGTGTCGTATACAAGTTTCCTAACTCCCTTTAATAGAATTTTTCAATTCTTCCACAAAGAATTCAGTTACTTTTCTTGTTTAGAAAAAATACCAAATATAACTTCAGCACTTTGTAGGAAATACTCGAGGGTGTTTTCGAACAACTTCTAATTGTATCATAACATGAAATTAAAACGATTGAGTCTAAATAAAATTCTCAAAATAATTCACTGTTACGCTTTACGAAAACTTCAACCTACAGTGTTTTAATATTTTTTAATATAATAATGATTCCTAACAGTTTTTTTCTACAGCTAATTGAGAAGACTATAAAACTCTGACTAATATCACTGTATAGCAAACGAACTGGATTTTTCATAATATCTATCTATCTTTTAACACATGAAATGTTTACTTGTACTTTACGTACTGAATGTTTTCTATAAGAATCATCCCTGTATGTTAGGAAAAATTACATGCAAATTGTAGACGTGTCTACCGCTTAATAGGAAAATTACATCTGGTATTCAAGTTCAAAATCATGGTCTGTTCAGTTGAAGATACTAGGCCTTTGAAACATATCAAAAACACTTTGGAAATTAGAATTTGTAATCAAAGAAGAAGTTTACTTTTTGACCGTAGACCAAGCTCGTTTATTCAAGTTAGGATGTTAGGATCAATTGAAAGCATGGGTCGTTTTAACTCTTCCTTTTCATTTTTGTGCAGTAAAAATACTTATTTTATATTATGGATTTAAATATCGAGAAAATCTACATCGGTTTTACTTTCTCGTATAGCAACGGAACATTTTTGTACTTAATTATTTTCGTTAATTTATCACATTATTTTCTATATCCATTGTTGGTCATTTCAAGGATTGAGCGTTCCGAAGGCCAACAAGTATTTTTGTTTGTCTATTCAATTAAATAGGTTAAGGGTGATTGATGACTGAATTTTTATTCCTTCAAATTCTTGGTGCTTTTGGGACTGCGATATATATTTTTGAACCAAACTCACATCACATTACTATACTTTAATTGCTATGTCACTGGCTAGGAAGTATTGTGATCGCAAAAAAATTCGAAAATGAGGTATTATGAAATACACGAAAAACCATTTCACTCATTTCCCTCGGTCTGTCTGTTTGACCAGTAATCCTTGGTCCGTCTATTCTATAGCTTGGAAAGTTCTTCTCGGATTTTGATGAAATGTTCACACAAGGTCACTACTACGCCATCATGTACGAAAAAGCTTTGTAGTTTTTAAAAATCTATCCAGACGATAAAAAACAATAAAAAAACTCTTAAACTTCGTTTTTTGACGTTTCAGAACCTCCTGATCGTTTCCATAAAATGTAGAGGTTGGAATTTGGGGGTTTTAAATATGCATCTTTGGTATCAGTGAAATACGTTCTATCGTTCAGTAGATTTTAGCCCAGGTAATAACGGAAAATTTAAGTGACAAAATCCCAGTCTTCCACCAAGTCAGCAATGGTAGCATGAGTTCGAATGTTTATAATCGGGAAGTATTTGGGCATCAGGAGTGGATATAAATTGGTACATACATATTTCCGTATGTACAAATACTACTTGTATTTATATACAATTATTTTCAAATTTCTTTTGCCTCCGCATCCATTCTGAATTTCTGAAAAACGTTTCCCGAATGTGGACTATGATATAGTTTTTAATGGCTCCCAACACATAGGTACATATATATGTCATGATTTAAATATTTAACCTATCAAATCCCTGTAGAATGATTAAAAATAGTTTGGTAATTTTTCAAAACCTTAACTCCATCTAAAATGTTTTTCATGATGTGGCAGAAACTTGGGAAACATGAGAAAACGTAGTTTGTAAACGGTTGGATGCCGTGGTTTCTTCTGCTCGCTAATCCTCCGCCTGTGAAATAGCATTAAGTTCTGTGGCACCACAACATTATACTCCCCGAATTTCACTAAAATCGGTGCAGGCATTTCTGAAATCAAATGGTTACAAGAACACCATCAGACAGACAGAATTACAAACCAAAGGAAATCAGTGACAAGGATTTGTCTCATGCAGATATCTTTAAACAACAAAAAACTTGTTTAATGAAGTTTGAATATTTTTGCAATTTCAATACTCTCCCGTTTGTGGTGTCAAGCAAATTGACCTTGTACCTCGCATGCATTCATAAGGCTTGATTACAAGCGCCGAGTAAAGGCGAAACACCTGAATGCTACCTGCCCAAGAAAGTGGGTTAGTTCGTCTGTTTGTCTGTTCTTTAATCTTTAGGCACTCTGCGACTGCAATGCTAAGGTCGAAAAATGAGATAGTACTAATTTTTGAGAATTAAGTCAGTGTTTGCGGAGCTACTGACCGAAAAAAATTAATTGTAAATCGCGTAGGCCTCAAATTAAAAATTGTGGGTTGGTAGTGGTAGTGGATGAATTCCGGTAATCCTACTCACCTGCTAGACATAATAATTGCACAAAAAGGTGATACATTTATTTTAAACCAGATATGGATTTACGATATATAGGACTCAACTGAACACACATAGTCAAGGTTCGATTCCATATTTATTTTGAAATTAGCAAATTTTAAATGGGTTGAGAAGTAAAGAGTCAATCTACTTGACTCCATTTTTTGTATAATGTCACTAGCAGCAATTATATAATAAACCACACAAAAATACATATAATCATTTCCTAGGTTACGTTCTAGGTTGTAGAAAGCAGTAACCTTGAAAAACAGAATATTAATAGTTACAATGCATGCCTACGTATACGTTTGAAGTATAAAAATATAATTGACTGTCAGTAAACCCAACGCAATTTTTGCGACAAACATCCACAACGTGAACATGTGATTAGATCTTTTTGAAAACATCATTTTGTGGTCGGCCAGAATTTGTCGGAAACAAAGTTCTATTCGCAGCTATGTTTAGATTAGTAGGACGCGAAGTCTATTTAAATTTTCAATAACGCAAACAGAAGTTTTGTATTTTCGTACTCGTTCATTCAAAAATAGCTTTGGAGGATGGGCGATGTGTTCTATCCAAAAATGTTTTACAGGGACAATGGAAATTGGAAAGTTTTAATTCTAAATTTGAAGTTTTGTGTCCTTTATATAAAAAACATAGGCAAGTAGATCAATTAAGTACTTGGTTTTTTCAAAATTTTAAATTCTGCGTGTTCTGATTTCTTTTCTAAACTAGTATTGGCAAATGTTCGCCTTCACAGTTCAAATCGCACCAAGATAAAAGAATATCGCCAAATGCGTTGACTTTGCACCTCCTACGTAACGCTGTCATCGGACATTCGGCACAAGGCCTATAGAATTAGTTCATAGAAACTTCCCTGCCCTATCGACAGTACCGACCGTCTGGCAACGGTGCTATAACTAACCTCGCCTTTAGCCATTTACCGGCCTCCGACTACCAAACGTATATCCAGAGACGCACGTGCAGAAAATATTTCTTCAATCATTTCAAGTTTCGAGAGCAAAAGTAATACTAACGTTACAAAACTTGAGATGCACCTTCCTACTCCCAAAACAACGCTCAATCCCAAATGTTGAGCCTCTATAAATTTTTTTTACGAAAATGACCTGTAGCCTATGAAGCGTAAAAAAACGTGAAAAAAGTTCGTACGATATTTGTTTTTTTTTTCGTTTCTTTTTTTTACCTGTTGCTTCGGCGCTTCTGGGCCGATTTTAAAAATCTGTAAGGCTTTTCCGTCCTTGGCTACTGACATACTAGTAACATTGCGTGAAAAATTCATAAAAATTCGAGCCGTACTTCATATAGATGATAAAAATCAAGTTTTATCAGCCTGGAATATCTTAGAATTCAAAAAGAAAATATAATCCCAAAATAGAGCGCTTATCTAGAAATGCCCTCGCCTTTATGAAGCACAGGAAAAACCATGAAAATCAAGGATATGGCCCGAAATTAAAGTTTAAACCTTGCTTTACAAGATACCGATGAGTATTTTGAGACTATTTTACTTACAGGAATTTTCAACCTTATTTGTTAGGCCAAAGTTGTCGAACTTTTGGTTTTTGCAGACTGTCTATGTAATATCAAAAAAAAAAATAACATCTAATTTTCGAACTTTTTCGCGATTACATTACTTCATCGGCAGTGGTGAAGGACGTAAATATTTGAAGGCAAAACCTTGTCTTGAGACTAAGTGAAAAAAAAGCAACGCGTTTTTTGAAGAGTTTCCAAATACAGGTAATTGAAATCAGTATAGAAATCCAAAAAATTTACCGTCTCACGTTGTCAAATTTTCTTGACTGCCTTGTTTCCTGGCTTATACAAGGGAAACGATGCTTTATTTTCAAGACGTCTGAATCTCAAACGTCTAGATTTATTTTTTGCAAGCTTATCATATTTGAAAACGGTGTCACAAATTTTTCGAGATACGTTTTTAAAAGTAGGCTTGAATCCAAGAAATAGGATTTAATTAACATGTGACATCTTAACCTTCAGATAGTGAAGGAACTTACATTGTTTTAAGTTCAAAGCTTTCAGCCCCCGAGGACAGTCCAATGTAAAAATGTCATAGGAAAGCGCCAGGACAAAAAAGATATAAAACCTACGACACGATCTTGGCGAGATGACAAATATGTGTATAGTAAATTCGGAGATATACCGAGTGACACGGTGTCCCCGTTTTTCTGATAACCTCAATGACTTTTGCGAGGATTCACGAGACATGGTGAACCGGTAATATATCTTACATGTTGTGTAATGCGGTTATGTAATAAGCATCAGCTACTAGACGTTTGATGTTACAATGCAAAAGAGCTGATAATAGGAAGTTCTGATGACATCTCCCTTATCGTGGTGTATACATTAGCTTTGTGATAGAAGGTTGATTAAAATGGCTGGAGGTGCTCAAAATTTCCATAGCGTTACACAGCAAGGGGAAAAACCGTACAGTAAAACATAAATGATATACGAGTAGAAGTTAGTGATGTAACGAATAACACATTCGCACGTTTCATGTGAATATTTGCGATTATGGATATCAGAATATCAGATAATACGAAAAGAATATTACGTTCTTGAATAAAACAAAAAAAATCAGTAATTTTTTTTGCTAAAAAAGCTTGTAATAGACAAACAAAACTTTATTCCTCAGACGCTTTTCCTTGCTGTTATAAACAGTCCAAACAAGGATGAGGATGTTAAATTAGTGAATGTCTGGCTCGCTTTCAGAGTCTGAAAAGAACAGCTGAGCTAACCTCGAGTAGAAGACAACTTTAAAATGAAAGTTTTCTAACTTATCATGGTGCTAGAGCCAATACTAAGCATTTTTGCAATTTGCTGCCAGATTTTTGGCTCCCCATTCTAACCGTGACGAACTTCGTATATCCAGAACTGGCCGGTACGACCGCTCCATTCTCCCTAGGCTGTCGATATTGTGGAACAATCTGACTGAGGAGACTTTTCCCAGTTCTACTAACCACACACAGTTCAAAAATTAACAAAGTGTCTTTAAGCTCATTATAGCGGCTGCTGTGCCCCATTATTTAGGTTTCTGTTTATGTGGCTATTTTGGTATAAAAATTAGTTTTTTGTTAAAACTCTAGCTTTCAATGATCTGAACTGACAATATTCAATTTTGTTTTGTTGTTGTAGTTTGAACGACTCATTTCAAATCTAAAAAGTAAAAAAATGGAAATAACAGCCACAATGAATATTGAACTTCAGATATTATATTGGTTGAAATACACTGTACATCAATTTCATTTCAGGAAAATTGTCTCTGATATCATATCAAACCACTTGAGGATTTATATTTTATCACTAATTTTAAGAACTAAAATGCAACCAAAGCTTATCGGCCATTGATATATGTATACCTATCCAGTTGTGAGGCTGATAAATAACTTAGAATGATCAAGATTAATATCAGTATTTAATATGCTTTGTTTTAGAAAAAAATCTAGATTATCTTATCATTGTCTTGATCATTTTTTTTTTCATGATAAATTGTGGGATAAAATGAAGCAACTGTTTAATAGCAACATATCTACAGGTTGGTATACTGAGTTCAACTAGCAAAGGAAGCTTTTAGAAAGCTTCTTGTTATTGCTGCTGAAAAAAATATAAATAAAGTGCTGTGGTTAGCCCTTATGAGATGCATTATTTGAGGTAATATGCCACTTCATTGGCCATAAATTAAAACCACATATGCAGACAAAAATTCACATTTCAGTCAGCTTGGTAGCTATTTTCAAAGTATAAAGGTACGAATGTAATGAATTATAATTGCATTTGAATTCAGACTCATACTATCCACATACATAAGAAGGCGAGAAAGGTGGCTGAAACTCCAGTAATTTTTTTCTTGCTTATGTGGTTTCATTTAATAGCTGATGATGGGGGTGCCAGCAAGACTGAGATACCCCTGAGAAAAAATCTTACAGGCAGTGAAACAAGTAAATAAATCAGCGAGACAATTAAAAAGTGAGAAATGTCATCTTTCTCAAAAAGAAAACAATGTGACCTAGGATTTTTGACCAATCAGAGGTTTTTCAATTACCCACTTTCTGAAATAGGCAGGTTTAAAATGGCAGCATTTATAGAGTGTAGTAGAGATTGAAATGTGGATAGCATTTGGAAAATCAACGAATCATACCATATCTGAACCTAATAATATATCTCATTTATACACCCTATTAAGCTATAAAATGTCTAGTTATAGAGGTAAACAGTGAAGAAAACTGACAAATAAAACCTTGTTACAAAGGAAAGTCTGAATAAAAGAGGTATTTTTCCCATATCCGGAGCTCACTTAACCAAGCCTCACTATATTAAGACATATTTTCAGAGCAAGAAAAATTTTATAGCTATCCAAAATCCTATATATTTTCCATAAAGCAAAGACTAGCTTTTTCAAAATAAAAGTATCAATCATTAATCACTTTGTATACCAGAGCACCAATTCAAATCAAACCAAGATCATTTAAAAATAACTTCCCATTTTATTTTTACTCCATATCCATTAATATAATTTGTAAATGCAAAATTAATAATCAGGAATTGTGATATAACTAATTATAGTACAACCATCAGGCAGCATATCACTTTAAACTTGAACCAATGACCAACGTCCTATGATTTTTTTGAGTATGACCTCAGTGCACTTGACCTCTTATACATTCAAGATTTGTAAATATGTAACATGATTCCACATCAGTTTTTATTGTAACGAATAATGTAAGCAAGGAAAGTGGTACAATTTATTTGACTGATAAATTCATTATGACCCCATACCATTAGGTACATTATATCGGCTGGATAATAACTTCTAAAGCACCTGATTTTTCTTACGTAATAGGCTATACCGTTTTCATTGATAACTCTGTGGATTTTTGGAAAGGCTAGAAGAAAATCGATTTTTTATTGTGTTCTGACGACTTCAGGCTTCAGGCCTACTTGATCATATTTTCGCCCGCCGAAACGTGTACCTCCAATTTCTCGAAGGTTATCAACTTGCTTTTGTATATTATATGGAATTTTACAAGGTGATTATGAGAGGTAATGAGCATGAATTTCAATAATTCATCCTAGCTCGGCGGTTTGTTATGCAACAATAAGGTAATTGTCAAATACTCTAAGAGGGTAGAAATTGTCTGTGGGGGAAAAACAATTGCCCACAATAAAGACTACTACTTACTTGGGTGTCCGCCAATCGTTGTGGTGTTATGCGTCGAAAAAGTGCCATGTTCACTGATAGTGTACAATAAATTCAGCAAAAAAAAAGTGTAAAATGCACAAACTTTTAACCCAAAACCAGCACGAAACGGGTGGCGACGAGCGGCGGAAAGCGGAATAACTTCTGGCGGTGTAAGAAAAAGTGACGGAAGGTAGGTTATCTCCCAGGCGATATGCACGAGACGTGTCTTGGGCACATGCGCATGGTGGATTTAGTACTATTACATGGATGATTGGGGAAAATTCAGGGCTTTCTAACATTTTCGACATGAGAGATTAATATTCCATTGTCTGTAATAAAATCAGCGGTTGATAAGACTAGTGATACGAAATTTCCAGTGATAGTAAAATGAGTCGCTCGAATTTGAACATAGCGCCTAAATAAGATTTGTGCAAATCTCTTTGGAAATCAAGGCTATTCTTTTTTATAACAGTTATTTATGTTGATAATTTTGTTATTTTACTACTATAATACTAGTATAAAGTAGAATTCCGTTTATTTTGTTTTTGATCCGAAAAAGTTGCAACCTTTCAAACATCCATATTTCGAATTAATAGGTATCTGATGTTTATGAGTTCGCGACTTCACTGTCTAACATAAGGCATAAATAACCGTTACACCTGAAAAATCAGATAATATTGTTAGTTAAAAATCATGCATATTATAAATAATAAAAAAAATGTATATATAACAAATATAATGCAAGAAAACGCTATGTGTGTTGCCTATAAATCAATACAGCATACAATTACAACTCGCTCAGAACATCAAAATGAGAACGATGTGATCCAGAAGGGTTTATGTCTGGTGTGATCTAATAATCTGTATGCATGCTTAGTTGATATGTCTGTCGGTAGATGGTCAACTGCAGTGCTTAAGTTCCTTACCGTTATATACTGCAACCGTAGCGATGATGCTCACATCTTTTGAGAAAAATATAAACTGAAATATGAATATATGTTTTAAGGCTAGCTGTAGTTGAGCTATCTGTCACTAGATGTTACTAAGAAAAATAAGTGACTGGTAGTGCCATCTCTTACATACTCGTTAAAATATTCAATAATGCTATTCTATAACACTTGTTTTGTGACTGGTTAAGTCAATAGTAGATGCCACGACTAGCACACCGCAGCGTTGCCAGACCTAGTAGTGCTTCGGCATCTCCAGGGAATTGGTTTAATGGAAAACTTTCCATTAGGAATTTTCGATTTGAATAGGCTTTTCTATACAAACTGGCGAAATTACTTATGATTTATTTGCAAATGGAACCAGAACTAGTATATCCATGGAACTGGAGTCTTTAGGAGACAAGAGGTGTTTTAATTACAGGACATCTTAAGATCAAGCGACTTAGAACTTAACATTATTTTATTCTTCTTTTTCTTTTGGTTTCAGATTCTGAATTTTGTTTTGGAACCATTCGGTTCTCGATATGAACACAGATATCAGGGAACCAATCGTCGCACCTAGCCAGTAGACCACCATGTGCTCTACGAAATCGTTTCCTTCACAGCCAAGCTTCAACGATGTAGCCAGAGCTGGATTGAAGTAGCCTCCAGAAAAGTTGAATGCTGAAAACAAACGAAAAAATGGTGTCAAGCAGATTGTCCCAATAATATCCGCACGATCAGGAAGCCAAGAAGGAAGTTTGTTTTTTATACCGCAGGCTGTTACCCTATTTCATGAGTACCTATCCATCACGGGACAATGACAGCTTGTTATTCAGTAATATTTCAAAATTCCCCATATCGGCGAAGCACACCATTGATTTCGAGGGATCGGTGAACTCCAGGTAGACAGACTCGTAGTTTGTTGTGGTTCTTTGCACGCTACAGATTCATTTTGTACCTGCCAACAACTCTTTCATTTAAAAAAGTTTCTTTGCATACGAAAGAAACTCTACAAGCACAATGGCTGCTCATGACCATACCTACCTTTCAAGTCAGGTACGAATATAATAACATAAACAGATTTTCACTAAATTAATTATATCTACTTTTTAGAACTTGAAAAACCATATGATCTTAAAGGGTAATGAAACAGCTATACATTTAGTTCAGAATGTGTGGCAGTAAATGACCGAGTTGATAGAAGATCGATTTCCTCAATTAGGTCTGAACATTACTCAGGTAATTCTAACAAGTAATAAAATAGAAAAATTAAATGTAATAATTATTATAATTATAAACGTAGATAATGCAGTGTTCGTGAATACAGGCCAGCTGTTGAGAACTCGGCAAAAATCCAAAGGAAACGCAAATGTCGCGTGGATGCTGATAGCGTTTCTGGGAGGGAAATAAGAAATGTAGTTTATAATTTTTTAATTTTTACATTAGTGTGGTATTTTAAACGAGCTGTGTTCATTATTAATTTTTATGATAGGTTCTGCACATACTTAATCTGTAATTGAGTTACGTTAGACTGATGACGGACAATAAACCAGCAACACGTGTCTATATTATTTTTACAGGTAAATTTACAGGTTCTGGAAAGGACTACGCAACCTGTTCTATTGATATACCATGTAATCAATAAACCCAAGATGTACACTTTAATAATTTGTACATTTTATTGTCACATTTCCAAGTTTCCTACCCACTTACAAATATAAGCCTGATATATGAACAACAGCTCTGAATATGGTTCCGAAGTTCATTATTGTCAACGTTACAAATGAACACAAAGATGTAAGCTTTTGTGATCAGCTGTTCACCTCAAAGTATGATGGATATTCGAAAATCAGGTGTATAACAAGCTTACAGACACTTTTGTTAATCCGATTTGTGAACTGCGTAGGCCGTAGGCTTAGTAGAACTTGGAACAGCCTCCTCAGGCAGATCGTTCTAGAATCTCGAGACCCAAGAGACAAAACAGCAAGGGTGGATTCAGGATTTCATCTAGGGGGGGGGGTCGCAAACGATATTTGGGGCTGGTCATTTTTTAACCTCAGTGGAACTTCTAGAATTTATCCTATTATTGCTCCTTAAATCCATTGTGTTCTATCTGGTCAAGGCCAGCTTCAAAAAAGAAACACAGGGAAATTGCTCAGAAATCCTCAGAAAGCCAATATTTTATTATATGAGAACAAAATAAGTACGTGGCATTTATAATTAACTGGTGTAATCATATTAAAGATTGAAACATAAAAAACTTCATTGCTCTGTTAACCGACAAAAAATAAATAAAACATTCTGAGGGACTCCGAGACATATCCCAGGCCATTCCACACAAAACAATGTCTTTGATTGCGAAAAAAACATGAGGCCAAAAAATTCACATTACCGTATGGACTTTAGACAAGACAAAGAAGGATGTCTGTAGACCATTTATACCTGTAGATCGTGTCTTGAGACCGTCTCCAGACTGCCTATAGACAAATTGCGCAACGGGGTCTACTAGTATGTAATAAGCTTAAGGATTAAGACTCTGAACTGCTCATTAAACAAATCAAGTAAATGGTGCAAATACTGACAGAATCAAGCACTTATATTATATCAGCAGGTGATAAAAATATCAATAGGTATAGCCAATTATTATTTCTTTTTTATGCCGTAGCAGCCGCGCAGGCAGAAGCCTAAATGCCGGGCCACCAAGGCTGCTATGATGATCCCAAAGAAATTTTGTTAACCCGAGGTTAGTAGAACTGGGAAAAGCTTCCTCTTGTAGATTTTTATAGAATCTCGACACCCTTGGGACAAAAGAGCGGTCGTATCGGCCAGTTCGGATGTACAAAGTTCGACACGGTTAGGATGGGAGGCCAACGTCAGGCGGGTCTATCTGGCAGGCACATCGCGCGGCGACATCATGGAAGAGAGTTTTGAGGAGCAAAGCCCGTTGGTGTAGCGGTAGAAGAGAACTAGATCGCCGGCGCGAAAGGATCCCGAGAGTGTCTGTTAGAGGAGAGTCATCGATCAGTCAGACAGCCCTCCTCTGGTTAGCATCGAGCATAAATAAAAAGGTCATGCGGAGAAAAGTACTTCTTAGCCTAAACAAATAGCCTAACTTTTTCCCAGCAGCTGCCGCTATTGACGAGAGTTCGTGCCAGATCAGGTCCTCGGTGATCTGGACTCCGACCTGTCGAAATAAATGGCTCTTTGACACACGGCTTTCCATCGAAACCGGATGAGCTTTAGGACGCTTTTTGTTCGTCAAGGTACAGTACTGTGTGTTGGAAGCATTAAACTGTACAAGATTGTTGCGTCCAGGTCTCTCGTCAGAGAGGAAGTCGTAGCGAGTCTTCTTTTTTCCAGCTCAGCGGTAGAGATTGACTTGTCACTCTGAATTCCTGCATATATAGAGCTGTCATCAGCGAAGCTGCGGATTGGGTTGATGGTGCAGGAAAGCAGGTCGTTGATATGTAAGAGGAACAGTGTCGGAGCCAAGACCGATCCCTGGGGAACACCCGCGTTGTCGTTGTGGGATGAATAAAGATAAAGTCACCCACCCATCTGCAAAGCTTTTCGGGGAGGCCATAGGATGGAAGTTTGCTTAAAAGGGCAGCGTGCCACAGCTGATCCAACACTTTCGTGATGTCAAGAGCAACGATGTAAGGCTCACCATAAGACTGGATGAGTTTACTCCACAATTACGTGACGTAAGCTAGGAGGTCCCCTGTGGATCGCTGGTGCCGGAAACCATACTGCCTGTCGCTAATCAAGCTGTGACGTTCGAGGTAGTCCAGAAGCTCTGGATATAGACACGTCTATAGGCATGCAGTTGTAAGGGTCGATCTTAGATCCTTTTTTGGGATGGGTTGGACATGAGCGAATTTTCAGCTTTCTGGGAAGTTGCCAGATTCATAAGATATCTGGAAGAGACACGAAAGAACTGGAGCAAGCTCACCTCTCCAGTTCAATGGCAGGAATCAACTCCGGGCCAGAAGCTTTGTTGATGCCTGAATGTTACCTCCCGCATAGTTTAGGGAACCCTTTGAATTGGCGGCACTTGTCGAGGGAGAAGTCCATGGTGGAGTTGGAGGCAAAGATCTTGGCAAGCACTTTCATCCTGACACGTAACAGGTGGAAGGCTACTGTGTGAGAAGTTTTTTCAATCTGCTTGGCTAGCGTCCAGAAAGACCGACTGCCATTAGGCTGTGACCTTTTCCTGTGTGTTCTCTACAATGGGGTTTTGTAAGAAGGTTCTGTGTGCCTTGATCTTCTGCTGGCGAGCAGTGTCACACGATTTGTTAAACCATCCGTTGGACCCTGGCTTAGGCACTCTCACTGTAGAGGCATGTATTCCTCCATTCCGACAAAGATAATTTCGGTTATCGAAGAACAGACAGCCGACGCATTCGCGTCAGTGAACCAGACATTTCTCCAAGGAAAGGTAGAAGTCTCTGAGCCTCTTCCAGTCGGCATGTCCGTAATGCGAAATTTTGCGGCCTGTGGGGGATGTTTTGGATTTGAGGCGAAGCCACAGAATGTCCGTCCGGTCTGATTCCAGAGAAACATCTCGGCAGCAGGAAAGACTGCTGCGGATAACTGCCACAACTCCCCGGTACTTTCTCAGATTGGAGTGCACCTCGTAAGCTAAGATGATTAGTCGGTGCGGACTCTGAGATTTTTTACTCCGCCAAGAAAAGCATGGCGGGACGATTAGATTGCGAATAGCGATGAAAAGCATCAATGTTGCTGTTAATCCCGAAGATGTTCGAAAAACAAATTTTATCGTCGATGTTTTTTCCTCGAGCGCACCCTCCACCCGGACATACCGAGAGTGGAGTGAGTTTACGTCCGGAGTTCTTAGTGCTCGAGGGATCCATCATCATTAATTTCTGTGTTTTGGAAGATAACCGGCTCCATAGTTTATGTGTGGAAACATGCGGACATTGATAAGACACCCTAGGAAAAGCTTTAGGGTGGTATCGCCTCGGTCGACTGGTCCTTGTCTACCACCTTCTTTTTGCGTGTTAGTGATATTAAATAGACCTAAAGTGGCCCGTTGGCGGACTTGTAGCACCACCCGGCAATCGGTACTGAGGTATTCCTTAACGCGTGTACAATCACTTTTACGGGAAGAAGTTGTATGTTGGATACAACAACTTTCGGAACAAGCATTTGCCACGGCCCCGCTCAGTAGGGGTTGGGGTTTTTGAAATTCAATATAGATGTTACAGTTATTTTTCAGACTTCCGTTGTCGAACTTAGATTTACGACATCGTTGTTTGCTCAGTTTTCGAACCGGCGTTGATCGCATGTAGAATTGCTGGAAATCCTTGGAAAAAACTATATCTGTTACATCGTAATTATACTTTATACATATTCATGTATAGTGCAGCTGCTCTGTGATTTAAACGAATTCAATATAGGAGCATAAATAGACACATACGCGAGAAGAGATGCGGGACGTGTGGTATTGATTTTGAGCATCGATCGACGCAGTTTCTAGACAGGCCACAGGCGCAACGCTAAACATGCCTCTTTCCAATTTACACAACACTTTTCAAATTACTGTTGAGCAACAAACAGAACATGGATCTCTTTTTAAGTGCAATATGTATAGATATATTACCCAGACTTAGATTTGTCACAAGTCACAATACTCGTATATACGTATAAATCGTAAGAGTTGTGCTGTAAACAAGTGATGTCAAAGAGGGACAGCATTTGGAATACCAAAGGATACCAAAAAATCATAATGCTCAGTTTCTATAGCTATAACTTATAGTTAGTATGCCTCTGTCACCATGATGTGGCAGAAAGTAACACAATGATTGCAAAAGCAAATGTCTGACGTCTAGAGGGGTCGCGCGCCCCCGGCGCCCCCCTCTAAGTCCGCCATTGCAAAGAAACGGTCGTACTCTCTTCTGACTGTTTCAAAACTGTTAGGATGGGATGCCGAAGTCAGGCGGTCTGTCTGACAGGCTCCTCGCTCGGTGGCATCATTAAGTTCTGTTGTTGTCGTTTCAATGTTTTGGATATATTCAATAACGTCTGCTGTGTCCAAGGATTTCCTTTCAATAGTGTGGCAGTTCTTCATCAGGTGCTTTTCGAGTTCACGCGCGTATGTTACTATAGAGACTCTTTCACCTTTACCAGTTAATGTTGAGCCTTATTCACAAGGATTTCAATTTCAAAATCTGTATACAGGGTGTTCTAGAGTAGAATCTCAATCTCTAGTAGGCATATACGAATAGGAAACAAAGAAGTAACGCCAGAAGTTTCTATAAAAAGTGTCCCACGGAGGCTCCTTCATGGAGATACCAGGGCGGTAAATATGAATGCGTAGGTTCACTAAGGACGTCAGGAGTAGAATTTCTTGCATAAAAACTATTGCACCGAAAAATTAGTTGCCTTTTGTAGGATGCACACTCCCAACCAGCTTTTTGTTAAAATGGGCTACGACCCAAGAAAAAGTTAACTTCTGCGCATAGAATTTTTATTCATTTGTGACCGAAAAACTAATTTCGAAATCATTGTTATAATCACTACCACAAATGGAAGTCATTTCTTCAACATACTTGGCAATAGACTAGTGCATCACCAGTTAATCTTATATTTAACCAATAGGTTGCCAACTGTATGAATGAGCAAGAGAGAGCGACATATGTGTAATATCACGATGATCCCAAAATGACGTCATTATTCGGTCATTTTTGGTGCCATTTTTATGTCGATAACAAGACGTCCTCCAAGAGGATATCATTTTGATGTATTTTTTAGGATAGCCAGTACTGAAAAATACACACTTACCTACGAAAAAAATATAGACTTTCAATGAACAGTAAGGTAAACTAGATATCCAAATAGTAGTAACTACCTTATTGTTATTTATAAAAAATATCAGGAATTCTTTGACTAAATGTATCTTATTAGTATGATTTCTCTAATGATAATCTCCCAAGTTTTAGTCCCGTAAATAACAAATTCATTAGAATTATTCCTCTGTATAATAATAAACAAATTTTACTAGAATATTTGAAATCAAGTGCGGTAAAAATTCAAATTTTAGAACGGTAGGTATATCATTCAGACGATCATTAGCGAAGAATCCTGATTGTGCTTCGCGGTGAGCTCGACCGATGTCCAAGCTCCATGCGTGTTCGCCGTTTGGTAATGCTCGGCCATTTTGTTTTATAGACCTCTAGTCTTGACCATCTCTACAATGGCTTCGTCGGCTTTAACGTAGATTGTGCTACAGTTTAGTAGAACGATTGTATTGCCTCATTGTGACATCCAGAAGACAGGAAATGTTTTGGCCTCCTGTAAAAAGTCAAGCGATTCTGATAAAATGCTACAAACATATTCTGAACCATCGGAGGACTAGAACGTGTTTGAGATCAAACGATGTTTTTTAGTTCTTTATTAACCACTTCGATACACTTTGTACAAATGCTCCTGAAAGCTTCTCGCCACGAGAAGGTTCAAGAATGGTAGGTAAGTGGATTATGAGTTTCGACGCCTCTGCCTCTCTACCATCGATAAACTCGCTGCTTGTGGGGCGTTGTTGCCACATCCTCAGTTTTTCAGGAGCATTTGGATACACCACGCGATTATTTTTGCGAGCGATTGTACGTCATATCGACGTCACGATGACGCCATAACGACCTCAGTTATACTTCATATCCATGTCATACAGACGTCATACCTACTTTGTATTTTGTCTTTTATACTATACATATAATGATGTCAATTGGGTGTGACATTAGACCGTCATAATGACGTTATTTTTACTTCATTTTTGTTGTTCAGGGTACACAAGTAGTGCTCTAAAAATGCCGAGAACATGACGACATTATGTTTATTGTTATGTTTAGGTCAGATTCATGTGATTTTATAGGCCAAAATTTCTACGATTTCACCTCAAGGTGACCTAAGTAGTTGTTTATATCCTTCGACCTATTAGATACCTCATCGCCGTAATATTGACTTCTAAATTACTTTGGATTTATTCCCCACTTTGGGAAAAAGCAAATGCTCGGAAGTAATTAAAATCTTTTTTAAATTGCTCATGCAATCTTTTTAACCTACTTTGTGGTCGAATTAATGTTTGTTGCACTATTCTACAAAATGATGGAGTTGTCAGATATACAGACTTCGGAAGCATTAAAGCCTCTGCTTAAGTGTTGTTGAGTTTCTTAATCGCAGAACAAGCGATTCTGTAATGCGATCCTTACACTCACCACTAATATAGGCCGATAGATAAAATTTCAAACAAATAGAGATACAGACCAACTCTATTGTTCGTAATTTGGCCGTAACAATTTTTTACAGGATACTGGTTTTGGCAATCACAAATGCCGCATACATCAACGTTAACGTTAAACTTATTTTATATAGGATCAAAATCTCCTGTAATAATATTACAAATTAAAGAACAAAGTTTATTATTATTATTATTCTGTGTGCATGAATTACTTACACGCCAAATAAAGCTAAAGCTTACACATGCGGTATTTGTGATTGTGAAAACCCCCTCTAATAACAGTAATCACATATGTCTTACCTAGTACGACCATTGCAGTACCAAAAAAGGCATCAAACACTGTAGACAACCGGGCTTCAGTTTCTGATAATGTCCTGGAAACTAACCTACACAAACATGTTGCAACGGCCTCTATGATGGCTCCAGTGATCATGTCAACTTGCAGGTCTGCGGTACAATCCTCGTAGGCTTTGCCTTGGTGCGTCTCTGTTAATTCTAATGCCCACAGCACCTGGACATACCTGTCAAACAAAGTATGCATAATAAAGAAAAAAAAAACTATCATAGCGTGAAAGACAAAAGGACTTAAGCAGATTATTGAAAGAGACAGTATCTTGTACAAATATTCAATATCAGAACTGCTCTAAGAACAACCCATGTGCCAGAAGTTTCGTTTTTTTGAAAGGATGCTCGATTTAAAATTCCAATATGTCTTAACACCAGTACGATTACGTTAAGGCATCAAATATCTCATACAAATGAATCGGTCATTGCAAAAACCTCATGTACCACATCATTTGAATTTTTCAGTAGACAGTAAATACTGTGTCACTGACAAATAAACTTGTTTTAATGTGCTTTTTTGGGCTTACTTAACACCAGTACGATTACGTTAAGGCATCAAATATCTCATACAAATGAATCGGTCATTGCAAAAACCTCATGTACCACATCATTTGAATTTTTCAGTAGACAATAGATACTGTGTCACTGACAAATAAACTTGTTTTAATGTGCTTTTTTGAGCTTACTATGGTACTTAAGCTTTAAATAATTCTGTACTCGAGAGGTAAACTGTCGTAAATCCAAAACTAAAAGTAGTGTGTAATTGATAAAACAAGCAAAAATTTCAACACAGCTTCAACAACGCACATATCGTATTATCAAAATTAAAAAAATCAACATTGGTGGTGCTTAACAAAATAGAGCTTTTAGCAAATATTTTAATTTTGAGGTAATATTACTAGAATACCTCAAAATTGAGTGAAAATGGAAATACGACTATTTACCTCTTGCAGCTCGAAAAACTGTTCTAGACTTCCGTTGCTTTGGCAGGCAATAGGGTCCAGCAAAACCATCGTATCATGTTTTATTTCATTTTATTGAAAACTACACTTGAATATTGAGTTATTTTAGTGTCACATCTCTCAATGTTGCATGCTTTAATATCTTTAAGTCGCATAGGGGAAAGCCAGGCAAGGCGGACACACTGGGAGAATCGAATTTCACGTCGACACCCAAACCATGAATTGGCTCGTGAAAAAGTAAATAGACTTAATTAAGTCTTCTTCAATAATCGGCAGTCAGCTGTAGAAGAAGCCAAGTACTTATTCGACAACCAGAAAACAAAATGCATTTTTTCAACAAAAATTCATTTTGCAAGATAGGTGTTGTGCGCGTCCACTCTATTTCTACTTTATCTATACGGTCAGTTTCTTAAATTAATTAGCATATAGGTTGAGGACTTTCCCAGTCATATAAATGAGGAGGACTCAATCTATGGTTTTGGTAGGAAACAAGAAAACTCTTAAATAAGTGATTTCGGGCAAATCGGATAAGGCAAGGTGTGGATTATGTATTCATCCTTAACCATATATTTGTTGTTAATGAATTGAGTACTGCATATAAATATACCGGGTACTCCAAATCCGACCCTCACCATTGAGATCTCGGAAACTGTAAGAGACACGAAGTCGCTTAAATGGGTGCAAAGTTGTATTTAGGTAATTAAAACGCCGCTTAGACAGTTTCGAAATTTAGAGCAGTTCCGGAGAGAGACGGAAGAAGCCGAATTTCCCCAAAATCGTTTTAATTATTTCTTGACTTTATTTGTAGTGGGATTTCAAAATAAACTGCACATTAACATTGTCACTTTTTGTCCTCTACAACATGGCATCATTAGAAATTCAATATGACGCTTCGAGTCTTGTCCTCCAGCTTCAACTTTATTTTTCGCATGGACGCCACATTGGATTTCTTCACGGATGAATAGAGTTTTTAATTCTGATTCCAAAATTCTATAATATGTTATTTAGTCCTCGAAATTATCAGATAATCATTTATTATGCATACCACATTTATCCCAAAATAATTTTTATTTTTCCCTGACTGTACTTCAGATGGGATTTCAAAATAAATTGTTGTCATTGTTACTTATTCTCCTCTACAAGAAGGTATAGTCAAATGTTCTATACGCGGTTTCTTCTTTCCTACTTCCATTAACAACTCTGTTTTTTCATATAGACGTGATATTGGAGTTTTCTACATTTAAATGGGCTTTTCAGTCCTAAGTTAAGTGATGTACTTCTCTAGTTGGCCATAAATTTGTTGTTCGATGAAAATTATAAGAAAATAAAAAGGTTTCGTAGAACCTGAACACATAGTGGCAATACTAATAATCATGAATCTGCAAAGGTAAATCATAGCAGATGTTTCAAATAATCAGTTATTTTGCAGGCAATCCTTCTATGTATCTATGTATATGGCGCACCGCTCAATTTATCTCCCTTCTCAACCTGCCAGACTCTGTTACTATGTTCAATTTGAAGCCTGATGGTCTGGTATACGAAACAAATGAGTATCTGATAATTTCAAGGCCTACCTAGAAACTTCTGTATTTCTGGAATAACTGAGGTATGGCGATGTATGACATTATGCATTTTTGGAATCAGAATTAAAAACTCTATTTATCTGCGTAAAAATACAACATGGCGTCCTTATGGAAGATAAAGATGATGCTGGAGGACAAGAGACGAAACGTCATATTGAAATTCTAATTAGGTAATCTTGTATGTAGAGGATAAGAAGTGGCCACGTGTGCAATTAATTCCAAAATCACGCTACAAATAAAGTGAGGAATTTATTAAAAATTAGTTTTTTCTATCTCTCTCTGTGAGTACCTTGAATTTTGAAACTTTCTAAGCAGCATTTCGTTGGTTACATAAACACGCTACTTTGTCCCAATTTAAGCGACTTCGTATCTCTTATCGTTTCCGAGATCAAACTGATGAGGGTCGAATTTGAAACACCTAAGTATAAAAGTAAGACAAATCAATGATCCTGGCACTTTTTTGAAATGATCCGTTCAAGTACCCGGCGTCGAGCAGCGGACGCAAAAATTACCTGCTCCGGCCTTACGTTTCTTGTGTAATTAGTCGATTATGCAGTAATATTTGAAGGAACGAATGTTTTGACCTACGAGGTGTATACTTTGAACACGCATCTAACTTTAATCAATCGTTTTCAGCAAACAAAAAAATACATTAGAAAAAATAAATTTGAGTGGTTTTTAAAAATTGGAAAATATTGCAATTAATAACTACTTTTAGGTACTTATCTGATCTTCTATGTAAATAAAGTAAGAGCGGTACAGATAGAAAATTATCAAAGGGATAGACCATGCTGATTCTTACCTGAAGGTTACTAGTGCTGCTAGGACTTGTGAAATTACAATAAGTAAGGCAGTTTTGACATTCTTGGAGCCCTCGAAGACTTGTTCTAATGGAGCATAAGGACATGCAGAGGCGTCCTCCCATTTTAGTGACCACCATATCGTTAGAAGGAAGAGATACAGGGCGTATGCACCTACACCCCAGTTATCTGCAACTATAAAGGAAAGTTATTATGAAAATTAGTTAATTTATACATTCGCTGCTATGAGCATGTTAATGTATCTGGCGAATTCAAACAAATTTTTCTGTATCTAAATATATCACCATGTTTTGGTTCAGGCAAAAATTTCAATCATTTGGCATAAGCATCAGCCTTGTTGGTTTCGTTAAATATATATCTTTTAAGATATATTCAGTGACATTAGAAGTGATACACCCAGAAAAATAAAGCATGCTGTGGCAACAATGCCAACGTTTTATCTTTGTTTTTGTTTACCTTTGTTAAAGTGTTATCTCTTCGTTTTCGTGAAGAAAGCAGTTTCTGAGAGCTGAGTAGTACAAATATGTTTAGTTATTGCCCTTTCATTTACTATTGTTAAACATAACAAAAAGCCTCAAGTTTGAAGACGTCTAAATTATCACCATGTTAACGACTATGACAGGGGTAGAATTATCGGCTATCGATATGTTGGTTTGTCCTATCGTGAAATTGGCCACGGTGTTAATGGTATTGCAATGCGTGTGTGCCGTGTGCGGATAAAAGAAGGTAGAGGAACACGACGAAGGCCAACTGGTTCACCAAGCCGCAACACAGAGTATGCGTACCATTCGCCTCATTCGAGCATTTGGACTGGTTTTATACCGTCCACGGTTAGTGCTTCCTCTTACTGCAAACCGCTGTCGTCAACGTTTGAACTGGAACAGAGAACAGCAACATTGGGAGGCAGAAAGGGATAATGTCGTCTTCAGCGTGGCGTGGCGAACATACCCTAAGGGTACGTACATAGTGGATGATGCTTACTGTGATGCCTTCTTCGCTACCTCGATGAGCGCTTCCTCGCGACTTTCTACATGGATGGAGGGTGTCCATACTGTATTCACCCTCGATGTTTTCTCTCCTCTCCTCGAACGCGGCTCTTAATGTTTCATTTGTTTACGAGCGAATAATAAGGCAGGACGTTCTCGAGCGACAGCAACAGTGAGAGTGATTTGTCTCTTGTAACCAAGTGGTGGATGTTTAGTTCACTACCAAATCGAAAATACAGTACACATCTAGTAAACAAAGGGAGATAGGAACTTGGAGGGTACCACCTTTTTTTCCTCGAATTGAAGAGAGACAAGGAAAGATTCCACTCCCACATCAGAATGTCTCCCAACGTAAGACATGTGTCGCGGTCAGATCGAGGAAGCGATCATCGAGGTAGCGAAGAAAGCATCGCAGTAAGCATCTTCACTATGAATATACCCTAATACACCGCCTTGGAGAACCGCGTGATATTGGATTTGCTGTTGCGAGGCATGTACACAGGACTGTTGGGAAATGGTTTGGAGGGCTATTGCCTATAGTAGTCGATCATCCCTTAAAGAGAAGGCAATATGACTGCTGCGCGTTATGGTGATGACGTCCTCAAACCACTTTACTGCCGTAACTAGAGGACAGTCCACACGTCCTTTTTCAGCAAGACAACGCGCGTCCCCGTATTGCTCGTTATACTACGGAGTTTCTTCAAGAAACAGGCGTTAATGTTTTGCCGTGGCCACCCCGTTCACCGGACTTAAATCCCTTCGAACATGTGGGGAGGAGACTGTCCTCTTTGCACCATCTGCCACAGCTAGTCCACGAAGTTCGAGCTGCTTGGAATGAGGTGCCACAACCAGACATCGATTATCTTATTTTGTCGATGCCTAGACGTATACAGGAGTGTATTCAGCTGCGGGGTCGCCCAACACGTTATTAATTTTTTTTCTTATTACTTGTCAAGAAAATTTAGTGAGAATGTTATCATTTCATTCTCGATGTAAGACTACTTGATTGCCAAAGAAATCAAGTTGAAGACATTTTTTCTGGGTGTAATACTTCTAATGTCACTGAGTATACATAAGCCATAATGCCATAATTAAAACTGGACAACCTTAACTGGCTATGATAACTCTAACAAACAAGTTGTCAATACGAGTTTGAACTGCATATCATCAGAGAAACTGGTGAAAGGCACTTTTGGTGAATAATTCTAGAATGGCGAGGTTGTTGGTAATATTCTGATGGAATGAGTAAAATAATAATGTTGAGTCTTTTTACACACACCCAGAATGCATTAGCACCTTAGAAGAGCCCAGAAGAACAAAGTCCTTTAGAACACAGATAGATAGTTCGTTGATGGCAAATAAGCTTGATAATGCCTACTAAGGAAGTGTTAGGGATCAGGGCGACTCTCCTCTCTGAGAAAGAGCTCCAACTAGCTTTTTTACGTGATAAGGGCTAGAAAATCCCCCAGACATCGTATGTACTGATTAAACAATCGTATGCACTATTGGTAAGCTAATCATTGCCAGTCAACAGAAAGGGAAGTAAAAGCATCGAAACCAATGTAAATTACATGTTGGAGTATTGACTCCATACGTAGACGTAAAAGAAAGACGAGAAAAAGACGTAGGTTTTATCAGAACCAATAGTGCATATTTGGGGTCTTCATGAAAAAATAATTCCTCAGATTGTAGCAATGAGCGTGTCCGCACTCGGTAGCCTCATTTCTTTGGTGCTTTGTTGCAAAACTATTTGACAGTAATGTTTGATAACTGTTTCTAATATACCTTCATACGTACTTAGATACTATATACAGGGAAAACTAAATTTGTCTGACAACTTGAGTTCGACGTGTACGAAAGCGCAAGAAGTGTGTATCAACACATGTTAGAATGAGATGGAAGCCGGCTCAAGAGTAAAGGTCATCACCACATTGCCTAGCAACGGCGACGCAGAAGGTCGTGCAATCTGCCGTAAAATGTTCGTACAGGCTTCAACAATCGGTTAGGTTACTGTCAAACCCAAGGAGGCTTGTTTGAACCTTTAATTTATCATTTTGTTTTCATTTTGATTAGAATTATTTATTTTAAATTTGATGCGACTCGGTGTTTTAATTTATTTTAGAATCATCACTGATGGTGATAAAATTAACACATCCTGGATTATTGTTGCATTTTGGGCGGTTGGAAAATGGAACAAATACCATTAAGCAATAAAAAATATCACTTGCATGCGTGTACGCAGGTGAAAACCATTTCAAAGCAAAATGACACTCCCCAATGAGCGAACCAATGATGCAATGTCGCAGAATTTGTGTCAATCCTGACCTTTCATTTCGACCTAAAATGGAGCGCTCTTAGTACCGAACCGGAATCGATCCTAAACAGATTCGACACAATTCAGAATTCAACAATGTGTACGCTCAAAATAAAACCATAATTTTGACGTATAGAATAAACAAACGCATATTTCTAGCATGCATCTTAATTCAAGAAGCTGGTGTAACAAGAGATTATTTACAGGCTGGTCAAAATCAGGATATAAAAAAAGTTATATAAAACCCTAAAGACCTTCAATGTGCAATCTCCACAGATTCCACAATTCCCGTGAGTTTATCAAATCCGCCTAAAATAAATGAGGCATTTATTTCAATTTTTGAGAACAGCGATTTGAGGTCATATTCATTCATAAAATAAAATCAAATTCTAGCTGTTCAGTTGGAATAACTTTACATAGTATGATACTACTATGTATATCTGAAATTATTGTGTACTAAACACAATAACTATAATCAACTCAGTGGAAACGCTATAGTTGTTCCGCTCCCTAAGTAGTTCTGGTCCTACTAACTATGGCCAACTGAGACCGATCAGTTTATTGCATATTTTCTCAAAAGTATTGGAACGCGTTGATTACGAGCAGTTCTGCGGCTACTCATATTCTAACAAAATTACTCCATCTAAACAGTTTGGATTTCGACAAGGTGATAATACAGCTTAGCACTCTGTGATTTAACAGACAATATAACAGTGGCGCTTGGCAACCAAAAAGCAGTAGCTCTATACTTCTTGACTTTACTAAAGTATTTGATACAATTTATCATTCACTTCTTGTGTCTAAATGTAGTTATTACGGATTTTCTGAAAAATTTCTTTCGTTTATTCAAACCTACATTGAAAATCGGTTTAAAAAATTTCGTCCAAGTCATCAGCACTCTACCGCACAAAAAATTTGTTCGGGCGTACCACAGAGATATGTGTTAGGCCCCTGTTATTTTCATTATGTATCGCAGGTTTAGAAACAGAGGTAATATCATGCAGCATACAGTTTTTTGCCTACGTTACTCAGATTGTCTATTCATTTAAGAGTAATGACTTGAAACAGCTAATAATAAAATTAATCAGGATCTTGCCCAAATTGAAAAGTGTAGTAGTAGTCATAATCTTCGTTTGAACCCTTTAAAGAAAAATATGTTTGTATACGCAAATTAAACAAAATCGAATGCTTTAAAAAAGGACATACATATAAATTTAAAAGGTAACAATAGTATCTGCGGATCATTCGAAGAACCTAGGTATTACAATGGATGAAGACTTAAAATTGGTTGAACACGTAAACCATTTAATTTCTTAGTGCTATATATATAAATATATATAACAAGTAGAAAAAATAAGGGGCAAATTCCGCAAAAAGGAGGAAAGTGAATTCTAGTTGAAAATAAGGTAACCCGAGCGATACGTATTTTTGCTTGTTGGCTTCATCAGGCCCGAAATGAATGCACATATGCAACGGTAGATACACATCCGGATACGAGTGTAACCTGAGGAAACGAAGATGAAGAGGGAAAGAAAATGACACAGGAAGTCACAAACAAGAGCCAACCTTACACATTGTAGTATAAAATGGCTAGAAGACCTTGAATTTTCAAGGCGACATTTAACCAAAATCACACGCGGCCGATTATAGCCACTTGCTAAGGTACTTCAAGCCCAAAGGATCTACAAAGAGAAAAGGATCATGCGGAAAAATGTATATAAGAAATAGAAAAAATAATGCTCAAACTCCGCAAAAAGAAAGAAAGTGAATTCGTGCAGAAACGTGTTTCCTCAGGTTACTCTCGTATCCGGATGTATGGGAATGTGTATCTACTTTTGTAGTTGCATATGTGCATTCATTTCGGGCCTGATGAAGCCAACAAGCAGAAATACGTATCGCTCGGGTTACCTATCCTATTTTCTGCTCGAATTCACTTTCCTTCTTTTTGCGGAATTCGCCCACTATTTTTCTATTCTTTGTTATATACTTTTCTCCGCATGATCATTTTATATATTTCTCGTATTCAAAAATATATATTTGTTTAGTAGTTTACTATCCCTATTCAAACATTAGAACAAGAAATCGTATTCAAACGCGTATGAATATAATTATGTTGCAGACTTGTAAGCCATTAATGGACCTCAAATGGATGAAAATTGTTAAAATGTATAAATACCAGCTCCTAAGTGAGCATCATAGGACTTTCTCCTCAAAAACACCGTCCTACTCATTAACCAAATTCGAGTACATACAGAGACTTTTTCAAATCCACGTCACTGCACATCTATGCATATTTAATTTAGTTTAATAACATATATATTTACAATGCGAGCAAATTATATCTTCAGATCGTAGTTTAAAAGAAGCTAATTCATTACATAAATTCAAGAGAAAAGTGAAAGAAAGACTAAGTGATCATCAGCGAAATCTGTTGTAGCCAATAAGTGGTAACTGACCTTATGTTTTCTCTATGCTTTTACATTGATTTATTTATACTTTATTTTGTCTTTACTGTGGACCGGTATTATTTTCAGTTTATATACATCTCATATTGTTAAGGGGGTTGGGTGGTAGAATAGATATAGTATCTAAATCTCGACTTCTGTAATATTATTACAAAGAAGACGTAAGTCATTTTTATATTTGCAACGTGACAGATTGTGTAATAAAGTTGTAAGATTTGAGAAGATTCGTCTAAGAGTGACAATGACTACTCGAATAACCTTCAAGCTCGTTTGATGGTCAAGACAGTTTTCTTATATGGAAAAATAAAGAAAATGTATGTGCAAGTATACGACCATCAAGGTCATCTGAACATCAAACGGATTTGTAAGGGGAAACATATATTGTTAGGTGATGAAATGCAAATTGTGGACAATTCCAAGTTCAAGCATGTCCGTGCCAATGAACCTGATCATGACCACCAAGGTCATTTTAGGGTCAGATAAATTTTTAAGCATACCTCTTACTTTACGACCTTTGTCGATGATATAAAAAGTGAAAGATTGAAATTAATTTATCGTTGGTTGAAAAATGTTCATTACGCTACTTTGAATATTGCATTTATTTCTCCAAAACCACACTAATACAAAACGAATGACCTGTACCTTACACTACTTCCACGCGGGCAGAGCTGTGGGTTTAGTCTAGTACTTTACAAATGTAGAAATATGGATTTTCTGGGCTTACTACGTTACAATAATGGTAAGCTCAGAAAAACTTTGCTCAATGCAGTGTTGACAAAAAGAAAAGCTTTGAAAATTAGCAAAAATACGTTTTAGACACTTTAATCTGGTAGAGCGGAAAGTTAGGGGCCGAAATTGGAGACAGCTGGGAAAAGACAAAGAAGGAAATGCCTTGAAAATTGTCAAAGCTACGTCATGTCATAGGTCAGATACCCATCTGGTACCTCCTGTCACGGCGAGGGAATGTAATTTAAGTTTGCAAAGCTTGGGAGAAGTCAAAAACAGAAAAGCTTAAAAAACGCGAGGGTACACTCATCTTAAGATATGATGAGTTGAAAAAAAATGTAGCTGAAGTTGGGAAAGCAGGGCAAAGTGGAAAAGCCACCCAATACGTACCTATGATCAATTCAAAACATGCCGCACACAGTTCTAACGTAGCTATAAATTCTAGTAATATCTGTTTGACTAGTGATTCTGAATCGCCGAAAATTAATTTTACTACTTTCCTGGATATGGCGGCCAACAGCAGAGTCAGTATAATGTAGGCAGTGGAAATTATGAGTGGATGCACTCCGTATATGTTGTTTCTCTTACTGAAACACGGACAAACATCATGGTAGATTAGATAATAGCTTTATCAAATATGACAGTGGCGTAATAAATAGTTTATTACTGATCGTTCAAAGACACATGTACTTCAAATTAATAAAATAATAAAAATATATTAGTTCAGGTAACATCTTCACATCTGCTTGAATTTTTTTGCATAATTTTAACGAATCTGGATGTTGCCAGCCCCAAATATGCGTCAAAAATTGGTAAAACAATTTTTCTAAAACAAATTTCATGAAACAGTGTTCTCAGGTATTTTAGGACTTTCTGAATAAAAAAGGTACTTCTGGTGTTGATACTTTTCGAGATATAACCGGTATAATATCTGGAAAATTGCAAAATATGACATTTCCGACCCCGAAATTCAATATGAAAAAACGAAATTTTTAATGCTGCCAATATTCTTCAAACATCCATTAACGAAATGCCAATGCAATTCAGGGGGTATTGTCACTGTAAAGCTTTGGTTTTAATTGTTAAAAAAATGCGCGCTCAGCATATACGCTTCTCTCTCTGGATGAACCGGCCCCCATGAGTGTCGTTCCATCACCTCCACGCTGCCGATCTGACGAGTAGATTGACAGAGCGATGAGGTATGTGGAGATGGGCGACGTTGTCGGATGGACGTTGAATCGGTAGGGCGGAGAAGTTTGTTTGACTGACTTGATGATCCGTTGTGACATAATAAGTTCCAGTGCGACGCATGGGTGCCTGAAGGGTTTTTTTATCGACAAGAGACAACTTTTTGTGAAAGTGTAGTTGCTCCTAAAACTTTTTGAAGAGCAGGTGGTAGTGGCCAATCCTAAGAATCTCAAAAATTTTACGCAAAATGTAAGCTCTCAGGTCCAATCCGATTCTCAGGGTGGCCACGTCCCGCTCCTTGCACACAATGAGGGTGCACGTGGGTGACGTAAGTTTTGTACACCCCGTCCTTAGAATACGACCTTATCTCTTGAGTCCCGGTTTTCAATCACTGCTTATCTTTCAAGTTTGATAACTACAACTGGTGAATTAACCCTGAAGTTACAGTAATACGGAATTCGTTTTTCAATCTCTGGTTAATTAACTCGCTACAGTCGATCTGGCAATCCTGCTTCTACGCCTGAACTATCGTATTCATGTCGCTAGAAAGTTATTAGTTCTAAAAAAATAACCAGTCGCTAAATAAAGGTGGTTGGAAAAACAAGAGTTTTTATGACCACTAAAATAAGCCGCGGTAATTTCACAGTGCTGACTACTGACAGTAATGACACTGTTAAATTTTTTCGTAAAAACTTTCGGAAATATTTGTGTTCAAACAGGACAAGAAATGAACGGGTTTAGAACGATAGGTGATTATAAAATTAGAAGAGGGTAATTCAATGTATTTAGGACACTGCCTATTTCATGCATTGATTTTTATCTGATTTACAACTCATATTTCTATTATATTTTACCCGATTTGTTTTTATATCTTGAAACTATTTTGATAAAGCTTACCCAGCTTTACGAATCCCAGCAATAGCGCTAAATAAGGAAAAAATAACCTTACGAAATAAGCTCTTCCATATTCTCCGTAACTAACGGAGCATGCTTATTTGCATAACGGATAACGAAGCATTGTGACCATGGGCGTCCGCAGGAATTTTTCTCAGGGGGGCGATCATTGGCAAGAGATAACTTCTTGTGAAAGTGTATATACGAGTGGAATGTAGCAAACTTATCCAGGGGGACCCTAAAAATTGTACACAGAATCAAGCTAAATATGCAAATTTTAACGTCCAACCGGATTCCCAGGAGGGGACGAATACTATAACGAGTCAGCAATTCGAAAGCACTAGAAGGCTCTATACTATCGACCAAAAAATTTTGGAATTGCGGTGTAAATACAACTTCCTAGCTAACCAGCAGATGGTCTTCTACTCAAAAATAACTACCGTTTGAGGACAAACCTGATACTGTAAAACACGTTTTGAGAGTTTACTTCTGGGTGGCTGTAAAATCACTATCAGATGTAAGAAAAATAACCTTTATTTTCTTACGTTTACAGTTAGTTAGAGAATGTATAGTCACGTTCTATCGGTATTAGGAATACAAATCATTCTTTGTCGAGAAATACCGAGGGTCTAAAAGAGTTGACTTTCAACGAACTTAAAAACGGAACAATTCACTTCAGCGAGTAATATGATTATAAAACGTAGAAGATATCTCATTCGGTGTCACAGATACCGAGTTTTTCCAAAATCGTTGCCTATTGCCGAAGTAGGAAATATTGTATGCATTTCAGAGTTCATTAGAATTATAATAGTAGGCCCATGTCGTATGGTCCATAGTTTAAACACAGCTTATATTCAAGGTTTGTATATAGCGAAAGACTTCACGTTAGTGTTGCCTACCTCCCCAACCTGTCTGAAATGCGTTTATTTTCCAGTTCGAAAATTTGTCATAATTCTGCATAACGTCCCTAACAATAATATTAATATTATTAATCGTAAATATTAATTTTTTAGTATATGGAACCACTTATTCAGGGCTGAGACAAGACATTTATCGCAAAAAGCAAACTTCACCAGAAAAACATTAACTCGACCTAAAACGACTCAATGAATGGAAGCTTTAGATAATGAGTTATGTCAATATACTCTATCAACTGAACATTTCTTCCTATATCCATAGCATGACGTAAGTAGTCATCAAGCTAATGAAACATCCGAAGTATCAACATACAATATTCATATGACGTTGGTTAAACTAAAGCTTTGTGAGCACGCCATCAGATAAGGATGTACTCGTAGTTGTGGAAAATAACCATATTTTCATAGGGCAATTTCACTTGATTAAATCCGAAGAAAATGACTAACCGTAACTATGCTTTACGAAAGACTCATTTGGTAGTATTTGATTCTTAAGGATTGATAATAAAAGGTGCAGAAGGATCGTAGCTTGATTTGAATTATTTCAATTGAATTATTTCCTAAGAATTCTGTGATTACGAAATCTGAGCATGATATGAGTTAGGCCATTGCTTAAAGATAAGATAGCTAACCTAATACTATATTTCTGCGTCCAAAAGGTAACCGAGATAATGATATACCGCAACGCCACTTATAAAAATTTGCCTCAGTTGTTTATCTATTTACTTTATATGTTACGGCTAGGTCCAAGAATGTGGTTACATCTAGCCCTAGCCATTTAGAACTGGGTGAAGCAGCAAGCAGTTGACTAGTTCCCTTAGGTGTAGCATTAAATACGCCAAGAATAATATTTCATCTACAATCTAAAAATCAAAAACTAAGAGTAGCTTTTAAGTACAATTACATATAAATAGAAATATATATTGATTGTACTATCGTCACCTACGCTTGCATCAAAGCCTTCGTCCTCAGGATTTCGCAGCTCGAATGGAGTTTAGTAGAATAATGGTGAATAAAGTGAGTGAAGACACTACTTTCCTGGATAAGGTTCTTTTTAGCGATGGGGCAACTTTTAACAGCATAGGTATTGTCAACAGGTATAACATCTACCATTATGTGACGGAAAACCCTTACTGGGTTAGGCAAAAAGATTTCCAAAATGAATGGTGCTTGAATGTTTGGGGAGGAGTTATTGGGTCTTTCTTTTTCGACAACAGATTAATAATTGAATTTTTTTATCGAGCAATAGTTTTTTTCTCTATTACGCTTGAAGCTGATTTATACTGTTCTGATTGTTATTAGTTTTTACGTCAAATCTGTACTCTTAGTGGCAATATCGAACTAGCCCACTGTTTGTCTTTCCATGCATGATGTGATTTTTTTCCTTAATTTTGGTGTGTTGTTCTATTAAACGCTTAACAAATTAAAAATAGTGATTTTATCTCAATTAAACCTTATACCAAAAAAAGCTTACAAAAAATTGAATCCAGACTTCCACAAATATACAGCGTGATTTATTTGAAATTTTTGAGAACAAGTACAATTTGCGTGTTTGACCACCCTGTACGAGCAAAAATGAAAGTTCGGAAAAGTCACAAATACGATAAAAGCTGAGGTGTGTAAGTTTTCGTTGATATAAAATTCAGCACTCCAAATTTATGTATTTACCGTTCAGGAAGCGTTTTCAGGAAAAAAAAAACAATTCGGGAAATGTGCCCTAGGTGGTTTTTGAAATGCCCCATGCTAGTAAATGCATAAATACGTTAAATACCAAGTTCTGCACCATTTTAGATGCCGCCTAAGAATTGCCCCTTCGCAACGCTATATTTAATGATAGGAAACTACAGCGAAAAAGCCTTTTAACACATCACAGCAGGATATAACATTTTGGACACGTATTATATATGGTGTATCAACAAGCAATAAACAAAAAAGAAATACTAACCTAAAACCTAACAATCCAACATTTTTGAAAAACTTATACACCCTTCTGCCAAACCCTATAGGTCTAGCCCTAGTTTTTGGTTGAGTGGAAGCTTTTACCATTTCTCCAGCGTTCTTTTTGAAGAAAACTATGTAACACTTCATCACAGATACATTACTTAATAATTACAAAGAAAAAAATCGTTTGCTATTGGTCGACTGACTAAATGCGACAGATGACTGAGATATTTTTAGCGTACTTCCTGGGGTGGGCTTAAAATAGATCTACACTGAATTGTGTAGTGCCTGCATTACGACGCGACGGTATGGTTTGCAAGATTGTATTTTGCAATAAAGTATAATTTTAGAAGCTAGTGTTAAATCATTTTGGCTGGCGATATATCACAATAGTCACAGATACTAGACTCACTATCAACTATTGCAAAATAACGATGAGAGCAGTACTGCAACTGTTGCCTGAATTGAGTGTTATCAAAAAGCCGAGGGTCATAACATAGCTGACTGACGAATCAAGGATTTTGGGTCCAGACCTCTCTAAATTCTGTCTCCAAAGCCATGACAATTATGATAAATGAGCATACCTCACAGCTTTCAATCACATGTGGCGACGATACGTCTTGCTCAATATTACTTTATCACTTCATTAGCCATTGAGATACAATGGTCTACATCTGGCAAAAACATGCTTATTATAATATAATATTACATAAAAATGTATATAGACAGTGATGTAATATAGATACAACAGAAAAAAAACTGATGTAAATGTGACAAATAATAGAATTTATATTACTTGAGCACAAACTTGTGCATTCCATAAACTCTTTTAGTCTGTAAAATGTACGTTTTATCAAAATTTTCTTTATATTTTTCTTAAATATACTGATTCCTTGTATTGTTACTGGTAATGTGTTGTAAACTATCAAACAATCTTAGTACGGATACTTTTTAAAATAACTGGTAGAGAGTTTATGGATGGCTTTACAAATTTTTTGTTTCTAGTATTGTAACCACGATTAATGTACGGGAAAAGGTTGTTTTAACGCAAGTAATACATTTTAAAATGTAGATACAATAAACATTGAGAATATCTTTAGACTCAACTTCTTTATAGTAATCGAGATGTTTCTTTCCAAACATTAATCTGATAATTCGCTTTTGGACTACTGTGAATACACTGACTACTTGCATATATTTTCCAAACTGAAGAAAGTTTATCACTTTGGTAGGCATTGGTAGATAAATCTCGCCATAGCCTAATGGATGTAAGTCCTGTGATGTTGATTCATTATTATTTATTCTTCCAGATTCAATCTAGTAACTTCTAGGAAAGAAGATGAGAAAGTATACACATCTCCTGGTACACCTTGCATGAAAACATTTTTGCTAGGTGTAACCAAGATTGCAGGGCGTATAGTTCATGCATAGTAGATGTATCACGTGTTGTCACCACACCCCGCATAGGTAGGCATATGCAGATAATCCTTGAAAAACTGCAATAAAATTAAAACGGATTCCATGTTCTGTTCCCAGATTACTGTATTAAAACACGCAACATTTCACGTACTAAAATTTATCACTGATTTACAAATGCATTTCATATGGAGCATCGCATGTTGAAAATAATGTACGCTTCGCACATACTGTACCTACTACTTCCTTTTGCATTTGCTATTATGACCCCTAAAAAAAATTTTTCCGAAATCGCACAGAATATGATAGATATTACTACGGAAAATAGAACAGGGTGAGTCGTTTTCCTTAGCTTATCATATTGAAATATCGACCTTATTAGAGCAAATTTCCTGAATGCCTGCATGGAGCAAATCTTTGTGGTGCTCTCAGATTTTGATGGAAGATGAAAGGTCGTACCGTCACTGAACTCCACAAACCATCGACTAGTAACTGCTTATTGAATAAATCATCTCCAGCGCTAACCAGGTCTCAATAAAGTCTACTAAAGACTACAAACTAATCTAGTTCAAAGTCTAATTTATTACTGCTACTTTAATTTATAATACTTGCAACTGATTTAAAACCAATTTATAACTACATGGACTTGACTACTATTCCATCTTAATTGCGTGTACGTTGTCGACTGGCTCGACTGTGTCTCGACTGTGACTGACTGCTTCTGCCGTCTGATCGGACATTCCTTCCCCTATCAACGAGTCGAGAAACATTCTAGCGTTTTCGCAAACTTCCAACTTGTCTCTCGTAGGTGCAATGAGTTCTTCTAGTTATACGCAGTAACTATCCTCTACCTGAGGTATAAGATCTTTCGCAATAAGTGCTATCTATTACCAGAATCGACCACTGTTGGAGTGGGCAGCAGCTATGTGTTGGAGCTATTAAGTATCTTAGTTTGCATTTGACAGCCGAGTCACCACTGACCGACATAGGCCCTCGATTCTGGCGACATAGAAGATGTGGTCTACTCGCCTTTAGCATTTTCGATGGCATTTCTACATCTGAAACTTCATTCCTTTGCAGAGATCAGCATGTGGATATGGCATGCAGTTGCCTTGAAGACATAATAAGTCATCAATTCTATAGTGGAAGAACTGACGATTATCCTCAGCTTTTAACAGTCCTTTTCGGCGAAACTTACACAGACGCTACATACTACATACAACAAAAAACCTTGAAGACTATCAACAACGAATCAAATTGGCGCTTCATAGAGCTGTGCCAATCTCCTATTGATGTCCATGAATTCTTTTCATACGAAGAATGCTATGAAGAAACTTGTAAAAGAAGAATGGTTGAGAATCACAACACTGCTTTCTATCTGGTTATCCTGGATAAGTACAATGAGAGTGAATTTATTGATATCGTACTCCACATCAAATATGCGAACACAACAAATCCTGCAGCTTATATTTTGGTCTATGTAGAGAATGTTGATGATTACTTGGTAACAGCAAAAGAAGTTCTGGAAGAGCTGATGCTCTTTTTTTTACCTTACACAGCAGTGCTGCTTCCGGGATCCAATAATGATTTTTATATCGTTAAAATGAATATAACAACAATTGGACCTGCTGACTGTGGGTCGAATAAGAATATTTATGTCATAGATCAATGTATCGATGGTAAGTTGAAAAAACATTTTCGGTTTGTGACTACAAGCCCCAATTTTTTATTGACCCGCGAGGGTCAAAGTCTGAACCTAGAGCACAAATTCGAACAATCAAAAGGGGAATTTGAAATGATGGATCTGATGAATATGGTTCTGATATTAATTGAACAAATTCTTCTACTTCCCCTACCTTCTATGCCTACAGACAGGGAATGAATGAATGATTGAGACATGAAATTAGAGGCATACCGGCCACCATAAGGAGCCAGCGCATAGACCACTTAGATGGGCGCTTGTGCACCTCTTCATTCCCTACACCTCAAGCCTCGCCATTCTAGTGAAGTTGAGTATGGCCTTGAGTCCAAGCTCCTTAACGTCCTGGGGGTGCAAAGTTATGGACCCCAGTATAGTCTCCCTGTAGCAGCTAACAGCCCCACAGCGACACAGAACGTGCGCCGAGGTCTCTTCCTCTTTTCCGCAGCGCTAACACAAAGGATCCTCATCCACCCCCATCTCCTGCAGGTAACGCCTTAACGTGCGATGGCCAGAAAACAGTCCCACCAGCAACCTTAGGTTGGCTCTATCCGAAGATAAGTAGAAACGTTCATCCTCAGCGCTGGGCCCTAAAATGAAGTTCCCGTGCCTGATGGAGATGTCTGGAGGTGTTTCTCTATTTCTGAGAGTGTTCTCTTGCATCTGCAATTTCCTCATAACTCTTTGCGCGGGCACTCCTGAAGCTGGCTCACAACCAACGAGCTTGCTGGTTGATCCTGTCTTTGCCAGAGCGTACGCGGTATCATTGCACTTTATTCCAGCGTGCCCCGGTACTCACACTAACAATTCCGGATGCCTCGCTGCTAGACAATCCAGAGCCTCCCTGCACTGCCAAATTACGCCCGAAGTAATCTTACAGGCACTTAGTGCCCTCATTGCAGCCCGGCTGTCGGAAAAGATCCTGCTAGGCCCACCCCACTCCAAAATGAGTGATACACAAGCCAAAATCGCAAAGATTTCTGCCTTGAAAATAGTGGTATATCCACCAAGAGGCAGAGATAGCCTAGTTCTTGGCCCAGAGACCCCGGCGCCAGAGCCCTTTTCGATTACCGAGCCGTCCGTGTACCAGACTTGCCCACTCACTCCGGAGAGCCTCCGGCAACCGGCGTATCACTCCTCCCTCGTTGGATACTCCACATTAAACTTGTGTTTGAAGAGATATTTAGGGGTAATTACATCGATCACACCTGCTCACAAGGACGGGATCCTCCCTTTGCAGTTCAACTAAGGTGGCAGGACGACCCTTGGTAGGATTCAAGAAGGCCCAGCAGCCCTACCTCCACAGTCGGTGCGCGATTACCCTCGCTTCTCCGCAGATCACTAGATCCTACGGTGGGAGATCCAGCAGAGCTTCCATTGCATTCAATGGTGTTGTCCGCACTGTGCTTGTAATGCTGATACGAGCCAAACGGTAAATCTTACTGGGTTTGGCCTTAGTTGTCTCAGTTCCAATGGACACACTAATGTCGTGTAGAGCCAGTGAACCACTTAGGGTTTAAGCCCCCACCTTGCACCGTCAACGCGTCTGTAAGCCCACAATGAATTGCGAGCCTTTTTAACTTTGAATTCAACGTGCCCTCTCCAGTTCCGTTTGTAATCCAGGATAATTCCAAGATATTTTACTGATTGGGATAGAACTATTCTAGTTCCAAAGAAGGTCGGCAAGACAAGCCCGTCAAGCTTTCTTCTCCTAGTGAATAGGATCAGCTCGGTCTTTCTAGGGTCGATAGAAAGATCGACTCCCGTACACCACGATTCCACAGTGCGCAGAGCGCCCTGCATAATCTCAGAGACAGTTCATCAAAAACGACCTCTAACTACTATGCTTAAGTCATCAGCATAAGCCTGCACGTAGACAACCGCACTGCTGAGCCTTACAAGGAGTTCATTCACCTCGAGCCACCACAGTAACGCTGACAGAACTCCGCCCTGCGTTCACCCTCGACCTACCTAACCAAGGCATGTTTGATAGAGTTGGTTGTCGTGCAAATAAATGCACCTTCAATGTCCAAAAAGGCCACGAGTGCCACTTCTCGCTTATCTAGAGTCTTCTCCAGCTTGACGACCAGACTGTGTAAGGCCATTTTCCATTTTGCAAGCTTCATGTTATCACAGACCTTTCTTTTTGAAGTATAATTTCTTATCTGGTTTCTACCGTTTTTTCAACGCAAAGGCAATAAGTATATATTCGTCTGAACCAGATAAAGGTGATTAAAATAGGTAACCCAGAAATATCTCTATTTACCTTGAACGACGACATGCGGGTTAGGTACAGCAGTAGAAAGGTGTGATAATGGAATATAATTAAGAGTTTGTTAAAATCTACAACCCACTTATCCTCTCTTCAATTATCTCAGGTGTTTATGTTTGTTTTGAATTTGGTTCAATCAGCTAGAAGGTGGGTTTATGATACTTCCGATTGGCCAATTTTTCATCCAGTTTTACTAAAGCGCCTTCTCATTATTGTTCCGGATCATAGGTTCTGATCTCCGAATCAATTGAAAAAATATGTTTTTGTAGCTAAATCAGGTGATATATAAACATTTTTTTTATTAATATGGGAATTAGAGACACTTGTTACGCAACTCGTATATTTTTTCGCTAGTTTGACAGATATTTCAGAAGAAATCCACTATATTCATTTGAATTCGGATCCCTCAGCTCAATAGTAAAATCGGGCTTTAGTTCGCCAAGGCGTGATAGATCTGAATCCCATACGCTGAAAATGCGCCTCTGGCTTGCAGTGGATGACAGTTAGCTTTCTATGAACCGCAAGATGTTGCCCATAGTCATTAAAAGGATGACTCGTCAACCAGCCGGAATTCTCTCGGCTATCAGCAATGGCGTGGCATGCAAAGCAGCATTAGTACAGATAGGCTGAACTGAATTTGTTTGTGGTACGTCTCTGAAGCCATATAATCTTGTTTTATGCTTTTCAGCAATAATCACTAGGGATTCATCAAGTCAAGTAGCTTGATATTTTTCTAGACTAATCGAGTGGATTTGAAAGTGGAATAACTTGAAACTTCAATTCTTGACATGATTTTGTTATTGTACTTCTTGACTTGACGTCAAGCATTTTCAAGTTACTTGATACTTGATGGCAAATCATATTTTTCTTCTACTGAAGACCCTTAGTGATATATAATTGTACAATCGATGAGCCATATTTTGTATTTTAATGCAAGTAATCATGTAGAAGATCGAAAATCTGCCCGAGATACCGTGCGCACTGCCATTTCAAATGATGCCTGCAATCAGTGTTGCTGGACCAAAACCATGAATCTATTGTTGAATTTCGGTAGATTCGAGAACAATCAGGGATGGTGCAAGATCCATCGTGTTTGGGGTTATACCAAATTTTTTTGGAAATGCCATATCTGGAAATATCTGGAATATTTCCGAAGATCGTGAAAAATGAAGAAGTATTCAGTATGTAAGCAAGATGTAATTTCGGTAGAAATACCGAAAAATCGGTAGGTTCGGCAACACTGCATGCAGAATGCAAAGCAAACAGGCCACTCGATAGTTGCCAGACATCCCACTTTCGGGTGGAAAGCTGGAAACTCCAAATCTAAAAACAATTATCAAGTTCTATGCTCACCAATAAAAAAAGTTAAGTGTACCTATTTATATCGTTAGTCAAACTCGCTCTTATTACTGTGATCTTGGCAACTTGAAAAGGAATGAGTCGATTGTATTCCAGCAAAGTTCGTCAGTATTATGAAACATAAAAGCGACAACAGGGTAACAGCATCTTTCATGAAAACCACAACAATACAACTTATGTCAATTTGATTCGTGTTTACTTGTCACACATTTTGCTAAACATTCAGTATGTTACCAATAGTACTATATGTGTTGAATAACCTCCACGTAGAATTTTTTATACTGGTATATGCTTAAGGGAGAGTGGGGGAATTGTGCGCAGCGGGTAATTGTGCGCATTCGTCCCAATATTAAATACAGGGTGCGGCAGAGAGGACGGACGTTTTTGGGGTGGGTAGTACTCTCCGCCTCCGTCTACGAGAGAGGTGGGGAGGGTGCCGTTTGACTCGTGAGATCCTAGCATTATTTTACCAGTTGTCGTTATGGAGCCTTGGACGGTGGAGCACCGCGTTTTCGCCTATGATTGTTTCGTCTGAAATAATGAGTCAGTCATCGTGGTACAGCGTGAGTTTCTTCGCCACTTCACATTCATCGGTATAGAGCTGTTCCCTCTCGAAACACCATCCTTCGTTGGGTTGAATCACTTCGCAGGCGTGGTGAACTGATCAACAGAAGACCAAGAGGAGCGCCGCGAACAGTTCGAACTCCTGAAAATGTTGAACGCGTTCGACAGGTCTTCTTTCTGCCGGCGACGTGTTCCAATCCGACGTGTGTGGTTCTAGCAGGATGGGGCGACCACCCACTCAGCCGGAGCATCCATGGACGATATTCGCCCTCTCTTCCCTGGTCGCCTTATTTCCTGGTTTGGCGATGTTCATTGGCCTCCTCGGTCCCCAGATTTATCCATATGCGTTTTTTTCTTATGGGGACTCCTCAAGGCTAGAGTATACGCGAACAAGCCCCGAACTCTGGACGAATTGAAAGGCGAAATTCGCGTGGAAGTCGCCCAAGTTGAGAGAGCGATGTTGGAGAGAGTCTACGCGAACTTCCAAGAACGCCTCCAGCACTGCATCAACGATTTCGGCCACCACATGCCTGATGTGATTTTCCACACTTGACTGTCTCAAATGCTATTTCCTTGTGAACATGATTCCATTAATAAATTTGTTTTCGAGTAAAAATTAACTATTTTATGATTATTTTAAAACCGTCCATCCTCTCTGCGGCACCCTGTATTACTCCGTCTAACAAGTACTGCCACATAGCGGGCGACATATCAAGTACGGCATATGCTTGAAATCGCGTCTATTCCAGTTAGTTTGTGAACGTTTTGTATCGATCGCACATGTT